CTATTAAAAACCTTCTTAAAAACTTCAAAAGACTTTTAATAACGGTCGGTCTATTACTATTCTATTAATTTCTTTATTAACTCGTATAATAGACCGGCGATAATCGAAAAATATTTAATAAATTATCAATAGAAATTAGTAAAATTTAAGAAATATTATAGTGCCCTCTTAGTTTCTAGAACCTCCTAAATTATAATAGTAAATACCTTATTAAAATTTATTTCGAATCCTCTTAGGGTAATAATTAAACTAAAATATTTTATTCTTATAATATAAAATTCGTATTTATTAATATTAATTTATAGTCCGGTTCGAATTATCCATTGTAGGACCTCCCTAATATAATTTTTGTAATTTTCTTTGTTATTTAAATAAATTAAAACGTTATTAAAATACATTATCGCATATATATCGAAAATATTATATAGGATATTATTAATATAGTTTTAAAAAGTTTTTAAGGTCCTTTAAAAGCCGAATGGATAAATAATAGATTTATAAAGATTAAAACGGGTAATAAAAATAGTAAGTTATTTATATCCTTCTTTTATATAAATCCTATTAAATACGGCAATTATATTGAATTTAATAAGAATCTTTATATAGCAAATAACATCGAGGGTCTCTTTAATTAATAGGAGTGGGTAATATATTTTTAGTATTATATTATTAATATTACGGTAGTCAATATAAATACGGACGCTACTACCGGGCTTTTTTATTAAAAGGATAGGAAACGCGGCTATAGATTATAATAAATAAATAAAATTCTTTCTTAAATTTTTATTAATCTACTTCTTAATAATAACGGCTTCGATTAGGGATATATAGTGCGGGCGTGTATTAGGGGGGGTTGTTCCTGGCTGGAGCTCGATTTTATAGTTGTATAAACGGTTAAATAGGACCTCTTTAGTTAATAACGGGAGGAAGGCTACCACCTCGTTAATATATTATTGTCCTTCTAATTCCTTTAAAATAATAAGAATCTTATCCTTTATTTTAATTAGACGGTCGGCCTTATTAAGAAATTTCTTCCATCTTTATTAGAAATTTTAATTAAGTATATATAATAGATTATTTCCTTATAAAATAGAATATTTTTATTAAAGTTTTTAGCAAAGTAAATTACTTTAGCGAGGATTGTAGCTTCCCTAAATTCCTTAGAGGAGTAAATATTAATTAGGTCGTTAATAAAGTTATAAAGGAGTAGGGAAAGATTTTCTTTAAATTATTATTTATTACCTTCTATTATATTAACAATTATTTCCTCGGTTAAATCTATATCCTAAACTTCTGCTACGGCCGCTAGCCTTTCAATTTCAGTATAATTTATAACGTATAACTGTAGTTACTAGGATTTGTAAATAAAATTAAAAGTGGCTGTATTAAATTTTTTAATATTATTAAATTTAATGGGAGAGGCATTGTCGGATTTATAGTAACGGCGGGCTCGGGGGCGCTTTATACCCGCAGAAACGTACTAGCTGTTAAGGTGGATATAGAGTTCGTAGGGCGTTAGATTTTTAGTTTTAATAAGAAGTGTGGCTATATTTATAATACTAATTTTAGATTTAATTTTACTAATTATTAGTACTTTAACGGGGATAGAAATAGATTAATAATCGGCCTCGAGAACTCCTAACGCAGGGTTTAATAATATTAATACTATTTAATTAGGGCTAGTAATTTTACTAACTAATATTAATTCTAGCGGTATTGTAGTTACTTTAGTAAAGGTAGCGGCTTTATTCTTTAAGGCTAATTGAGGAATTAGAATTAGTAGAGGAGTAGGAGCAGTTTTATTACGGATAGTTACAATTAAAATTCAATTAATAAGAGTTTTCGGGGCTGCTAATTAATTTTTAGTAAGGTCGGTAAGTAGGTAACGGCCCTTATAAATAAAATTAGTAAAGTATATTCTGTTTTAGTTGTAGTTGATCTTAGGCTTGTAGTATTATATTTATAGGAAATTTAAAATAACTGGGTATTTCTTTAAAATATTATAAATTAAGAAGGTAATTATTTCGTTGTAGTGCCCAATACGGAGTTTAACTATTACTCCTTTAAAAATAATACTTTTAACGATTCTATTAACGAGGATAAACTTTTTTATGTAGTGGAAGTGGAAATAGGGAAAGTTATATTTAATAATAAAAGAATAATTAATAAAAGTAAATATAGAATAGCTAGTATTAATAAAGGAAATATAGTAATTTTTATATAATTTAATTATAATATAAAATAATAAGAGTATTAAATTTAGGGAAGTAGAATTATTTAATAATTATATCCTAACCTTTTTTAAACCTTTTAATTTTAAGGAGCTTAAAATTTATTTTTATAATAATAATTAGAAGGGCTTCTATATACGATTAGGTATAGAAGTTAAGTATTTTCTAATTCGTTATAATATTTGCTACTAGTGGCGGTAGTAGTAGGGGTTACGGTAGGAGTGGCGGGGGCGGTAACGGGCGTAGCCTCGGTACTACGGACTTCCTTTTTATTACGGCGGTCTTTACTATAGTCCTTACCCTTATTCTTCTTACTTTTATTATATTAAAGGCTTTAAATACTATAGTTAATAGAGGTAAGGTAGTTACTAATAATATAACTATTGCTACTATAACGGCGGTATTTACTATTATAAGTACGTTAATTAAAAATATTTTTATAAATAAAAATAGTAAGGTTAATAGTATCGAGGTCTATTTTATTATTACCCTAATTGACTGGGATATTGTTAGTATTACGGGAATTAAAAGTGCTACCTATATTAGTATTATTATTAGAATTTTTATTAATAGCGGGGGTACTATTACTGAAAAGACGAATATTTATTTTATAGCGGTAATCGGCGTCCTTTAAATTACTTATAATAATATAGTAGATTGCGAATTACTTTTTAAAATCGTTAGCCTCGGGAAGGTTGTAATATACAAGAGCATCGTAAAGGTATTTATTAATTTTATTATATAAGTAGTAAATTTTTATAGAGTTATTAAGATTATAGAAGTTTATTAAATTAGTAAATTCTAGTTCGAACTCTATAAAAGATATATTCTTTATAAAGAATTCCTTAAGACGACGGCCAGCGTTTATCTTCAAATTAATATTTTAAAAACGGGTAATTAAATATTCTATAAATTCAATACTAGTCTTCTAACGCTAGGAATCTACATCTCCTCTATTCTAAATAATATTTAAATTATTTTAAATACCGAATAAGATTTCGGGACTTAGTAATATAGTAGTATAAATAATTTTAATATTCTTATTAATATAGAGGAGGGGGTCGTACTTCTATTAAAATAAAATACGGAAATACTATATTTTAAAAATCTTATATCTATAGACTATATTAATATTCTCCTTACCGGTGAGAATTAGTAAGTTCTCTATAATCTACCTTAAAAATAATATTTTATTAATATTAATATTAGTAGTTTTATTAAAGTTATTGAATAGGGACCGGATATTAATATTATAAAATTTAAGGGCGGTATAATTTATATTAAAATTATTATATTTCTTCTAAAAGTTATTAAATTCGACTATTAAATTAAAATAGTTAAAATTCTTCTAATTAAAATTATTTTAGGTTCTAATAATTACTTTACAAACGGTCTTTGATTTATCCTCGCTATATTTAAAGTTAATAATAATATTTTTGTATTAAGTAAAGTCGTTATAATAAAAACGATCGAATAGGGTAATAATTAATTAAAAAGTAGGGTCTTAAATAATAATATTAATTATATTAAAATAAACGCGAAGGATAATTTTCTTCTCCTCATTATTACTAATACTAATAAGAAGGTTATTAATTATTATTAAGGGAAGGAATTCGACGAATGTAGTTTAATAAATAGTAATATTAGTAATACTAATAATTTTATTAAATATTTTATAAATATCGTTTAAATTAAATAATATACTTTTAGGAAGGGCACTAAAATTAATAAAATTATCAATACTATTAATAGGAGAGAAGGACGTATAATCACTACTCTCATTGTAAAATATAAGAAAGGTAATCGCGCGAAATAGTTTTTTATTCTTTAAATAAAGAGTATTTACCCTTATTTATTAAATAAAGGGAGCGAGACTATAATTACGATTATTATAATTTATAATTATCGGTATTTAGGGTACTAGACTCGGCGATTCGACAAGCGAGGCAATTCTTATACGCACGCTAATTGAGAATTAATAGTATAATAAAAGAGAATAGGTTTACGCTATAAATACAATAGTTAAAAAGTACAATTAATTATTATAAGTAAAGGGTAGGTAGTAGATGTGATTATACGTAATTATATGAAGGAGAAAGGAAGAGAAGTGCAGTTGAGTGCCTAGAAGGCTAGCCTTATAAAGGCAACCGCCGGCGGGTTTAATAGACCCGCGGCGGGTAGTGTTCTGACCAATCAGCTGCCGGTAATAGTCGGCTTACTGGCGGTAATAACAGCGTACGGCAGTCTTAGAAGCTGCTATACGCTGGCACCAGGTATAAGGCACACAGGCTAACCCTATAACAATCTAGGTTTTTATAAAATTAATAAAATTTTTTATATAGATAATAGTAATATTAAAGACCGGATTTTCAACCCCAATCTACCCGCTAGAAATAGATATATTGATATACGGTATAAATAGTTAATTTAAAAGGTGGATAGGAAGGTATTTACAATTGAATATTTATTGGGTAATGAAATACTAGCCGATAATTTAATAAAGCCATTGAAATTAGATAAGCACGCCAGATTCGTTAAATTGATCGGTATAGTTCAAAAGAAGGTTCCCTGGGCTTAATCAACACTATAAAAGATATTACAATATAAATAGTATATAGAGGCTTAGACTCTCTTTGGTAGTCTTCTAGTCTATGGGGGTGTGTTGGTGGGTCCTTAGTATTTACTGGGCACAGCGGCATTCACTGGGTATAACCCAGTCCCCACTCTGTGCCTTGCCTAGACCGCACCATATCTAGCCTTCCAAACTCTGCCAGTCTCCCTCTCTCTCTATAGTACACACTCAATCAATTGTATTCAACCGCTTGATCTCGTTAGTGATCTCACAACTTGTCAAGCAACGCCGACACCAAGAAGCAACGACACTACCAAACTGAACAACACCAGCAAGCAAAACCACAAGAACAAGACAAATTATGTCAACAATTGCTCAGTCGTGTTTACTAACAGCTACCCAGCGTCATCCACCATTGCATTGAGTTTACCCAGGGCAATTTCCAACACAGTCCATCCCACCACATGTATGCATCCCCACTCCCCCTACAACTCCCCATCGAAAACCCCCATCAACACCCCTCCCGCATTTAATAAAACCGCCTAGGTAGGTAGGTAGGTACCTAACAACTAGCACAATCATCACACCTCTTGAACCCATACCCCAAATCCTTGCACGCCTGCACAAACCGGTTGTGCTGTGTGCCGGGGTTGACGCAGCAACCCGTGAAGCCGCAGCCTAGGACGCCGTACCTGGCTCCGATGCGATCGCAGGCCGTCTTGGAGTGGTCGGTACCGCCTTTGCAGGCGCACTTCTCGGCCGTAACGGTGACGGTGCCGACGGCGAGGAGGCTGAGGAGGAAGGAGAGGGTGGTTGTGAGACGCATCTTGATCTGGTGGGTAGGAATGTCACTGTTAGCTTGGGTAGGTTAGATATGAAGAGAGGTAGGTAGATTGAGATGGTTAGGGGTGAGATAGGGATATGGACTGATAGGAACAGGAACTGGATGGTTTGTCAACGAGGCGTAAAGGTAGGCAGATACCTACCTTTGGTGGTCAAGTTGGTGAAAATGGCCTGGATGAGAAGAAAGTGGGACGCTCTGATGAGGGTTGAAGCTTGTCTGAGAATCAGAGGGAAACGGATGGGGATGATCAAGTACTTGATGAATAGAGAGGAGCTATTTAAGGACTTCGCCAACTCCGGAATCTCTCAAGAGGTACTAGACGTTCAGGTCTGTGAATCTCTCCGTCCAGCTAGAGGCCGAATATTTCATATGACCCCTGCTGCGCTGCTGGATACCACTGTTTGCGTTACACGATGCTGGCGGGAGAGGTAAGCAATATCGCTACATTCCTCCGTCTTGGCTTTGCCAGTCTATTTCGTGATGGATCTCGAGATCATTATTGGATGTATGAAGTTGTCTACCGGGCACGAACTTGATAGGTGAGTTGGATAATTTGATGTTATTAGCTCAAGATGTCTGCGACGTCTCTTCCCGTGTTAATCTTGATTCATGGAAGCAAGGAGTTTTCGATGCTCAATGGGAGCTGCAACTGTCCATTTGTGTTCTCATTTTGAGCCTTTTCTTCCCGTATATTGTCATGATACCCTTCCCGGAAGCACTCCTGACCTTTTGCCACATGCGATAGTTCGTTGAAGAATATTAGCTCGAGGAATTTCCCGCAAGAAATGTTTGGCGTCCGTCATACTTCGTCGGCCTTCTTGGCTTGCCTGTGTCGATGGGGGTTGTGGAGAGAAACACATAATAAAATGAGGACATGCAGACTTGTAAACATCCATGTGGCAGGTGTCATACAAAAGCGTTACACGAGGTAGTTGGAGTGTGCACTACTCAGGTTGAAACTGTTACATAAGGTATTGAGTACTAAATGAATGTTGTTGGAAGTGGCAACTCAAATGTTGTCATGCGGACCTTCTGTGTGCCAGACTTCTATTCGAAGATCTGTGGTATCACTTGCCCTCTCCAAGTTACACAGACCATACTTTCCACAACCTGCGGATAGCACGACGCCGATCCAAACTCGTCTGGTTCCAGAGAATACCAGCGTGTGACTGCATAGAATACCGTCAGAACAGAACAGAACTATGCCAGCCATTAGATGGGCACACGCTAACTCTCCGAGCAAGAATAAGCTCAATCAGTGTAAGAACTTTAACCGGGAAGGCGGGTGAATGCTACGATGGGCCGAAGGGGTGCATGGTCACATCTCCTGTCCCGTCCATGATCGGGAGAGCCAATGGAAAGCCAGTGGAGGGAAAACGAGATCTGGATGGTTGCGTGCATGGCCTTAATTCAATTTCCCGCTTTGCATGTTTCCCTCATTCGTGGATGTGTATCTGGGTCTAGACATCGGTGTCGGCGAAGTATCGGAGCTGAAATCCCTCGACTGTTTTGCTGCGTCCTTCTGTGTCATCGCACTTGGTTCGCTCGACGCAACCAACGTTGAGCTTCGACGCAGGATTCGAGCGTGGGTAGAAGATCTCCGTCATCTGTGACGGTTGTGTCTTGAGGAACGACCGAGTGTATCGTTGCGATTGCTACACCCAAGTCCAGTCAGCTTCGGAGTCAAAACATTCATTCCCCAAGACGGATGCTCACCTATATGATTGCCGAGACTTCTCCATCAACTACGGCCAGTGTCTGTCCAAGACAAGGATTGAATCATCTCTTCGAGTGGGCGCTAGAACGTCACTCCCTTTGCCGTCCAGACTCCGTCGCCGCGCTGCTGGTCAGAGGCACATGTGCCGTCAGCAGTTCCTGAAAGACTACCTCTGAATTTGTTTCGATACCAGACAGTGCCTCCGAGGTCAACCCTTTGTCGCTAATTTCTGGAGTTTGATCAGTAGTGGAAGCCAGAGATAAAGATGGAGCTCGACTCTTCCTGGGAGGCGATTGAACCCGAACCTCTTCTGCGCCTGATCCAGCACATCGTCCGACGCTCAGGTTTGTTGATAGTGGGGTTGGGGGTCTTGAGTTGAGATCTCGAACACCCATGATATGCAGAATTTGATGAAGTTTTGAACGGCAATGTTGACTCGGTGTTTAGGTGGGCTCTGCTAGGGTTTGGCGGACTGGATTGTAGGATTGGCGACGATGTTTCTGCGGCATTTTGTTTGGGCGGTCTGGTGCCGTAAAGGGTGATGCCGGAGGGTTGGACCTTCTCAGGTCCGCAACGTGAACTCATGATGACGCAAATGTGCTATTTCCCCCGCCGGGTTCAAAGACCACATTGTCAGAGCTCTAGCGTCATAAGCACAGTCGCATGAGGTGAGTGTTGGATGCTATGATGTGTTCTCGACCCGTCTAGGTAATTGTATATGTGTTGAATAAAGGAACATTCAGCGCACTCCCATTTACCAACAACTGCACCCGTTAATCATCTTCAGGAACCACCTTCCACATACCTCACCAGACATCAAATTATCACATACAGAGTCTCGTCCCTGCCTCCAAGTTACAATGGCCGACAAACAAATCGTACCGATTGACCATTCGGGATGTCTCTCCCTCTACGACGTCAGCATCCCCACCTTCCTCCGGGGTCAACACACGCTCAAGCACCTCCTTGTCACCGCCACCAAGCATGCCCAAGTCAACGACATTTCACTGAATGAGATACCACACTGGACGTTGCATCCAGACATGAAGCCCTTGACCTTTCAGGTCCAATGTGCCAGTAACACGCCCAAGAAGTTTGTCGACATCATTACTGGTCAGACCGGCGTCGCCTTTGCCGATGACGAGACCACCATCGAGCAGCTCATTGAGCGGTGCCAGCACACGATTGACTTTTTGAACAAGGTGGACAAGAAGACGGTGGATGAGGCGCACTTGCGTTTCAACACGATCAACCTGCAGTTGCTGGCTCAGGTGTATAATATGACGCCGCAGCATTATGTCACCAAGTTCGCGGTGCCCAATTTCTTCTTCCATTTGCAGACCGCTTATGCGATTTTCCGGATGAAGGGCGTGTCGATTGGAAAGGTGGATTACTTGGAGCGTTTCTTGCAGCGTGATGGTTGATATGGTTCCATATCGAGGTGTGGTTGCACTCAGGGGAATAGACGATGGGTACCGATGTGATGGGCATTAGTGGCGAGGGCTCAATGTGCTTGCAGTTTGTGTCACAACTTTGTGTGTAAGAGTAATTTGGTGTTTAGAGTGTTCATTGAGATTGCATGACTTCAATATAAATTAGGTTGTTTGTACACGATGAATCGGCATAGACACAGGTTTAAAGAACTCGTATCTTGTGAACGATCAACCCTTTTCTTGGATAGTCCAGGCAACGACAATGAGACTCCTCTTCTCTTCTCCCTTTTATTCCCGAAACTCCGTGAATATCCCTTGCCCCCGAGATTTTCGATTCCGCTACCGTGAAGGCTCGCCCGTCTAACATCTTGGGCCTGCAGACTACGACATTTTGTTAAGTAGGTAAGCTTCGTTCACCTCATCCTGTCTCACAGTGTCTTCGTAAAATCACAGTATGATGGCTGACCATTTGCTTATATAGTGGAACTTTGGGAATCGTGCAACGAATTCGACAATCCACCAAATGATCCCTAGCTCCTCGTCCCCATTCAAGTCTCAAGGATCTTCCCAAGTCAACTCGCGAGCATAGTGGAAGAGACCATGATTGGGACCTCGCCTGTGTGGACGATTGTCCTCCGATTTCGTAGACCGCCATGATGCAAATGGAGGTGGTGGCTTTGCGGTTAACACTAGTAATGGTTAGGTACTAATCATGATTCTTCAGTGCTTGCAACTGCGAAGAGCGAAAGACCAAGTGTAGGTCAGGGATGTATGGCTCACGGTTGACCGTGTTGGAGATTGGGAATATACGGAGCGCTTTGACATGATCTCATTTGATAGTCGGAGGTCAGATCCGGAATGTGAACAAGCAGGACTGAAGATTGGGCGGGTGGTCATAGCGGAACATTGAACCAGAACGGAGCACTGAGCGCGTTGATATGCTGATCTGTTCGAGTCAGGATATTGTGAGAGGATTAAATATTACTAGATTACCTTTGGTCCGACCGATGTAGCTACCTAGAGGTACCTACGCCAACTCGCACTCAATGACATTCTCAACAGCAGAAAGTCCACTCGACCAGAATTTGACGATCTTGAGACCCAACCCGCTGCCCTCGATGAGTTGATGCCACTGGTCTTCTGTCCGCTCGCAAGCCGACAGCTGCGTCATCATCAGCATGTCGCCCGCGGTTGCTTCCCAATAGGCACCGGTTCGCGGGATCACGCATTCGAATATGAGCAACTTGCTGTATCCGGGCTTCATCGCCTCCGCCAGACGAGCGAGGATCTTCTGGCAGACATCATCGGGCCAGTCGTGCAGGATGGAGTGCATGAAATAGGCCCTGGCTCCCTTGATGGGCTGCTCGGTCAGGAAGTCGTGGGGCATGCGCTGGATCGAGGGATCGATGTCTTTGACATCTTGGATGACAGTCGGACGATCTTGTAGGATTAGTTTCTACACATGGCCAGTCAGTCAAATCATGCCCATTTTCTTGTCATGTCGGGAGTGACAAATATATGGGGCTGCTCACGCCGGGATGGTTGGGGTAGTTTCTCTTAAATTCGTCAATGTCATGGCCGAGGCCGCCAGCAACGTCGACAACCAGCGGCGCATCGGACGAAGCATCGGTACCGGGGAACAATTCCTTCTCTACAGGATAGATCTTGGGATGATGCCACGGCAAGCGGCCCTGCCTGTAACCGCCCACTATGAGTGTGAAACGCGAGGTTAGCAATGTTGCCTCCCATGTACTATTGCAGGATATATCCTTCGGGGGCGCATGACTTACTATGGTGGTTCATCTGAGGACCCATGCCGATGGACCCGAGATACACCATGCAGTTTGGCACATCGCTGTTGTAAGACGCATGGAACGCCGTGTGGGCGGCATCGACGGGATTTTGCCAGTTGGTCTCGCGAAGGAACTTGTAAAAGTCGATAGGGCTGCGGCCGATGCCACCGAGTCTGTAGAATGTGAAAAAAAATATGGTTAACAACATAGACTTCGGGAAAGCTAGTAGGGGGATCACTCACAGGCAGACATAACTATCGCCGATGACATCGAGGCTCATTGACTTGGTGAAGTTTGTAAGCTTGTACTCATCTTGAGCCACCTCCACAAGATGGCCCATGGCGCACACATGGCGCAACAGGCGGCCTGTTGTTTGACCTATTAGCTTGAGGTCTTGGGTGTTTATGAACTCGAGTCGCTAACCGAGAAGTTCGGGATCCATGCCCAAAGACCTGGCAAGGTGGTCAACCTTGTGAACGGCATCAACGCCATTCTTGACCATGAGCTTCCAAAGACCGACATCAACACCGGTGGTTAAAGCGGCATCAAGTCCGGGCTGTATTCGAACCTCGTATTAGTAAGCTGGCAGCGATGGCTTGGGAAAAGCAGTCAGCCACTTACATCAGCCCATGTATGTTGCAACATTTGCTCGCGGGGTGTCATGAGAGACTGGAGAAGACTCCGTGCCTTGATAACCATCTTGTGGCGCGTCTCCTCATCGTCTTCTGTCCAGTTTCCATTGAGGGAGGTAAGATCCTCGATCAAGCCCGGCACAGCATCGGCATCACTTGGCCGAGTGGCGAGCGAGAGATCAACTGTAGTGGACATGTTGGCTGTATGTGTTATGTGCTACTGAAACTTGGATAATGGGGAAAAGGTCGTCGAGCTCGATGGGGGGAGATGTATGCCGCTACTTATATGGGCAATATGTAGACGAGGACGCCGACAGGCCTACCCCTAAGCGTCACTCGCGTCGAATCTATCTCGACATAGATGTGATCAGCCGTACGACGTGGGGCTTGAGTGAGGCTCCTCTCGCTGCCCCTACTTCCTCGGGGAGAGATCAAACCCCGATCAGGCGCAGCACGCCTAAGCACTCGGTGGTGACGGAGAAGCATTTCATGGAGCAAACAGAGTAACCGTTTTGGCAAGTTGAAAGCGGTGGTCGCGATGGTTAGTTTGGTGGTGGAACGGGTTTAGTAGCTCCGGGATATGGGTCGGAGAGTAGGTACACCCAGCCAATATCGATTAGTATGAGTTAATGCGGGGCCGATATGGGGGTAATACGTACCATGATGATGCCACTCACTGTTCGCTTCTAGAGGTGGAGGTAGAGGTAGGTACAGTAGGTAGGTAGGTCCCTCGAGGCTCGAGCTGTTCTTGACTCCCTTGGGTAAGGGAATGGTGGCATAAGGAAGTATGAATTACTACCTAAGGATTCTCTCCAGCCATCTCCGCTGTCGCCCACATTCCCTCCGCAGTGTGCATGTTGCTTTCCCGGGAATAACCCACTGAGTCACAGGCCTTCCACCGGCCGCGGTCATGAAGATCGCATTCATAGGTAGGTAGTAGAGGTAATCATGAAAAGAGGAAGTGACGACCGAGTGTTGAAGAAAGAACTGAGTGCAGTGAAGACGGAAAGAACGGATGCACGGAAGTTGCACTGTGCCAGATGTCGGATTGGACCCACCGGATGAGGCTGTTAGCCGGACCGCCACCATTGGCGCCTTGACAGCGGTTCGGCACTAACCGAGTCCCGCCTAGCAAGCCTCTTAGGCACTGCCGGCTCGCTGTTCCGGGCTAAAGCGGCGTCAAAACATCACTGTGCAGCATGCAGTATGCACCGAGGTATCATGAACATCTGGATGGAGTGGGTTCACTGCCCTGCAAGGGAAGGTGCTGCTGTGGTGCCGAGACGACGGGAGTGGAAGGCGGGGATGGCGATTCCCACCAGCATGGACACTCGTACCTACCTAGTTATCTCTCCGATGGGTGTAACCTACTACGGTACCTTACGTACGTACCTTGTTTTGACCAGACAACTTCCCAGCCATCATCAATCACTAAATCCCCGGCAACCACCAATTTCAGGACAGATATCGCCAGCCTTCTTCCTCATGATGATTCCCAATTTCAAGACACATCAATCTGGAAAATCTTGACCTCGGGACGTCCTCTTCAACAGCGTCTCTCCAACCAGCCCAGACATTGTACAAGTATGTCAAGGAACTTTGCTGCTTTCGCTGAAGAAAAGGGGGTTCCGACATGGCCACCCAAGGGCTGTGCTTACTCCTGCAAGGAACCATGTCATTGTATGACAGGTCACTAGACCTTCTCCTCGAATCCATCAACCTTTCATCTTCGTAAGCCAGTCAAGAACGATGAGAGTACCGTAACCGAGGGTGGGGTATGCCTGCACATCATTTGCATTTAGAATCAAGAGAGTTCAAGTCCCGACGGTTTGGGTCAAGGTGGTAGCAAGCCCCATCCCTTGATTGCTGCCTGCAAGTGACCCAGTACGAGTTTTGCAAGAGAGAACACTGACACTTGTTGTTGGTAGATGTTCGAAAAGAAGAAAATCCCAGCTCCTTCGTTGGCTTGGGTGCTGCTTCGAGATTCAGGGTTCGTGGTTTCACGGGGCTCACATGTCAAGATCCCCGGACATTAGCGGGCGATTTCTGTCTTTCCTGGTCTGGAGGCTTACTACAAGTTTCGTTGCTACTACCCACGTTGATGACCCTGAACGCTGGAGACGAGTAAATACACGTGAGTGTTGTGTAGCATGCCATTTTCCTTGATCTTTGATATCTATCTGTACCTCTGCTCTTCGCTATGTACAGCGGTTTTGGGTTTTCTCAAGTGCACTTTTTCCCTTGAAAACACTAGGCAGTATTGCTCCGCCTACCCAGACAAAATGGACGATAAAGGGCCAATGATGCTTACCGTATGCTGGGTATTCACAGCACTCGCCCTTCTCTTCGTCAGCGCTCGTCTCTACGTCCGAGCCGTGGTGCACGACAAGCTCGGCTTCGATGACTACGTTATTCTCTTCTCGTGTGTAAGTACACACCCCTCGAGCCGCCGATTATACCCTGAATACTCCCAGATCCGTGATGAAGATTTCTCCAGCTGACATGACTTAACAATGTCCTCACAGTTCTGTGCAGTTCTCTCCAACATCTTCGTAACGATATCCGTCTCCTGGGGCAACGGCCGACACTTTGCCGATCTCGACCTCGAGCAAAAGGAAAACACCATCAAGTTCATGATGGCCGCCTACGTCCCCGGAATTGAAACACTCGGCTTCCCCAAGCTCGCCGTCATCGCCCTCCTGGTCCGACTGCTCATGCCCAGCCGGCTGCATACTATAGTCTTGTGGTCCATGGGTACCATCTGCTGTCTGTCACTCACGGCCATGGTTATGACCTTGCTCTTGCAGTGCACGCCGACCCAGGCGCTGTGGACTCTTACCATGCCTCATAACTGTCTCGCCCCGGACGTGTTGGAGGGGTTGGCTTATTGGGCTAGCAGTAAGTTGAATTTCGTCGGCTCAAAGACCAACAAAAGAACCAGACGCGACTGACCACATCACCCGCCTACCTCCACAGCATGCTCGGCGTTTTTAGACTTTTACCTGGCCATATACCCAGCTACTGTCTTGTGGAAGTTACAAATGCACACCAAAAAGAAGCTAGCTCTGTGCTGTGCTCTCGGTATGGGTCTCATGTAAGTGCCTCTCGTGGTGTTGACGTTTGCCATCTGTTTGCCCCATGCCACGTTCGCATGGACTGACATGACAACGTGTTACTAGATCGGGTGCTGTCGGTATCATCAAGGCAACCGGCGTATCGACTCTGTCCAACCAAGATGTCAGCTGTAAGTTTTCCCTCGGTGTCAGGCGCCATCCCAATTGGATAAAAGGCTGTCCCTTTTTCCAAGAGGAAAACTAACAAGGGGGATCACCTTTAGACGAACTCTGCGATCCCTTATACTGGACCTCGTAAGTACTACCTCTACAGTACCAATCTACCTAACCAATCACCCTCTGAGATCCTAACCCCGTTAATCACATCCAAGCGTCACCGCTAAAGAATCTCAACTGATCCTCGACCCACAGAATCGAAGGCAACCTAATCATAATAGCAGCCTGCATCCCCCTCCTCCAACCCCTGGTCGAAAAAGCCAAAGGCCGCAGCATCTGGCGATCCCGGGGCTACAAGACCGACTCCAACAATGACGACAACGAGCACTATGCCGAAGGCACAGGAAATCCTGGTTTGAGCAAAAACAGCAAGCAGACCGGACCGGACGCCTTCGAGATGGGAAGTACCTCGAGAAAGAAAAAGAAGGTGGATCAGTACGGGTTTACGATGCATGCCAAGGAGGAGAGTGAGGAGAATCTGAACAAGAAGGACAGTAACAATGGCGAAGATGATTCGGGGCTGGGAAATCATAGGGATAAAGTGGAGGGCGAGCAGGGCGAACATGACGGTGGGATTTTGCAGACTAGATCTGTAACTGTTGCTTATGACCAGGTGAGTGAGTCTGGAGGGGAGACGACAGCTGCTACTAGGTGGGCTGCTGTTTAGACGGGGGTATTGAGCAAAAGAGGGAGGGTGGGCTTGGAATTGATTGGTTTTGTGAACGGATGGGTCGCTTCTTTGGTCAAAGGCTTCGTTGATTTCTTTTGTTTTTCTTCCTTTGTCTCTCCTTGTTTTTTCATGCTGGGTTCGGCGCAGTCGGCAGGATCTCCGTCGAGACATCGACCTAGTATACCACATTTATTAAACTCCGGCTTCCTTTTTTTCCCTTTTGTCCCAAGACAGCCGACCGCAAGGTTAATATTAAAATATTGTATTTCCCAAACTGTTCTTTTACACAATAAGTAGGTACACGATCCTCGTTCGATCTCCTGTTTCCTCCAGTTGGTGTTTGTCTCGGTGACAAAACCACAAAGGTAGGTAGAAAAGTCAACCAATAAGATCGCCCTCACCAAACCAAAAAGGCAAGTGGGTCTCGCCACTGGAGCAAGTGTGGGGCGCTACCGAGAAAAGTTTGCGAAAAATTCTCCAACACAGGAAAAAAAAAATAAAGAGAAAAAGATGGATGTTGTCCTCAGATGAGGAACATCGGGAATTGAGCCCGACGTGGGGGTCGAACCCACAACCTTGAGATTAAGAGTCTCACGCTCTACCGATTGAGCTAGCCGGGCAGCTTGACGAAGCTGCCAATTGTTAAAAGTCAGTATCAGGCAAGGTGGTTATGTAGGTAGGGGAGCAGCCAGCACGGTGCTTACGCCGGCATGGTTCCTCCCTCAGAGTCGGCTTTATTGTTACTTGATCAACCCTTCTTCCTTTTACACCATTTGCACCTTGTTCGTTCTTGTATCCCATTTCCTACTTACCCCTCCCACCCTTTATTCCTTCCCTTCTACTCCTCGATTACATCATCAACCCACCCAACCCTCCCCTCCGATGAATACCAAATTGAAATTCGAAGCCATTCACACCCTCCTTTCTCCTTCTCAACAACGACCAAATCCGCACTCCTAACAGCTTCAAACCGCCAGCACCGGCGGAGTATAACTCTTCGGCCCCATATGCGCCTGGTAAAGAGACCAGATTGCGCGGGCTATAGCTCTCGCTGTCTCCCGCTGACCGAGATCTGCGCACTCGACACGTAGAACTGGGCGGCGGCGGCGGCGGCGGCGAGGAAGTTACCTGTAGGAGCGATATCGGGTTATTCCTTTCAGACGATACCTAGTAGTGATAGCTTCGGCATATTCCGTCCTTCTTTTTTGTAGAAGTGAATTTTTTTTTTTTTTCCGTTTCTCGTTTCTCCTTTCGTTATCCATCATTAGCATTGTGGTTAAGATGGCGTCCGACTTTGAAGTTGTCGTTCGGACCTGAAGTTGCCGTCCCGAGATAGCTCCACAAATTCATGTGGGAAATCGCAAATATTCTCTGGGTAGTTCCCGAAATCTCTACCCTCATTCCCTCATATGAGGTTTTGAAAGAACTTCTTGGTACCTACCACTACCAATAGCAAATTCACCCGGGGTGTTGTTACTCTAGTGTACTCGGCAGCCCTACACCCCCACCTATCAAGACCATCAAATCGCTACCTAGCGATCTTTAGGCAAAACCAAGTTTCAAGTCCGCGCCGTTGTCATTGCGACAAAAGAGAACAGCCAAGCTCCACCATAAAAAAGCCTTCGACTCGTAAAGAGAAGGTACAGCCGTAGATGCATATTATGGGTAAATCCATCAAGTCACGCTGCCAACGGTGTGTCAAGTATCGTTACATGAATAGCAGGCAACAACACTGCGCTAGATGCAAGAGGACCAAAAGATTCGGTTTTGAGCTTCGTCTTAGAGATGGGCTGAAAGTGTTTGCTAGACTGCGGTTGATGGAAAGAGTCCGTATTAATGGAGGCCGTACAAGTCATGAGGGAAACATGAAGTTCTTCGGACACGGGGTGCAGGGGCAAGGGATCAGAATCACTTGACGAGTACACATCACTTTACGAGAGTTGGCATAAATGTTATGACAATGCATTGTGCTACTATTGGTCCGGTAGTACTGCTACAGGACAAAGGACAACTAAGCTATGAGAGTATCGGACAGACACAAAGAATGCCATGCAGAAAGAAAAAAATAAGCAAAGCAGGAGAAAAGAGAAAGTAGACGTAGCGCTAAGAGAATGTCCCAAACTAACCACGTTCAAGTATTCTTCACAGAGGCATCTCGCTCTCCTCCATGATCATGTCCATGCTGATAATGTCCTGGAAACTCAGGTTCATGTTTTCATCGACGGCCTTTGAGAGCTGTTGATCCAAGAATAGATCTGCATCGGTAAGACCCTCGGTACCAGTAAAGTCAGGTAGGGGCACTTGCTCCACCTGAGCAGGTTCGTTGACAGTGGGTTCGTTGACAACAGGCTCGCTGGCATTGGTGTTCGCACCAGCAACCTCAAACTCCTGGAGAGCCCTTTCGATATCTGAGTCAGATATATCGGCAAAGTTAGCAAGGCTGTCCTCCAAGCTAACCCGTGGGTGATTGGTATTCATGGATGGGACTACACCAATGTCAGCAGAAAAGCCGATCTCAAGGCCATCCAAGGGCACTTGTTGATCGATCTCCATGGGAATAGGCATAGGGATACTAAAATTTGCCGGCATGGTAAGCTCCAGAGAGGGCCAAGTATATGTAGGCAGGGAAACCTTGTACATACCAATTGTTTCGTCATATGACCATTGGAGGTTGAAAATCTTGGGCACGTAGGGCTCGAGCAGTTGGATGTTGCGAACGTGGTTTCTGAGCTGCTCGTAAGTGGAGGCGACGAAGCTATTGTATTCGAGACAGGCCAGTTCATAGTCCAGACCTTTGTCAGTGGGCCAGTAGGCGGCCCGCATGACTTCAGATTTCTGGCAGAGAGTCAGGAAGCTCTCTAGCTCTTTAGCACGACTGCTAAGTGAGGCTAGGCGTTGGAAGATATGGGGTGACAGATCTTTCTGGTAAGTACTCGACGAGGAGAAGGGATCGTGAGAAGCTGGGTAGAGAGAGGGGAGAGGCTGGGGCATAATGGCCGCCTTAGTCTCGGCCTGCTTGGCATCAGTAGTGGAGGGAAGGGTGCGGGACTTGTCCTGCTTGCGTCTAGGTTTGTACTTGTAGTTAGGAAAGGCCTTGGCGTTCATCTGCTTATCTATAACAGCAAGAGCTTGGTACTTTGATTTGACCGAGGGGGGCTCGAGAGACCAGCTCCGCGAGAGGATGGTTGATATCATATGCATGGGATGAGATACCTCTGGGAGTTCGGTACGGTGGGCGTCCCTCCATGCCTTGGCGCGGGCATGATTGGCGGTGAGGTAAAGGACGAAGTGGTTGCAAGGCCTCTTCGGCTTCCCAAGGCCCAACTCCTTGTGCCTTATCTCGACGGACCTGTGGACGTAGGCTTCCATATCCCGGAACGGGACATGGTCGAGATCCGAATCTTGGCTGAAAGGCTTTGTGAGCAATTCTTCAACGATCTTGGTGTCCCTGCCCATTTTGGATGACTGGCGGTGACTGATGGTGATGGTATGAGTCGCTTTCTGGTGAGTCAGTGTCTGTTGATGTGGTCGTGAGGGCAAGGTTGAGGCTGCTTGTTTGAGCTGATGATGTGGATCGAGACAACAACAACAACATGGTTACACTGGATCTCGCCGTTTATTTAAGTCAAAATGGCTTCGGGTGAACAAGATGCTTCTCCTATAGACAGGCTGTGGACAGGACGACGAAGGAAGCACACATTCGCGGAACAGAGAAATTGAACAAAGACGTGGGCGAGGGAGAGGCTGAAAGAAACCGTAACATTGGCATTGTCCCGCGGAAGAGCATCCGATGGAGCCGGTGAGCACTCGGTTGAGACATGTCAGTTGTGATAACAAGTAACATGGTCAATGTTCGCTTGATTGATGATGGCATGCGACGAACGAAGAAGTGCGGATGAAGTGGAATTAAAGTTGGAACACCTGGGGAATTCCAGGCCGCACCCGGACTGCAGTGACAGATGGGTGGAACCCGACTTTGGCGGGCTCGCTGGGTGGGGTGGGGTATCAATGACTCTGTCCCGTCTGAAGGGGCTTTTATTTATTGGCTGCAGAGCCTTCTTATCAGCTTATCGGTAGCTGAGTCATCCGAGATCCAGAGTCCCCGTCCAGTGTATGGACACTGACTCCTCCCCCACCCGATGAAACTGGGTGTGGTTGTTGCAGGGCCCAGAAAAAAATTGAAACCCTCTCTTTCTCTCTTTCCGTCTTCGTTTTGAGATCCGGCATCCAGAATTCGAAGTCGCACATTCGCATCTTGGTTGTCGATAACCTCCAATCCCAACACCATGGCTGCCGCTACCCTCGGAGAGGTGCCTACCAAGGCCTTCGATACCATCCTGACCTTGGATTTCGGGTGCGTTGGTCCTCCTGCTCTGCGTGCTTGGTGTTGTTACTGCAATATGCAAGGATATATGTGCATGTGTTCATCCAGTGCTAACAAGCCGTTCCGTTCTCTCACAACAGATCGCAGTACACTCATTTGTAGGTCTCTTCTTTTCTCTTAGATTTCACTTTCACTCATGCGAGAGATGAGTTACTAGGGTACTCTAGGGCTCTGTCGTGTCGTGGTTGCTTTTGTTTACTTGTGAACCCTGGACTGCCTTCACCCTCTCAACAACCCCCCCTGCAGCCCCCAAGCGTAGACAACAGGCACACTAACCCAATGACTCCCAAAGGATCACCCGTCGTATGAGAGAGCTCAACATTCTCTCTGAGATGCTGCCATGCACCACCAAGATTGCCGATCTTGACTACAAGCCCAAGGGTGTCATTCTCTCCGGCGGCCCCTACTCCGTCTATGAGGACGGTGCTCCTCACGTCGACCCTGCCGTGTTCGAGCTTGGTATGCATCACCTCTGACCTGAAAGGCTTATAAGTTGCATCTTTACTAACACTCTCATTGCTTAGGTGTCCCCATTCTTGGCATCTGCTGTATGTGATATCTCATGGTGATTCATGTCACCACGGTCTATCCACCTTCACCTCGAATCACCGGGGCATCATTGACACTCTCACAGATGGCATGCAGGAGATCGCCTGGCGCGCCAGCCCCGAGAACGTCATTGCCGGCGTTCACCGCGAGTACGGCCACTCCAACCTGAAGGCCCTCAAGGGCGACGACGCTCACGTCGACCGCCTCTTCGCCGGTCTCGAGGACTCCATGCGCGTGTGGATGTCGCATGGTGACAAGCTCGGCGCCCTGCCCGAGGGCTTCCACACCGTCGCTGTGTCCGACAACTCCGAGTACGCCGCCATTGCGCACAAGACCAAGCCCATCTACGGTCTTCAGTTCCACCCCGAGGTCACCCACTCGCAGAACGGCACCCAGCTGCTCAAGAACTTCGCCGTCGACATCTGCGGCTGCGCCCAGAACTGGACCATGGCGCGCTTCCTTGACCAGGAAATCGCCCGCATTCGCGACCTCGTCGGTCCCGAGGGCCAAGTCCTCGGCGCCGTCTCGGGCGGTGTCGACTCCACCGTCGCCGCCAAGCTGATGAAGGAGGCCATCGGCGACCGCTTCTGGGCCGTGCTTGTCAACAACGGCGTCATGCGCCTGGACGAGTGCGAGCAGGTCGAGCGCGACCTCAAGCAGCACCTGGGCATCAACCTGACCGTCATCGACGCCTCCAAGGACTTCCTCGAGGGCCTCAAGGGTCTCCACGATCCCGAGCAGAAGCGCAAGTTCATCGGCGGCAAGTTCATTGACGTGTTCGAGGCCGAGGCCCAGAAGATCGAGGAGGCCGCCGCCAAGTCCGGCAAGGGCACCAAGATCGGCTTCTTCCTGCAGGGTACCCTGTACCCGGACGTCATCGAGTCGCTCTCCTTCAAGGGCCCCTCGGCCACCATCAAGACCCACCACAACGTCGGCGGTCTGCCCGAGCGCATGACCAACGGCCAGGGTCTCCAGCTCATCGAGCCGCTCCGCTCCCTGTACAAGGACGAAGTCCGCGAGCTCGGCCGCACCCTGGGCATCCACGAGGAACTCGTCATGCGCCACCCCTTCCCCGGTCCCGGCATTGCCGTCCGCATTTTGGGCGAGGTGACGGAGGAGAAGGTGCGCATTGCCCGCCAGGCTGATCACATTTTCATTTCCGAGATCCGCAAGGCCGGCCTGTACGACCAGATTTCGCAGGCGTACGCGGCGGTTGATCCTAGCCGTGCTGTGGGTGTCATGGGCGACAAGCGCGTCTACGGCTACATTATCATTCTGCGCGCGGTGACGACCACGGACTTCATGACGGCTGAGGCCTTCAACTTCCCGTGGGACTTCCTCCAACGCGTCATGAACAGGATTGTCAACGAGGTTAATGGAGTGTGCAGAGTCACTTATGACATTACCAGCAAGCCTCCTGGCACTATTGAGCTTGAGTAAGCGGGTCTTTGGTCTAGCTGAAGGGTTGGAAAAGTAAAACGTCTGCAAGGAAGGAAATGAATGAAGATACCATGAGTAACAGATGGGGAATGAAATAGATTTGACGTGTTCATGCCATGTATGTTGTGTCAATTGCTATATTTGAGTGATGGAGATCATATGTGCTTGTTTATTCCTACTCGAAGCTACCCATAGTACCTCTCAACCGGCGCACTTCTATTCACATAACTCTCGAACCATCATGACGCCAAGCCCATAAACCAAAAGCACAGATACATAGATAAAACCACAAACTCCAAACGCCATTTGACTCCCCATCAACCCTCTCACTATGTAGTGTAGTGTAGTGAAAAAATTTACCTCTATGTACTTGCCGACCTATGTATCAATCCTCTCACCAAAAACTCTCATCAACCATAAAATCCGCATCATCATCCCCCAACTCCTCAATCCTCAAACTCCCATCAATTACATCTTCCCCGTCCCCCTGACCCTGCACCTCCACTTTTATCTCTCCATTATTCCCACTCCCCATCCCGGTCTCCTCCCCATATAAATCCTCATCCACCTCCGCCACATCCGACAACCACGGCTTCCTCGCCACTTTCCCTCCACCACCTCTTCCCTCAGCCTTCTTTCCCACCCTCGAAAGACTTCTCGAGCTTGAGCTTGAGTTTGAACTTACGGGCTTCCTCACAGGTGATGTGCTTTCAGAAGAACTATCCGTAGTAGTAGAGACAAGGGACCCAAACCCGGATTTCGCAAACGCACTTCCACCCCCAAGCGCCAATGCCATTGGGTTGATATTCGCGTTTGCACTAGACACCTTTCCCATGTTTTGGTCCATGATTTCTGACATGGATGGTTTATTGGAAGTTGAACTTGAGCTGGACGACGATCTTGCCCTTCCGCCTATTCGCCTGCCGATTCGTGTAGGGGATCCGGAACCGGAACCGGAACCAGCGCGAGGACGACCAACGCCGGAACCAGAACCAGAACGGGGTCGAGTACTGGAACTAGAGCCAGAGCCAAAGAGAGAGCTACTAGAGCGTGAGGAAGCTGGACTAGGGCCGGAGCTGGAGCCTGGGCTAGGACCTGCTGGGACTGAGGGACCGCCGCGTGGTTGGGGATTAAATGTTGGGTTGAGCGTGTTGCCGGCGGTGTTGGGCTTGAAGCCGACGTTGGGGTTAAAGTTGCTGTGCCTCGTAGCTGTGTTGGGGTCGAATCTCTGCATAGGCTTTGTCGGTTGTTTACCTGGCGCGGTGGGTTTGTTGAGGCTGGCGTTAGAGGCAAGGTTAGAACTGGAGCCTCTGGCTGGTTTGATAGGCCTGAGATCGGGTCTAGGAGCCGTGGAGCTAGAAGCGGCATTTGAAGTAGAAGAAGAGAAAGTCGTACGCTTTAGATCAAGCTTTGTTGTGTTCGTGGAAGGTGTAGGCCCAAAGGGGTCATCACCTGCGGGAGTCGAAGAATTGGGCGGTGTAGCCGGCCGCAACTTGAGAGTGGGAGGTGGAGGTCTTGCCAGTACCAGAGCCATGGGATTGTCATCGATGACAGTTTCATTCTCGAGTTGAGACCGTTTTGTCTCCTCGCGCATGTGGCTCGAATTCCCAGGATCTGCACTAGGGGCTCTGGAGAGGGATGTGCGACGCTGTCGTCCGGTGCCAGATGCAGCAGTTGAACTAGATCCGGCACGAGAGACGGAGCGCCGACGACCACTGGAGCCCGAGGCAGAACCTGCGCGAGACCTTCCTCGTTCTTGCTTCTCCCCGTCCCGTTTCTGCTTTTCGTACTGCTCCCTTCTCTTTCTCTGTGCCTCTTGCAGCTGCTTGTCCATCTTGTTATTTCCCTTGTCGTTGGCTCCCTTTTCCCTGGCCTCGCGCGGCTTCTCCTCCGGCTTCATCTTGTCAACCTTTCTCTCTGCTTGCTTCTCCTCTGTACGGCCAGTTTGAGGTTTCCTTGATTTTATGAACAGGTCTGCATAGTTCTCCTTGTTCGCCACGTCCTTGACCTTCAGCCTCGCTTCCTCCATGTATCTCTCGCGTTCCCGTCGTTTTTCAGTCTCCTGATCAACCAACATGTCCATATCCCCATCTGCGTCCATGTCTATATCCGGGCCCATATCCATCGGAACTGTCCCCTCTGGCGGTGGTCCAGGCGCAAATGAGTCTATCCCCATCATGTCCAGAGTACTCATGTCGGGCTCATCCAGATTCATCTCATTCTCTCCCCTCACCCGCCCCGTCATCTCAACCTCCATGGTTCTACTATCAAACGTAGACCAAAACTGCTCCCTGAAATACCGAGCCTCCCACTCTCTACGGTGCGCCAACAATCTATCCTGCTGCTCCAGCCGGTCTTTAAATCTCCGTTTCACCTCCTTTGTTTCCCGCTCGACCCTCTTTTCCTCCTCCCTCTGCTGATGTTTTTCCTCCAACAACTGCACCAGCTGGGCATTACTCCACTTCTTTTCGTTTCCCAGACCCTGGCACTGACCTGCTTCTGCACAAGCCGACATGGACAACTTGGCCCACTGCGCCAGGTCGGCCAGCAAGACGGGATCGTACCGACTGAGCATCATCTCGAGGGTGTAGATAATCCCCGGGTGCACACCGCTGTGCATAGGGGCGGTGATACCCTTGGTCCATTTGCAATGTCCCTTTTCTAGCTCGTCGAGCAGTTGAGCAGCGCTTTTGCCTGCTTTATTCTCGACTTTCATCTCGTACGAGTAGAACTCCAGGAGCAACCGGAAGTCATAGCGGGTGAGTAAGGTCACCACGGCAGCGACGTCGGCTGTTGGACCGAGAAGACTACGGATGGCGAGTGCAGGGTTCTTGGCTTGTTCGAATCGCTGGTTGCCTAGTTCCAGAGCGTCTAGGATTTGGTAGACTGGTTTCACGATATTCTCGGGTTGGATGAGCCAGGCATAGAAGCTGTCGAGCAGTTGGCGGTCGTGATGGGGGAAGTACGCGTACAGTTTGGTGAGATCGGGCGGTGGTCGAGAGGAGAGGGCAGTAAGGCCGAATGGCCCTCGAGAGATCAGAGCTGTGGACGTTGTTTGGCCTTGGGTGGTCTCTGCTTCGTCCAATTCGCCGCACAATGCTTCAAAGGCCTTGCCCACCGGGGGTATGACGACTGGACAATTGGGTATTGGAAGAGGTCTAGGTGGTCGTAGAACCCTTGGACTCGGCAATCTGTGATTTCTATTTTCTGGTTAAGCAGTGTGATCAGTGGTGGTCGCAGCCGTAGTTGCAATAGATAGGGGTGCATACCGAGGAATGTATTTAACCGGAGTGGTAGCCTTGGGTGCAGGCGTTGGCGTTGGCGATCTAGGCTTCATCGCTTCTGCATTATGCGTCTGATTCGCCGTCTTTTCAACCTTGGGATGCTTTGGACTTGGGAGTTTGGGGTCATCATCATCGTCATCGATAACTATATATTTTCGCTTTGGCCTAGCTGGCGGTAAACCCGGGGGATCATACCCAACCACTCTGTAAATGTGGCTTTCCGTTACCGAATCTTGATGAGGACCTCGAGGAAGCAATAGTGAAGATGGAATCGAGTTCAATGGTGCCCGCCAGTGGTGAGATAAGCCGTCAACCGGTCTGTTGTGTTCTGCCGTTTGGAGCTTGTACATCTTTGTTGCTGCCAGCGTGGGGCGTGGGAGACGAAACTCGTATGATAAATAGTCATTCGGAAGCATGGGTCGATAGTGATTTCCGTGCTATATATAGTTGGTCACAGCAGTGTCAGCTCGCGTTTCTCAAAGGTCACATTGTCTGGGGGAACATGAAGATGTGAGTGGACGTACAGCATAGCAGAGAAATACGTGTCGACTGTTGTAGGCCCCAAAAGTCTTCATGTCGTAGACCTTGTTGATGAACTGAACATCCATATTCGAGTTGTACTTGTAAAGCACGAGAAAGACTTTGTAGAGATCAGCAGTCAAATAGCACGGGTCGTGGTTCACCCAAAGGCCCGGAATGTGCAGTGCCTCCCAGAGGTTGAAGTCTCCCTGTATGTCTGTGCCTTGATATTGTATGCCTTCCGCCTTGGTATTGAATTTGGTTTCCATCATGCTCTTGTAGAAATTGTGGCGAGGATGATGAGGGTTGTTGAGGATGCTCTCGAGATACCAGAGGTGTTCCGCTTTGACAAGTAACCAGAAGCTGGCACTGCCGTAGATCAGCAGCGCGACAGAAGTCCAGTAACAGTGCCCATCTTCCAAGTGTTTGCCATCCCTGTCCTCCGAGTGCCACTGATTTGGATGCATCACAAAGACCACCTTTTCGACCATGGGGAAGCCCTTGTAGAGGACAGCGGGGGGATTTGGTTTGTTTTTAAAATATCGCTTGTGGTTTTTGAAAAATCCCGACCAATCGAAGTCCCCGAGCATAGTCGCCAGGTCTGGATCGGAAATTGGATTTGCAAGATTAGATTTGGAATATCGGTCGGTAAATTTGGTAGTTGCAGCTAGTTTGTATCTACCAAAGTGGTCATCAATGGACCGTCTATATCCGAGTTGCTTTCTGATCGCTGTAAAGTCGCGGGTTGAGCTGAGTCTAACCGGTTCGCCATTCCCTCGCGTACGCTTAGTTGACGTTGTCGGAATATCTTCGCCCCCAGGGACAACAGCCGTCTTCTTGAACGGAAGCGGCTTGAATTTAATACTTCTGCCCTCTCCGTTGTCGTCGACAATTATGGCAACCTCGGCCTCCTTGAAAGCCTCCGGGCGCTCCCAAATCTCGACCGTTACAACCGGGGCAGCAGCGTTTATCGGATCAACAATCGGGTTTTCCTTTCGGATCGTTTCGAGTTCTTCGTAGTAGATGATTTTCGGAAGTTCTCTGCGATAGTGTTCATTTGCCGGTTTGAAATACAATTCCTCTATTCTCCTGCCGGAGATAGCGGACGACCGGGACGTGGCAGGTCTCGGCGCGCCGGAGTCGGACTGCTGCGACCCTTCAGCGGACTGGTTTGGGGGCATGATTCGGATTCGGATTGCGCCTGACGAGGTCAGTATGAACGTATGCTACAGGAGAATTGAAGGCAAAAGTTCGAAAAGGCAATTTCACCCAAGAAGCAGGCTGTTCACCGAACGTGGTGTGGTTGCGACGTTTTGTTCCTAAGTATCGGGAAGTTGACTGGAGCGAGCGACGGCTCCCTCGCGTTGTTCACCATCCCATCTTCTTGATGGGTGCGCTCCATTGTTCGTCCAGGTCCATGACAAACAAAGATGGCGGCCATTGTCTTTGACAGTGCTGCTGAACCTTGTGGCTTTGGTGATGGCAGTGGTCGTGAAGGTGGTGGCTATTGTTTAGATGGGGGCGCCTGGCCCTCTTCTTCCGGATTTGGCATTTCGGTGGCTGGACGTATCGTCGAGTAACTTTAACAATAGAAAGTGTGAGTGGATGGTAAAGCGATTCTTTATTTATTTCATTCTTGGGAAACAAAGGCGAGTGCATTGGATGTCGAGGTGGAAAAGAACAAGAACTCAAGAATGAGTGGATCACAGGTGGGGTTCGAGTCGGCGACAGGTACATAGCATGCGCTCATGTCATTGGTCCATGTCTACATCACATCGCCCAAAAGGGAAAGTGCGGATATGCTTGAAATCTCCTCCTTCAGGTCAACATGTGAATATCGTCTATCCACATCGTACACAGCTTGAGGGTACTAGAACGCCAATGGATTGTATTCTTGATACGCTATCATGTGAGGGAAAAGGTACAGAATCTGGAAAAACAAACGTCCTTGATGCCTTGTATACAGCGAGACCAGTCTTCGCTTTCCGTCATGGACAAAGTCCCGTCTTTCCACCTCCGACGGACCAAGACATCATCAGCCCCAGCCCATTGTCAACAACCCAGGTTCGACGTCTCAAAGAACAGAAAAGGAAGAACATCATACTTCGCTGGATATGCATTGCCAACCATTGACTCTCTCCATGTCTCCCCTCGTAAACATCCCCCAGAACGCATGGGAGGAGGTGTTTTCCAGGGCTATAGCTCCGAAGCACACCGTTCGACAACCGGACCCTTGCCCTCGTGCCACCAGTCCAGGTGTTTCTGTAGTTCTTCGGCATTTGGAAACGGGAAATCTGTACATCCTTCAAAGGGACAAAGTGAGCAGCCCTCGGGTATGCCCATGTCCAGCTTATCATGCTCAGCAGCAACGTGCCTCTCCATTGCATGTTTCCCCATACACGGCTCTCCACAATATTCAAATGGACACAGGACCACCTCTGCCAACTCTGCGTCGGATATATCGTGTTGAATCTTCAGATGCTGCCGTATCGCTTCCACGTTGTGGGGAATGAAAGTCTCACAGTCTCGGTGGCCAAAACTCTGCTCACAATACACCCCAACTGGCGAGTTACGTCTTTCGGTCCGAGGGCTGGCCGAACACAACCAGGCTATATGCTCAGATCGTAGCACATTGCTAGAAAACACTACATCACAGGCTGGGCATCTGAACTCGGTAGACGCAGAGTTGACGGGTGCTTGTTTCTGTGGCTGGGCTTGTCCTCCCTCCAGTGTGCTCTCCTGGGCTTGTGTGCCTGCTTGGTTGATACTAGCATTTGAAGACTCAGAGACTGGAACCGAATCTATCTCTTGATGTTGCAATTCTCGGCTGGGATGCTGCTCAGGCTCGTCTTCCGGACCGTTGTTTGCTCCATCACTATCTGATACAAGTCGTTCATCTTCTTCTCCATTACGAAGCCTGTCCGAATTTTCGGGCTGTGACACGGGCGCCACTTGTGCCCCTTGAGTGATGGCTTTACGGCTCTCGTGGCTCTTCACGTGTCTTCTTAGCTCCTCCAACGAATGAACTCTTCTTGAGCAGTGTCGGAATGGACACATATAGCCCATCCTGTCAGGTGCTTCTGGTACCCATAGAGGATCGCAATCAAAATACACGTAGTCGTGCCTCGAAATCATGTGCATCCATACTGTATCCCTTGGTAGTGGATCTTGGATTTCTGTACAGCCCTCTTCCGGACACACACAGGGAGCATCTGAGCGGACTGCATCATCAACATAGTGATACTTTACCGTGTGCATGGACAAGGTCCTCGATCCCTCGCAGGGTTTAGCGATGCACCAGCGGCATACAAATAGTACCTTGGCCACATTCACCAGAACTTGCCTCTGACTGGGGTGCTCCACCTGGAAATGACGCCGCACATGCATGGCACATCCGTAGGCTGCATCACATTTCCCACATTTCCACCTTAGGTGTTTTGCTAGCGAAGTTTTTCTTGTGAAATCCTTGCCGCATTTTACACAATACCAGAGTCTAGGCCCAGACTGAGGAATGGTGCTATCCAAGCCGGCATTTGTCGCTCCGGTTTGGTGGCCTTGAGTATCCTGTTCGGTTGCGTCGACTTCTTCTTCAGCCCTAGAAGCCTTGTCGTCGTGTTGACCTCCCACGTCAGATGGCTCCGTAGGTAAGCCTTCTCCAGCAGTTCCATTATTGCTTGGACAGTCGAGTTGACCTTCCTAGGCCACAGTGTTCTGCACCTGACCATTAACGTTATTTCCTGCCACGTGTCTTTCCTGGGAATTGTTATGTTTTGGTTCCAGATCATGGCCACGTTCGTTACCGTAAGAGGCATCGTATTCTTGGTTGCTGTAAAATGGGCCCTTCCCCTCGGGAGTTGGTGTCCAAGGCTGCTGGTATTCAAGACTCATATTCTGTCCGATATTGCCATGTTGCTGTTGCGCTTCGGACGTTGCAGGAAATAAGAACGGACTGGAATCTAGCGACTGTGACTGAGGAACGAATGTTTCGGGCGATACCTGCTCATGATGAAAGTGTGGGTTCTGGCCATCCCCCGCGATTTGTCCGGTACCCATTTCTGCTCCAGCCCCTGACGGACGGATGTCCCCAAATTTCACATCTGATTGTGCCGGTGACTGGTGAGCTGCCTGGGAAACGCCACTCGTAGGCCAAATGCTGTTGCTAGAAGTTGTTCCATCAATCAGGCTACCCATTCCGGTGCCACTGACTACCATACCGGAGCGATCCTGGTTTGGAAAAGTCAAAGACGTATCGGCTGTGGTTTGCACTTGGACGCCTGATTGACTCGGCCGTCCGCCAAACGACGAACTGGTTGGATCATCATGACTAGTCGTAAAGGGCCATTCAAAGACCAGGAAGTTCGGATCCTGGTGATTGTAGTTCCCGAAGAATGGTGGTGCTTTCTTTCCATCTCTGTTCCTTTGCTTCTGGCCGGATGAAGACCCCGCTGGGTCATGGTTTGCATGCTGAGACATCTCGCCTGGGTAGCAATTGACCGCTGTCAAAGAAGTTGGACCAGTGCGATCGAAGATAGGTAAAATGTAAAATGTACGGTAGAACGACTGTCGGGGTGGGATATGGCCCGTCGATGAGATTGAGAACCTGAGAAGAATGATGGTAAAAAGTTGTCTGGAATCTGGATCATCGCCCCGGGAAGTTGTATTCTTCGTTATATCTCTCACATGACAGGAGCAGATCCTCCCGAAAATTTCGTCATGAGCAACTTTGCTCGCTCCTTTCATCGTTACTGTAGCATCTTATCGTGTCCACGGGTGTCTCCTGCCATTGTGGTTGGATGATGTGACTTCGAAAGGAAGGCGGAAGGAGAAGCGAGGGCAAGTTTGGGAAGTACATGCTCACCGCAGTAACAGTTGCTTGGTGATACTCGACTTGTATCCAATAGCTCCTTCTGGTGTCTAAGAACGAACATGTATGCAACGAAGCCCAAAACAAGTGTACTTCTCAAAGAAAATCTAGTAATATCAAGGAAACAGGAGGGTACAGAACATCCAAAGAGCGAAAAACAGAGGCGGGTATATGAAATCATCCGGTTTCCCCGAATCAAAGGTGAAGATTTGGTATATGGTACCAGTGGTATAAACAAAAGGTCTCTGCCCTGGGCTTAACAGGGTAGAAAAACAAGATATTTACAGTATAAGAATTGAGTTCCTCAAACAACTGCCATGTGGATTTGCATCCCCTTGTCGGTCTTCCAGACAACCGTCGTATCCGGTGCCACAAAGAAGATGGATCCCTCCTTCAAGTCAAATGTCTTGCCCCCGGCCAACATGGTCCCTTGGCCACTTGTAACAATCAGCACGCCAGGCCCGTCGCTCGGCGCAATCTCGTCGCTCTCCCCAGCTCCCAGGTCAGCCTTGAGCATATCGAACTCGCTCATGGGCGGCTTATATACCACTGTGCGCCCCTCCTTGCTCTTTTCGCTCTTGTTGCTCGGCAGCAGCATGTCGGCCGCGGTGTGCCCTTCAAACGTAAGTGTCTCGGCGAACAGGTCGTAGCTGTTGCGGTCGGCGGGAGGACAGAAGCCGGCGTTGAGTACATTGTTGCTGCGGGCCATGCACTCGACAATGTCACCCGACAGGTAGGCATGGATTCCATCGGCGGGGATGTAGATGGAGTCACCGGGCTGAAGCACCATAAAGTTCATACAGAGAAGGGCGACGAGAGTTCCGGGGTCCTCGGGGCCGTACTGATCCTGTAGACGAGGAATCAGATCGGGGATGTAGTCATTCTTGGGTCCGAGGTCTTCCTTGGGAGTTTTGAGGAGAGATTGGGCGATGTATTGGACAGTGCCCTCTTCGGCCTTGAGCAAACTTTTGGTGATCTCACGGAGGGTAGGGTCGGTCCAGGTGTCGGTGGTCCCTGCGGGAACGAACTGGCGGAGGAAGGAAAGCTGGAAGAGAGGCACAATGTGGGAAAGAGGCTTCCATCCGGCAAAGACTTCAAACTTGGACAGGGCCACGGCAATTTCGGGCTTATGATTGGGGTCGGTGAAGTTCTCGGGGTCCCTCTTGTGGAGCTTTGTCGCGAGCTCCTTGTTGGGGTGGATTTGGAGCGGGAGGGCTTTGGCAATGGAAAGGATCTGGAGGGGGGTGAAAGTCAGCACACAAGATCAAGTTGAGGTCAAAGTAAGTAGGACATCGGGGCCATACCTTTGGCAAGTAGGGGAGCTGGCCATCGAGGTTCTGGATGACCTTCTTTCCCAACAGCGTCTCCTTGTTCTTTTCGAGGATGTCTTTCAAGGGCTCTCCAGTATCGAACTTCTTTGCTGGAAAGTCGGGATAATCGCCGAACCACATTTCCGAGTAGAACTCATCATCTTTGATCTGGAAGTTCTTGTCGGCCTTTGCGCATAGCTGAGCGGCGAGCGAATCTTTTCCCTTTTTGCCCCAGGGGTAGTTGTTGCACGAGCCTGTGAGCTGGAAGACGCGGTCGGTGGTGGTGGTGGTGGCGGTCATGGTTCGTAGGCGACGGTGCTGCGGTTTAGATGGCGTTTTCAGCGGGAATGGCAGTATGATTTGGATGCAGGAAGTCGAGTTGTAAAACGACAATGGTAGTTGTCTCAACGGGTATATCGAGGCATGCGTGGTGTTGCTGTTGTTGTTAACGGGCAACATAAATGTATGTCGTCATCACTTCTGCCAGCAGCCATTGCAAGTGGGACCGACCGCCCGAGGATCAGTCCTTAACAATTATGTCTGTACCTGACATCATCAGATGAACTGTAGGTCTATTATGCTCAGCTTTGTTTGGCGTTCATCCGAAAAACATTGGCGTCAACATCCATTTTATTCTCCAACTAAATCACTCATTGTCAATTTGGATTCCCTCCCGAACGAGAACAAAGCATCGTGTGTTGTTTTGCCAATGCCAGTCTACCGCAGGAAATTGTTAGAACGCGATAGTGACCTGTTGACGGATGGTTCCTTGCAGCTGGCGGCCACTTGATGCAGCGGCTTGGCATGACGTATAAGTGTTAGCACAGCCGATGCTTGCTTGCCCCAGTACACTGCACCGGACAGGCAAGAGGGATGACAAATACACCCGGGATTACATCTAGGAGTCTATAAAAGGCTTCAAACATAATTCCACGTGGATATATGGGCCAGGAAACAAGCAATCCGGAGCGATGGAGAAGCCGTTGGGATACGAAGCTGAATCGAAGTTGGCATTGCAGATCCGGAGCCCTGGGAATTTGCCAGCTTTGCACTAACAAACACCGTGACCCCTCCGCGCGTCCCGTCGTCACACGGCAGTGGCAGGTCCCCTACACTACTTGAATGGTTCCAGCGGTCCCCTTTCTTGGCGCCATTGATGTCATAGGAACTGAAGTGGAAGTCAGGTCGACCTACTGAGTACCTCTGCCCTTTCCCGTTCGGACGGACGGGAGTCGTAGGTCCTTCACTTACACGTAACTGAAGTGTCCAACCCTACACTAGTAGCACCGCTTCCAGACCCCCGTCGTCATGGCATGCCTGGACCTCCCTCCCGTCTCTCTCCCCCGTCGGAATGCTGGGATAATTGATGGCTGATACCCCGCCCATTAAAACTACTTCGTTGCATCGATTTCATCGGCTGGACCCCGTCCATGTGTCTTGGACTTTTCCATCAAAGTATCACATCCCCCCCCAAAGACCCCAACAGGCGTCCCAAGCTTCCAACATCAAAACGACTCCTTTCATCATCATTCCTGGAGAGTTAACAGCCCCTTCAACAATCACTACATGTGGTGACGAGCCCCGCCATCATGCTGTACGAAAACTTGACTGAAAAGCGAACCGATCCTCTCACCGGGGAAAAGGAAGAGAACCCCATCACCGGCGACACGGGTCCTGGAACAGGGCTTCAGGATCTCCTGCCTCTGCCCGCCGAAGATGCTCAAGACATCCTGCAATCCAAAAAGGCCTTTGACAAGTCAGCAGGCGGTCTTGAAGATGGCCACACACTTTCTCATGCGCTGGCCACCGAGGACCACAAGCTAAAGGGCGCCGCCCAGCTCAAGACCGAAAAGGAAGTTAGCAACCTGGGCTGGAACGAGCCCAAGCGGGAGATCGCGGCCCCTCTGGTTGGCGGCATTGACAATGAAGAGCTATGGATGCTCGTCCGCCGCTTCAACAAGGCAAGTAAATTTCTCATGTCTCGCTATGTAGCACACGCATTTTAACACTGTAACAGCAAATCATCCACACAAAGGCAGTCTTCACTCCCGTGCCCGGTGGTCTGGACCTCAACACGGCGGAGGAGGAGGAATTTTCCCCCGACAAGATGCGCGCTAACATCGAGCGTCTCTACACCACCGTCGTTGTCGGCATCCTCGCTGCCGTCAAGCACATTGCCCGCCTTCGCTCCTGGCGCGAGAAGGAGCGAACGGCTTGGTTTGCTGGAGTCTACTTTGTCGCCTGGCTGTTTGACTTTATCATGCCCCTTATCACCGGCGTGATCATTGCGCTAATTGTCCATCCCCCTACGCGCGAGCTGCTCTTCCCGCCAGCACCCATTGCCCTTGTTGACTCCAAGACTGGTGGCGTGCAAAAGCCGTGGGCGGGCACTGTCGGTAGCAAGGACAGTGCTACGGGTGCCCCTGAGAATCACAAGGGTGAGGCGGTTGAACAGGAAGCTGATAACTTGGTCCACGGACTTGCTGAGCTGGCTGTGAGCAGTGCGGCTGGTAAACATCCTGCCGGAGATGGTGAGTTCCTTGGCATCTTGTTCTTGTTTTCTGACCCGCAACTACTAACATGGAGAATACAGTCCAAGATAAGACCAAGAAACCCATGGAACTGGCCATGTGGGCCAAACTTCGACCTGTTATGCAAGTAATTGGTAACATCAGTGACAACTGGGAGCGATTGGCCAAGTACGTTGTCTCGATCTCTCTTTCAACCGAGGATTTACTAACCGGCCAACAGCGCCCTATCCCCTACTCCTCCCTTCCCAAAGGACACGCACCGTCTACGTCTAGCAATCCTCGTAATCCCCCTCTTTGGCGCCTCCCTCTTCGTGACCTCATATATGTTTGTCAAATCCCTCACCTTCTTTTTCGGCTTCGGCATGTTTGGCGACCCCGTCGTTCGCCCCGGCATGGAATACCTCAATCGCGTCATCCCCGACTGGCAAAAGCTCCTCGAGCTGCGCAACACTCTGCTGAAGGGCGTCCCCACCAACGCCCAGCTGACCCTTACCCTCCTACGCATCGGCGAAGCCAACAAGGCTCCTCTTCCCCCTGTCCCGCGCGTAATCGAACAACCCGTCCAAGACCCAGCCAACGGCCCGGCACCCCTCGACTCGGAAGCCCAAATGAGCGCTGAGGCAGCCGCCCACCCGCTTGAAGCTTCTCCCTCAGAGCTAGACGAAGCAGCGCACACGGATCCCAAAGACGACCTGCGAGACGCAGGCTTCGACGTCGACTCCCACCCCAAGAACAAGCAGACTAAGAAATCCCACAAGGTGTTGGGCTGGATCAAGAACGTCACTGCCGGCGTAGTCCACACCGGCGGCGCCACCGATCACGTCCGCGCCAAGCTGGGCGCGCACCACGCCAAGGACCGCCTTGGCGTCGTTCCGCCCAAGGACGAGATGCCCGTTTCGGGTCCAGTCAGATTCGATTGTCGCCATGAAGGCAAGAAGGGACATTGTTACATTTCTACCGCCGCTACCATCCCCAGCGTGGCGTTTGTTGCGAAGAAGGATGAGAGTAGCACGACGGTGATTGCGGGTAAAGAGAGGGAGGACCTGAAACCGATGTGGACAGTGGCGGTGGCGGATATTATGGAACTGAAGAAAGTGGGCGGGTATGGATGGAAGGCCAAGATTGTGGTGGACTGGAGTATGGAGAGGGAGGTCAAGGATGGACTGGAGATTGTGACGATGGAGGGGAAGAGGTTCAGAGTGACGGCGTGCCCGTTGAGGGATGAGTTGTTTAATCGGTTGGTGGCGATGGGCGGGCAGAGGTGGGAGGCTTGGTAGTTTTTGTTTGTCCTTTTTCTTTTATTGTTTTATTTAGGTAATTTTCTCCTTATTTCAGGTCGTTTTTTTTCAGAACACTTCTTGTTATTTTGGGAAAGGAAGGGAACGAAGGGAAAGTGTACTCGTAGTTGTCTTGATTTTGTTCTTTCTCAACCAAGGTACTTATTTATGTACCTAGTAATGATATTGTCGACGACGCTATGAGCTACATATTCTGCACTAACAAACAACCAACCAATCAAATGGCAGCTTCGTCAAGCTGCCCGGCTAGCTCAATCGGTAGAGCGTGAGACTCTTAATCTCAAGGTTGTGGGTTCGACCCCCACGTCGGGCTCAATTCCCGATGTTTCTGTTTCTCAGGACAACATCATCTTTTTTTGTTTATTCCTTCCCGGTGCATTTCGATCTTTTTTTGCTTTTTTCCTCCTTTCACACAACATTTAACCCGGGCGGTGCTTGCTTTGCTAGCCTGAGACGGTAATCGATCCAGTAGTAGAAGTAAACAATTCCCATCAACCTGATGGTCTTGTCTGTAGATAATGATCGCTTCGATACCTCGAAACAATTTCACCGCGTTCATATAGTGTTACCAGCATAAATCCATCGCGCTTTTATACATACAATACATGTACACTCAGGTAGTCAACCCTCGATGCCGTATCTGGCAGTTCAAAAATCCTATCATAACCCGCAAAAGAGACTCGTCAATATAGGGAACCATTTCTTATCATTTTCTTACCTCCGCATCCCACGTAGCAGCACGCCTCCTACGGTCAACTACCAAGTCCCCTTCAGCTATATCTCATCCTCTCGATTCGCCAGACTCTATATCTTTGCTTCGAACCACTTCTTTGCTTACCGGCAAGCTACAAGCTCTAGCTTAAAAAAGAAAGTAGGTCGAACCATTCCGTAAATACAACCACATGTTCCTGTAGTGGCAGATCGGTACCTACCTTACTACCTGATCAAATTAGATCAGATCTGACCAATCCTATTCCCACCATCACCACCACCACCACCACCACCACCACCACTAGTCGGCCAAACAGGACTCAACCCCTTTTTCACACACTCCCAGTACTCGCGATTGATAGCGTACTGAACCGCCGTCTCGATATTGTTACTATGGCAGAAGGCCGTGATAGCATGGATGTCTCTTGCTTTTTGTGTGGGACCGCGCGAAACCATGTCCAGGGCACTGGGGGAGTAGAATTTGGCCGTTGTTGTAGTGCTGGGGTTAGTGTTGGGGGTGTATGTGGTGTTGGGATAGTTGAGGTAGTTGGGGGTGGTCATGCTCCGGGGGATGCCGGTGCTGGTGGGAGGGAAGGTGGGGATGTTGGTTGAGTTGATGGTAAGGTTTGTGGTGCTGTTGTTGCTGTGGTTGGTGTGCTTGTTGCGATTCTTGTTGGTAGAGGTAGAGGTAGAGGGGCGTCGAGTATGATTCTGGTCACCGGCACCGGAATTGCGAGGCTTGGATCGGGGTTGGCCTCTCGTGATCAGTTGGCGGAACCAAGATGTGCGTCTTTGGTGCGTCTGGGTAGCAGGTTGGCGGGCGTTTGCATCTCCGCTGTCTTTGTTCTCATGGACTTTCTTTGTGTTCCGGTCCTCGTCCTCGTCCTCGTCCTGTAGTGGCTCAAGTCTGGTGAAAGAGTCACAGACTGGGCGACACACATACCCCAACTTCTGCACTCTCTTCTCCAAGGCATGAACATCGCTTATTCCAATCCTTCTGCACCGCTTCGCAGGAATTACATCCACACCAAGGGATGCCAAATGCCGCTGAAACGATATATCAGAATTGGGGTCCGAGGAAGCGGAATGATTGTCTTTGTTGCCGCTGGCACTGCCCAAGTCATTGAAGAAACGCGACGGGTGCTCACCCGAGTCAACGATGTAAAGCGTCTCCGAATGGAGTACCTGGCGCAAGTGCACGGGGAGATTGGCCCTCGCCCAGATGGTCGACTGTGCTCGTTGACGGCCGAGTTCGAGAACTTGGAGGGCGCAGGTCAGGGGGTCGATGAGGTAATACGGAAGTTTGGCCTTGTCGGGAAGGTTGGGGTTGGTGGCTCGCCATTGAGTGGTAACCTCGCGGATCCAGTCCGACGCGGTGCGAGGCATGGTCAATTTGAATTGACGCTTAGACGGCGCGGACTCTGTCGTCGAGGTTGACGAAGCTCGAGAAAAGACGGTAGAGGCAGTGGAAGCCAGGGTCTCAAGACTGGCCTCCGAAGGGGCCATGGAAAATGTTGGGGAAGGGGCGTTTGATGATGACGAGGATGATATGGACGAGGAATAGGAGGATGCCAGAGACGGGCTACTACGTCCAAACTCTCCCGGCTTCTGAAAGATGTAAAGCTTGGGTGCCTCTTCTCCATCGCACTGAGATTGACACAACTTGCTGACAACGCGAACATCGCGGTCCCAGGTCCTTGGGGATGGCGGCGAGAAGAAAATAATGGAACCAATGCGAGTGACTGGAGAGTCAAGACCTTTATCTGAATATGTGGTGCTGGTAGGGCTGATCGGAACATATGCCACGGTCCGGTCTCCATGCTTGACCGGGATGTACAGGCCCTGGACAGTATCGGGAGTCGAAGGAGTTGTGGGCGTCGGTGACTCTATAGGACGACCTTCGTTTGCTTCGCCTTTCTCTTCCACGAGCCTGGCTTGCTTCTCTGACCCATCGCTGTCATCGTCTGTAGTTTCCTCGTCGACCTTATCCTCCGGGGAAGAGCAAAGACCCTCCACGATCTTCATGTCATCGAATGGGCAGCTTAACCTGCTCCTCAAGGTCAAAGTCGGCTTCGACGGCTTCAGGTGTTGTCGCTGGGACTGATTCTGCTGTGAGCTCAGCTCGTGGTTCTTCTGCTCCTTCTTCCGCTCCTCCTTCTTCTCTACCACCTTCTTCTCTCCCCTCTCCACACCTCCTTTCGACTCCTCCCCAGCCACCTCCTTCTTCCTCTTCCACATCCTCTCCACCTCCTCCGAATTCACCACCCTCTCCGCCTGAAACCCCAACATCCTCGCCATCTCCTTGTTTTTCTCCTCATCATCCCCAATCACCAAGGTCCCCGTCACCTCTTTCCCATCTTTCCCATCCTCTCCACCTTTCTGAGATTGTTTACCCTGTACAGCAGCAACACTTCTCAAAAGCGTCCACCTACCCACCACCTTCTCACTACAAATCGGCACTTCCAGTCCCAGCACCCTAGTAATGGTATTCGCCACCTCTTCCTCTGACGTGAACTCGTCGTCGAGTCTATCATCGTCTTCATATCCACATTTAAGTCCATGCTCCAGACCTGCTCCAGATCTCGACGACTCAATAGGTTCCCAAACAATAACAAACGGTATGCCCACCGCCTGTAATCCCGCTATAGTCTCGCCTGCCGACGGCCGCGGAAGGAGGGGACGCAGCAGCTTGACTTGATGCTGGCGGAGGGGGTCGGGGTGGTGGCGCGACTGTGACTGTGACTGTGAATTTGTTGGGTTAATGTTGATATTGATATTTTGGTTCCAGGTGGAACTGGAATGGGAGTCACAACTAGTGTAGCCGGAGATGGATGACGAGTTGCTATCGGAGACAGAGGAGATGGGGGACCAAGTTGCGTCGCTGTTGCTGTTGGCACGATTGGTACCAACATTAGGCGGGCTGCCAGCGCTCCTGGGACGGTAGACGAGGGTTGAGACGTGGAAGATGAAGGCTGTTGTTGTTTGTGCCGGTGTTTGGGCTTGGGGTCGTGTTTGGTATCGTGAAGAGGAAATATGGCTAGAGGTAATAGCGCTCATGGGCGTGGTGGCGTGACTGTCGGCGCCAGAGATCGTGTTGGTGGTAGTTGGGCTGGCCATGGTTATGACTTTGGTTGTGATCGCGTACCTACCGCCTGCCTCTTGTCGCCTGTCGCCCGTCACCTGCCTCCTGCGAGCCTAGGCTCGTAGCCCCGTGAAGTGGTGGGAGTGTTAAGGTGATCAATTTGGGGTTTGAGACTGACGGGGCGATCATGTAGCTGAGACGGGCTGCGATGGTTGGAGGGACCTGCTTCCGCTGCTGATCAGGAAGAGGAATAGGTCGCGAACGCCTAGAGGGAGCTTATAAGCATTCACCTGTCGCTCCGTGTTGCGGTGTTATCGACGGGCAACTAGATCGAGCAATTTGAGACACAGAATTGCTCAATGACGAGGATGGAGAAGGTCGAATTCGAGTTAGTTCTGGAAGCCTGCCTCTGCCCAGTGTGGGAAATGACGAAGAACTTGAAAGGCTGAGACCTGCCACAGTCCGTCCTGATCGCCCACACTGCTCAGACACCCCATCGTAACTTCCACGTTGGAACAGTGCGTCATTCACTTGAAGTGGGCGGTTGGGGACGAGACGGGATGAAATCTTCAGGACGAAAATATCAGACGAACAGGATGGCCGCTGAAACTTCACTTGCGGCCAAGCCGGTGCTTACATGAAATAAACATGAAACTCCGACATTCCAGTGATAAACGAATGCTATACCAGGGGGCATTTCGCAAACATCAGAATTTACCTACCTATCATACATTGCTACACGAAATATTCAACCTTTAGCAGTACCCATTAGCCTTCAACCAGCTCTTAACAACCTCGGCATCCCTCATCTTGTACGCCGCCCGTCCCCTGATCTTATCCTTGACCTGCTCCAACGTCCTGTCAAAGCCCTTGGTGCTGACCTTGCTGAAGAAGTCCTCAATTTCCTTGAGCGTCTCGAGATCCGCAAACTTGGGCAAGCTGACGTTGACCATGCGGTCGACAAGGATGGGGTTACCGCCAAGCTTGGTGCTGAACTTATCCCAGTTGTCGCGAAGGTAGGCCCAAAGGAGAGGGCGAGCAATGCGGTTACCGGCCATGTTGCCAGACAGAATGTGCATGTCGGCACCAGGCACCGAGTCTCTGGGATGAGCGGGAGGCGCAGAGTCGAAGAGGAAGGGAAGGAGGACGTCCTCAATGAGGGCCTCGTCGGTGACCTGACCGAGGGCCTGGAGGCAGACCTCCTTGCCGTCAATGGCGGGGGTGGTAAACCACTCCTCCTTGATGGCAGCAACGGCGTTGGCGGGGTCCTTCTTGAGGGCAGCACGGTAGACGGGAAGACGAAGATCCGCAGGGATGGGAGCACCGGTAGGGTTGGCGCGCCATTCGTTCCAGCGCCTGAAGGCCTCATTAATAACCTCCTCGTGCGAGTTGGCCACCGCAGTAAGAAGGAGGCGCTTGCGAAGGAGAGGAATGTTGTAATTCTCGCCCTGCTTAGGCTCCCAGCCGACCTCCTTGAGTGCCTTGTCAATAAGCTCCAGAGTGAACTTCTCAAGACCCTTCTTGACCTCCTCGTCGTCGCCAAAGATGGACTTGAGAGTATTGACCGAGTCCAAAGCCTGGCTAAGAACACGGTAGTGGGTCTCGTTCTTTAGACCCTGGACAAAAGACAGCAGAGCGGCAGTGGTGGAGTTGCCAGCAAACGCAAGATCGGCCGCGGATCCAGTGATGAAGATCTTGTCCTCGGTAGTGAGATGAGCGAGCTGAGTGCCCAGAGTCTTGAGACGAGACTCGGGGTAGTTGACGCGGTAGAAGCCAGTGGCATTGGCATTGAGCTGGTAAAAGTCTTGGCTGACGCCGTCAATGGTAGTCTCCTTGGTCTGGAGAGACAGCGGCTCAATATCCTGGGAGCCAATCTTGCCCTTGAGTGACAGAGGAATCCACCAGGTAGTCTTGTCATCCTCAGGCTTGACATCGCCAGTAGACAGGAAACGGGCCTGCTTGACAGCGATCTGATCCTTGCCCTCGGTAACACTAACAACAGGGAAACCAATCTCCTCAATCCAGGGACGCATGATGGTGTTGACATCGACACCAGAAGCCTCGCTCAAGGCATTCCAGAGCGCCTCGGTCTTGGCATTGCCGTAAGCGTGGCGCTGAAGGTAGAGAGCAATACCCTTGAGGAAAGTCTTGATACCAAGATGGGAGGCCAACATGCGAATCATGGAGCAACCCTTGAGGTAGCTGATCTTGTCGAAAATCTGGTTCACATCGAGAGCGTCGCGAACCTCGACCTGGATGGGGTGCGAGGCGCGGACGGAGTCAAGAAGGAAAGCCTGGTCCATGCCCTCGTTGATGAACTGCGGCCACACCTCCCAGTCAGGGTGGAGGTGATCGGTTGCCAGCCAACCAGCCCAGGTAGCGAAACCCTCGTTCAGCCAGAGCTCATCCCACCAGTCCATGGTGACAAGGTTACCAAACCACTGATGGGCGAGTTCGTGGGCAACGACATAGGCAATACGGTTGCGGAATCTGGCCTCGGAAAGCTTCTCATCGAACAGAATAGCGGTCATACGGTACGTGACGAGACCCCAGTTCTCCATGGCACCGTGGGTGAACTCGTGGACAGCCAGAATATCGCTCTTGGGAAGAGGATAGTCGATCTCGAACTGCTCCGAGAAGTAGTCGATGATCTTGGGGGCGTGCTCAAGGGCCCACCTGCCCTGCTCCTTGAGGCCGCGGGTAGTGTAGACACGGACGGGGAGCTTCTTGCCATTGTACTCGCGGTCGGTAAAGGCCTCGACGTACTCAAAGTCGCCCACGGCCCAGGCCAGGAGGTAGGTGCTCATGACAGGGCTGCGCTCGAACGAAACGAGCTTCTTGTTGGGACCAGCGGGCTTGGTCTCCTTGACGGGCATGTTGGAGAGGGCGACCTGGTCGTCGGGGATCTCAATGGCGAAATCGAAGGTGGCCTTGAGGTTGGGCTCGTCGAAGCAGGGGAAGGCGCGGCGAGCATCGCAGGACTCGAACTGGGTGCTGAGCATGTAGTGGAACTCGTCGTCGCGGGGGACACTGGCGGCCGCAGGAGCAGCGGGCTTGTACTGGGAGCGGTAGAAACCGGCCATGTCGTGGTTGAGCTCACCGGTGAAGTCGAGGGTCAGGGAGACATTGTCGGCGACGGGAAGCTCCTCGGCGAAGGAAATGGTGGAGCGCTGGGCCTTTGTGTCCTCGGCGAACTGGGTCGACTCCCACGATTGCGGGCCGGCCGTCAACTTGGCGCTGAGGAGCTTGATCTCGAGGGTGTTGAGGACAATGTCCTTGGTGGGCTTGACGAGCTTACCGTCGATCCTGGGGGTTGTCGCAAGTCAGATGGCGCCAAGCGAAGGGACTCGGGGAGATTGGAATCTCAAGCGTACCTTACGGTGCCCTTGTAGGACCACGAGGTGAAGTCAAGATCACGGATCTCGAGATCATAGTGGATGGGCTTGAAGTTGTCGGGGAGGATGTCGCGGTCCGTCATGTTTTCGCGGCGTTTGGCTCTGGCGTGGGCAGAGCAGTAGCGGGATCCAAGAACAAGAAACGGAGGAGGAACAGCGCAAGTCTGAAGCTTGGGGCGAAGGCGAGAAGTAGTAAAAGTAGAAGGCCTGGGCAAAAAAGAAGAAGTAGAAGAAGTAGTAGAAGAAGAAGAAGAAGAAGAAGAGGGGACCGACAACGACGACGAGACAGAGTGGAACCGGGAGACGTGCTGGGTAGTACTAGTAGTAACAGAAGATGGACGAATGACGAAAGAAGCCGGCGTGGACGGGCAGGAGGAGAAGGAGGAGGAGGAGGACGCTAGCAGCGGGCGGGAAGCTGCAATGCGGGTACAGCTTGGCCGAGCACCAGCAGCAATGATCGCCTGGATGGTGCGGGGTGATGATGATTTGCGGGATAGTGTTGTTGTTGTTGTTGTTGCTAGGAATGAAGAGCGAGTCTTCCACCTGCCAATGGCAACTGCATTGGTCTTTGTTCTTACCGCCGCCAGATGCATCTTGTATCCAATCTCCAATTCCTCGATAAATATGACCACCAAACTCAACCCACAATACCTATGTATCAGCTCCCACTTTCACTTTGATGTTTTTTTTCTTCTTTTTTTTTTTTTTTTTCTCCAGCTGTCTCGTATAACCCCACCGCAAGACACAGAGCAGATAGTCAATTGGATGACAGACTGGGATCAGGCCGTTTGAAACAGTGAGTTGAAAACTCGTTATCAGATGTGCTGCTGCGGTTTGCGTCGGGTTGTACCGAATGCCCGTGGATTGCTTCTTTTTTCAATTCCACTTTTCACTCAATTGTCAGCTTCAGTTGCTGTGACGCCGGGATCCGATCCAGAGATTGGTGGTAGTCAGGGTACCTAACAATTGGGTAATGAAAACAAAAAGACAGAGGGAAACAAAAGGTCAAAAGCCAACTGCCAATTGAGGACATTGACTGCTCGGGAAACATGACAAGAAAGGAAGGCGGGAAGAATGTCAAGAGTCGAGCTCCCCCTGCTTTCCCTCCTCCTCATGCGTCCAAGGTGGGTCCGTTCAGAGCTCTGACTTTTGTCACTGTCAATGTCCCGCTTTTAGCGCGTAACATAGGTCCACATCAGCTGTTGAACCGCGGATCTAGAATGCCGAGAGAAGACTGGATTTCTTGGCCATAATTCTCTTGAGTGAAATTGAACTTGTTCCTCTTCGGTGACAAACAATCAGAGGTTACATGTGATATTGATTATGTAGTATATTACCGTCGACCTTGAGCTCCGATAATAACTCTAAACCCTTTCTGCGTAAAAACGTGTATATATACGTGATAAGCAATTGTTGATGTCCCGTCATCAGTCAGAACTGGAACATATGAACCCGACTTCGACATCCCTGCTATAAGAGCATGCCGTTGGTTTGTATATATAACGTTTTTTTTGTTTTTTTTTCCAGCTCAGTCGTCTTGTTAACAACAGACTCTGTCCATAGTCGAGGGCAGATCCCGATCTGCCGACATCAAACCAAAAAATAAACCTTGTTACCCACGATCCATCCTACCGTTCCCTACCGTATATCCATCCCTTGATATTTCAACCTCAGTGCTCCTCCATACCCATGTTTACCATCCGTAGCTTATCCCGAAGGTCATTTTACATTGGCGCAAAGGAAATCAAAGGAAGATACAAGGAGCGAGCGAAAAGCCAGGACGTATGAGCGGCAGAACTTCAGAACAGAGACGCTCTCTCAAGGACTTACCTGTGCCCACTCCCTTACTCTCGGGGAGACAAGTCCCCTTGGCAACGTGTCCGCCTCTCACACATTCTTCCAGTCATGCGCAGTCAGGTTATCCTCCAGCATCCTCTCCGCCGTCTCCCTCGGATCTGCTTCGCCCGTCGGCCGCGTCATCGGTGACGACACTTCCATCGGCCGCAGCTGAAACTCCGATTGAGACTGACTATGCTGCTGCTGCTGCTGCTGAAGCTGTTGATATTGTTGCTGCTGACGTTGCTGTTGCTGGAGATGATGTTGATATTGCTGGAACGGGTACGGATGCTGCTGCTGCTGATTCGACCTCGGCCTCTCTTCGCGATAATGACGACCAGCCGAAGTGGGAGAAAAATTCTGCGGAAGAGGCAAGGGGCCGGTGGCCGTTGTATCGACAAAATCCTCATCCATCGGCGCAAACTGGCTCCGGACGCGGGCACCACCAGCAGCAGCGGGGTTGTGATCGCGGTCAAGGGCGACGCCATCCACCATTCTGGCATCACGGCGCTCGTTAAACACGGCCGATTGGTTGGCGGGCGTCGAGTCGTGACCACCACCAACGCTGTATTCGCGGTCCTGGAGCATACCACCTTCCCGACGGATGATGTCGCGGATAACGTCCCTTCCTCCACCACCGGCGACTCCTCTGCCTACGCTACCACTGCTCGTCGGGGGGAAACCGCTGCTGCCAGCGAGCGTATCTGACAATCCGGAGCTACTCCTCTCCAGGCCCCATCCAGAAGGACCACCGGATATGTTCTGTCCAGGCAACGGACGTCGGTGGTATATCGGTCCACTAACCGTACTTCCCGCACCTTCTCCAAAGCCAACCAAGCTTTCCCGGCCATCATCGTAGTCGCTCATCCTGTCCTCAAACGTGCCGACACTCCGAGTAGCCAGGTTCTCCTCGTCATCATCCATCATGGCGTCGGGGCCCGTGGCGTACCCGCTGGCCGGAGGACTCGTCGTCGGCATATCCGTGTCGTTGTCACGGGAGTCTAGGTTCATGGTCATGCTCTGGTCATCGCCGTCATCAAGATCGGGGGCGGTCTCGGTGTTAGTGCCGGTGTGCGAGGTGGCCGAAAGCGAGGCGGTGGTGGTGCCCTCGTATGCCGAGTCGGTGGCCGAGGCGGAGCCGACCGTGGACATTTTGGTTGCGGCTCTGGGCTGGCCTGCTGCGTCAAAGTAGGCTGGCGTTACCGGTACATTGGGGTTGCTTTGCTCCATTTGTTGTTGCTGCTGCTGCTGCTGGTAGAAGGAAGACTGGCCATATGAGGGGTTGTTCATGCCTTGTTGAGGAGTCCCGGTAGAGCCGGCAGACTGGACACCGCGCAGGGCGGACATCATGCCCGGGAGACGGCTTATGCGATCGTTGCGCTCGGCTTCGGGGTTGGAAGGGGAATATCGGGTGTAGTCGCCGCTGAAGCGGTTACTTGTATGTGGTCCGCTACCATGATGGACATGGCCGCGGTGGCCATCTTTGATGGCGGTTGTGGAGAGGGTGGAAAGCGAGGTGGTGGTGCTGGTTGGGGTGCCACTGGAAGTATATGACTGTAAGCCTATCGTGCATCCTTAAAAAAGCATAGAAGCACCGGACATGGCGCAGACAAGAAGAACGGTGGGCTTTGGCCGAGAACTCGAGCAAACTCACGGCATCTCAGACGGGGTGTCCGGATTGGAGGGCGGTTGGGGCAGGTTTGCCAAGGTACCCGTAGGATGTGATTGTTGTTGCGACATGATTATTGGATCGGATCTGATCTGAGATTCTTGGTCGCCAATCGCGCGAGAGTGATTCAAATGGCTGTCGTCGTTGCTGTCGCGTTCTGGAGGTCCGAACAATAGCGTCCGGGTGGGTGGGAGGAATCGTACGGTGAGGTCCGTGAACAGTAAACACAAGCAACGTTTCTCAATATCGCAACGTCGCGACGAACGGTAGGCCTCGGCACGCAGATGATGTATCAGAAACAGCGGAAAAGACACGCCTTTGCTACAACACAAGCGCTGGTGATCGGCGTGGTGTGTTGGGATGTGCGGTGCGGCGTGTCAGGTGCTTCAGTAGTTTTTGTTGATGAAAGGAGGAATCCAGTGCGACAACGGCTTCCACACTAAAAAGAAGGAGAGCAGAGGTGGAAGGGAAATGACGTCGGGGTACTGCCAGGAAGGAGTCTGGTTGTGCTGCTGAGACAGTGCAAACGAGAACCTTGATGCCCGGCACGTGTGGGGTGCTTCCTCAGTGAGCTGCACCTGGTGCACGCACCTCTAACACTGTAGCCAGCTGCTCAGCAACTGATGTTACATGTGCGGGGCTGATTTATGCTTGAAGTGTCGACTAAATAGACCATGCTATATCGTTCCTAAGCACCTCGGTCATGGACGGCTATGTACCCATCTTCATTCAGCCCGCCTTATTTCTTCGCCTTGCTATTTAGGGCTTCATACTTTACCAACCAATCCAAAATACCAAAGCCTTCAAGATAAAGAAAGAAGAAAAAAGCCTTCAAGATCAAGAAAGAAGAAAAAAAAAAAAAAAAAAAAAAAGGACCCTTTCCTCACCGTCCCCATCTCATTCTTTATTAAACCTTCACGTCGCCCCTCGACTACGCATCCACGTTTTCATGCAGCACCAAATGACCAAAAGAAAGAAAAAAGAAAAAAAAAAAAAAAAAAAAAAAAAAAAAAAAAAAAAAAAAAAAAAAAAAAAAAAAAAAAACAGAGAGAAAAGAAAAGAAAACAGAAAAAAAATCCAAACCACCATCAAAACTCCCCCGGGCTAAACTCAACAACCTGCCTCCTCTCCACAATCCCCTCGATGCTCTCCACAGCCTCCCGGAACGCCGGGTCCTCCTCCAGGTAGAATTTGCGGTCTTCGGGTGTGTCGAATTCGCTCACAAACACGTGGGAGATGCGGCCCTGTTCCAGTGTCATCAAAGTCCGTCATGGTGAGCAGATTCATCCATTTATGAAAAAGAAATCGCCGTGGTTAAGGTCTGTCGGTGAGAGAGACTGAAAGGAAAGGGAAGGGAAGGGGAAAGGGAATTGAACAACATGGGATGAAGGGTGAATAAAAAAGAACTAAGCAAGTGAAAAGGGCTGGTGCAGTCCAAGGGAGTGACGCGACGGAGGAAAAGAAGGCAAGGAATCAAGTAACAAGTGAAAACCAACCCACCCTCAACCCCTCAGGACAAACATCCGCTCCTCCTATCGCCGTCTTGAGGTACGGCATGTGTGTTTTCGGGTGGATGCAGCGGTCTTTGAGAGACATCATTTTGTCGCAGACCTGTTTTTTTGTTTATTTTATCAAAAGGGACTATCAGTCAGCTCTGATGTTCTTGTTCACATGGTCGCTTCCAGGTTGTTCTGCACATATGATTCGAGTCCATCGTTGTCCTTATTGTGGTTTGGGGGTTGCCTAAGTCGGGAGGAGAAGCTTAGCTACCGCACTCACCTGCTGAACTTCCTCCTGTGTCGCCAGGGGTTTGAACTCAAAGAGTTCGACGTGGACGATACCCATGTTTGTTTGGGACTTTTCTTTTCGGTAAGTCGAATTAATAGGTAAATAAGCCAAGTACAATCAATGCTCAGTTCAGGTTCTTTGGCAATGAAAGTCAAGTGATGGTCGTCCTTCTGCCACTCATATTTGTACAAGTCCGGTCTGTTCCTTCCTCCCCCGTTTGGTTGTCCCATTCTGATTACATCACTTCAGCATCAGCATCGGCATCATTAACGAACAACACAAGAGTCCCGTGCTTTTATTTCCTTTTGCGTGAAGGGACAGTTTCCCGGGGCAACTCACTATCAACAATCATTCACCGACGATCATGCAGGTAGCTAGCTAATCTTGAAGTCGAGACACTTCTTTCATGTATATACATAGTCCAGTCCGTTGGTCAACCGGCTTGGGGCTCTTACTTGCACCACATCAAATTATCTGACCAACCTTAGTTCAACCCTCGATTGTCTGTTAGCGAGGTTCTTGCGACGGAGTTGGAAAGAGTGCGCAATGAAGTCCCGCGCTAACAACAACCTACCTCTAGGGGTAATGTGTACATACCTAGGTAGAGGTACCTTCACAGTATACAGTCAAGGGCACAACGAACCTGGTCCGAATCCCCGAGACAACAACCAATCATTACTTGCACCGCCAGCCAGTATAGCTGCAAGCGTCAGTCAGTAGCCCCTTCCAGCTTTGCGAGTTCATGCTCACGATATTTTCACTCAAAAGCAAAGGCCTTTTTCGGTTGGTTACGTTGGTCTGATTATACTTCATTGCTTTTGATAGCTCATAGCTGATGGTCGCTTGGCTCTTCCGAAAGAGATGGTATCTACAACAGAACCCCCAATGTTCGAATACACACGCCATGCCATAGTTCATCATCATGTACAGGCTGCCTGACAACGAAGCCTCCCAGAGTAGGTAAAGCTCTTCCGGTCAGCCTCACCAACGTCCCGTGCCGGTTGGACTTGTGTCCGCATCCTCCGCTCCCCATAGGTACATCCCAGCCGAGTCGCAGTCCTCTCAAGTTCGTTCCATCGCATCGCACCTTTCGAAATTTCGGACGAGCCCTTTGTGGCCAACAGAAAGAAAGTACAGAGAATCTGAAGACCACGTCTACTTCAATAGTCTAAAGGGGGTTCTCAGACGCCTCGCACTTCATAGTGACGACGGAAGAATCCCTTCCATGTAGCTGGAAGAATCTAGTTCTCTCCTCAAAAAGAGACTTGGGCTGTCCAGAACGGAAGCTGGAACGGGTGACTTGGTTCACAAATATGTGTGTTCCATTCACTATTGTCCTTTTCATGTACTTTCCCTTGATTCTTAAGCTGCTCATTCATCAACCAGCCCACGAGGACGGACCTCAAGCCCAACCTAAGCCGGCATCCCAGCCGCCGCCCTACTCAGCCTCCTCAACGTAAGCGGCATCACGCCATTGATCAAGGTCTCAATGATCTCATCAATAATTTCGCCATCGCCCACGTTCTGCGCCCTCGTGCGACGCAGCCAGTACTCGAAAGGTCCCCGATTTTTAGCGAGTGCGTAACCCAGCTCCGAACAACGCTCGGCCGGACTATGCTCCGTGTGCATTTCCGTAAAATGCGTAATCATCTTGGAGATGTCCTTGAGCGGCCACTTGCAGGGGGCGGCGGGGGAGCGGCCAGTTCCGGCCAAAAGATACTTGGGTGCTGAGCACAGGCGACACTTCCAATAACCGAGTCGCTGGAGTGCTGTGTTTTGCTGGGTTTCTTCGTCGAATGGTGTTGGTGAGGCGCCGCTGCCACCGTTTTGCGGATGCTGGTAGGTAGGATGTAGAGGGACGTTGTACTCCCAGGTTCCGGGCGTGCCATAAGGAAGGGGTTGGGGTGAGCCAGACGAGTTGCCGTTAGGACTGCTGCCTCTCTCCCTCTCCCCCTCCTTGCTGGCGCCATTGGTCATCGCCTCGTCGCCGTCTGCGTCCAACAACTGCGGCTCATCGGGAGTCAGCTTCGCCTTCTTGGCCGATCCCGTGGTCTTACCGCCGTCGTCGTCATCATCTGACGGACCGCTCCGCTTCACGCCCGCTACTTGACCCGATCCGGCAAGCAACGAGGCCGTGTACGCCCGTCCACCACTCGACGCGCCGTAGTTGGTAAAGGGAATTCCCTGCCGGCGCATCTGGACCTGGAGATTCTCGATCTTGTGCTGGCAGTGGCGGATCTGGTGGCCGAGATCGAGCTGGCGGAGCTGGAAAGTGCGGGTTTCCTGGGGGGTGAGGTCGGGCAAAGCCAGGGTGGCGGTGCAGAAGGCCAGGTCGTGCTGGTAGGCGTCGATGTCCTCGTGGAGCTGGCGAAGCTGAATCTCTTCGATGTTGTTAATGTTCTCGTATCCAGTGCCGATGACGCGTGAGGCTGCAGTGTATGCACCGCCTCGGGTCAAGGCTGTTGTGTCGTTGTGCTTGCTGTTCTTGCTGATGATCACGTCACTGTTACCGTTGCTGGTGACAACCAGCGCTGTCTCATCGTTCTTCTTTGGGGTGCCATTGCTGTTGGGTTTGCTTTCCTTGGTGGCGATGGGAGTGGCGCCGTTGGTCGTTGCGTCCACGGCATTAGGTGTGCTGGAGGCGTCGGGCTCTTCTGCAGTGGCATTTGCAGCGGTCTCCGGCTGTGCCTGGCCCTTGCCTTTCTTCGAGGCACTGGCAGATGTCCGAGGCGTGATCATGCTGGCAGGCTTAGCCGTCTCAGGCTCGGCAGCGGCAGATGGACCACCGACAGACACGGTGATGGAACCGTTGGGAGAGTGCGCCGGCTCCTGAGCAGCAGCAGCAGCAGCAGCAGCAGCAGCCTATGGTCGATGAATTAGTATGAACTGTTCAGCAAGATGAGATACACATGTGAGGCTGCTCTTCATTATGAACCAAACGGGGGTTGGTGAGTGAATGAAGGACATGGGAAATTGGCTTGATACCAATGGCTAATTATATGTCTACTTTTCTTTTTCATGTTCATGTTGATGTCGTCCATGCGATCGATATCGATGTGGGATGGATGCAGAAAGTCAAACTGCAAATGTCATGTTGACATTTTATTTTCCTTTCTCTCTCTCTCACTTTGCATCTGATGCATCAATCACTCAAACAATCAAAGAAAATCAATGGATCGCTGATTTGCCCACCTTTCCCTTTGACGCTGCAGCACCGCGCTCTGCTTCCCTCTGCGCGTTTGACGGGCGGCCTCTCTTGGGCGGCATTGTCGCGAATTACTGAAGTTTGGTGGTTGATGGTGGGAGCCAAAAGCGAGGGTGTTGCTGGTTGACTGGTGGTGTCGTGTGGCCAAGGTTCCGGCTTGACTGCAATCACCAGTTGTTGTTTAAAAGAAGAAAGAAAAACAAGCAAAAGAGGTTGCATGCGCATGCAACTGTTATAGACGCCTGCTTGACGTGGAGATGTTGATGGAATGATTGCAAGTGAAAGGTAGTAGTTGTTGTTGTTGCAAACGTGGAGTGGCGGTGGTGATGTGAAGTGTTGAGAAAATGGAATGATGAGAGAGAAAGAAAGAAAGTGGGCAAACGGAGAAAGAAAGAGGAAAAGGAAATAGAAAAATAAAATAAAAAATAAAAAATAAAAATGGGAAGAATGCGACAGGATGAAATGGCCAAGATGGAGCGGGACAGAAAAAAAGGCGGGGTGTGTACGGAAAAGTAAGGGACCTTGATCGATGTAGTTTGTACCTCGACAGTTCAAGGTTCAGGTTCGTTCACTGGTGGTTCCAGGCTCACAGTTGTTGGTGAATGGTGAATGGTGGGTGTGTGGAAGAGGAAAAGGAGACAAAACTGGAGAATTTCATGGAAAATTGGAACCCCCCCTTTTTCTTGTTCTCCCTTTCTCCCCTTTGTTCCTTTCTTTCTTTCTTTTTTTCTTCTTTTTTTTTTCCACCTTTTTTTTTTTTTTTTTCCTACCCGGCATCTACCCGTTCCTGCTGGCTCCAAAAAAAAAAAAGGCTTGGCGTACCCCTGCCGATTACCCCCTCTCCCCTTTCTGCCGTCATTTCTCTCCACCTCCCAATGCATCTTAGACGCGGATTGGCCGGATAGACAACTTGAACACTAAAATGGGGACTAAAACCAGGGGTGCACGGGGCACATCTACATCGCCTGACTTGGGAAACGGACGAAGCTTGGCGTGGGTTGGTTGTCTCTTGTACACGGTTGGAATGGCAGACGTCTTTTCTTTGCCTGTTTTGTATGTCAGGGATGGAGGCTGTCTTCCATGTTCCTATTCTTGTTCCTCAATGTTTTCTTCTCACCCATGTTATATCCCGTACCTTTACAACTTGGTCCTTTGACTTATTCTTGATCAGAAACAATCACAATGAACACTATTTATTCCACAACTTGTTTTTCCTCCCTCTATTTATAACCTACTTGGACTTTTTCATTACAATTTCCAATCCCCAAGAACGGAGAAGAGCGAGCGAACTGGGCTTTTTTTGGCGGCATCTACCCTGGAGATGAAATCATCTTGAAAATGAAATCGAAGGCGAGTTGAGGACACACAGATACCTCCGAGTTGGCTAGAAAGAGGTTAGGGGTTGCATAAAGTCTGAAGGAATGGTGCGTGCGCTGAGTTTCCGCAGCTTCGACAAATTCTCTCCTCCTTCGCGCTCTCGGCATTATTGTAAACCTTCAGAAGAACAGTCATAAATCATCAAAGAAGAAAACATCCCTCTTCTGTTCCCATGAGAAACACACGTGCTTCAAGACACCCACAGCTTTCTCAGCTTACAGAGTCATAGGAAGTAGATCCGTAAGTACCATTATTATCGCCAGAAGGGATGGGGGATACTGGGCCATACGAACAATCAACGGACCTCCACCATCAATCCACTAATCCAAGACGATGCCTTGTTATAATCGAGGATATCCATGGTTTAGTGAGCGACTACCTACCTACCTACCTAGATGGACTCAACCAACAGGACATCGAAAGTCACCTACATACACTATAGAATGGCACAAGAGTGTGGAATTGAAACACTCAACCTCCGTACATCAGAGATATTGGTTACCTTATACTGAACTTCATGTCGGGACTTGAGCTTCACTAAAGGTTTGAAATGTATCAACTATAACGGCGAAAGCTTAGGTGCCCTGGCCATCACTGCAGCATTGGAGAAAGAGTCAAATCATGTTCAAATAGACGATCGAGAACGGCCGAGGTAGATATTGGACCTGAAAAAGTCTGAGGAAATAATGGTATATGAATCACCAACTTCTTCAAATCATGTCATGTGTCCATGCCACCGCTAGCTAGATGGACCTAATTAGTTCCTTCCGCTTCAACTTCTCAACCTCCATTACCGATTTCACTTTCAAGTCAAAAGTCATAACACCCATGAATGCAATGTAATGCAACAACAACTGAAACCAGAACGCTTCTTTTGAGCTTCTTTTGAGCCCCAAAGAGATCATACCATTCCCCTAACCCCTAACCTATAATATCTTGAATGCAATAATGCTTAACCATGACCCTTTTCTTCTTATCACACCCAATCCTATCCCCTGGTAGTATTGGCCCTCTCCGCCATCCTTCAAGTCCATTCATATTCACCTCCGTTGAACTCCTTCATTTATGATCCACCCATGATCCATCTAACCCTGTGTACCATCCACAGCAGGCAACACAGCCGGAATATCCTCCATATCATCCATATCGCTGCTAATGACGCTATACGACCTCGTGTCCTTGTCCATCTTATCCACCTGAATCACAGAAACAGAAGGAGCCCGAGTCTTCACCAACGGCGCCGGGGTAGACGCCACACTAGCAGCCGTCGAAGCAGCCAACTTCTTCCGAACCTGCTTCGCCTTCGTAGCCACCTTCTTCTCCCTGTCCACACCACCAACCACATCACCCGGTCTATCCAGGGAAACCAGGCTGTCATCGGCGAGATTACCGTCCATCTCTACCAGATCGAGGAGTAAGTGATCTGGCACGGCTGATGCAACCGCCAGCTCCGAAGAGTCTGCTGCGGCTGAGTCATCTGATGCCTTCCTCCGCTTGCTAGCCTTGGCGACCGAGGCGGTAGTCTTGATGATGGTCTCAGTCGTGCGGACAGATGGCTGGCGAGTGAGGATGCGACGTTTCTTGTTATGTTGACTTTGACTGTTGGCCGGAGCATCGGAGTGGTCAGATTCGTCGTTGAAAGATGGCCGGTGGGCGGCGGGACGCTTGGGGCTTAGCTGGGGATGGTGATGACTTGCTATGGAGAGAGAAGTAGATGGCGGCGGGAGGGAGGGGACGGCAGCGCCGAGGACAAGGGGGACGTCCAGGTCGAGCTCCTTTTCTTTGCGCTTGGATTTGGTGGACCTTGAGGCCTTGCCGTAAGTGCGGACTGCTGCCTTTTTGGAGGCTTTGAAGGGGGCGGCCTTGGATGCGGTAGCGATCACATCGTCATCTTCGTCATCGGAAGAATCTTGAGGTTTCTGGGCGGAAGTGGGGAGTTGTGGGCTTGAAATGAAAGAGGGTTCGCCAAGGTCAACGCTGGCGGCTCGGCTACGCACGACGGGCGCTGATGGTGCTGGCTCCGACTCCTCGTCATCTTCATCGGCATCAATCTCGGGAGCGTCGTCGAGTTCGATATCTTGGTTATTATTGCCGTTGACAGCAGTAATGTCTCCGTTGATGCTCTCTTCGACCTCTTCCTCATCCGAATCCTCATCGTGGACAATGGCCTCCGAAAGTTGTGACTTCTTGGACTTGGAGGACGCCTTTTCTGACTCTTTTAACCGCTTTGCGCGCTCTCTCGCACGCTGAGAAGCTCGACCGCGCATCTCATTGTCTGACGATTCGGCAAACACATTGCTGAGATTAGTCTTGGTTCCCTTTGGGGGATCCCACAGGCCGACTCTTGGTGTGCGGTAGATCTTGGTCTGCTGCGTGGACGAGACGACCACGGAAGCAGGTCTGCTGACGGTAGATCTGGCATCAGCGTCATCTTCCGCATCGTCACCACCGACTTCCTCATCGCCCTTCCAGTCGGCATCGCGCTCGTACATGTCGCAAAGGTACTTGGCACATTCTTGGGTAGACTTGGATTCCCATTGCGGCACGGCTTGCCGCAGACGACCCCAGGTGACTTTCAGAGCAGTTTTGGCGTACTGTTTTTCGAAAACATCTTCCTGGACTTGGTTCCATTTGATTTTGGCTTCGCGGTCAGCGCCAGAGTCTCGGATGGCACGCGCCAAAAGGGCCTTGTCTTGGGGCGTGATTTTGCGCAAGTCTTTGCGAGCCTTATCCAGGCGAGAAGATTCGCCATCGGGAAGCTTGACCATGATGCTGTCGGGCAAAGCCTCATTCTTGCGCAAGGTCTTCCACTTTTGCAAACATTGAAGGCGAGATCTGGTGTGGTTCATGGCCGTGCTGATCTGTTGCCAGTTGATGAGGCTTTCTGGTGACTCGTCGTCGGCTTTTTTCTTGGACTTGGACATGCCGGATTTGATCTTGTCAATAGCCTCCGCAACGACCTTGAGGAAACGCTCCTCCTCCTGTTCGGACCAGTAATCTTTTCTGTTTTTGCCCCCGCAGGCCAGATAATTTCTGTAGCGATCACGAACATCGTCCGGGAAGCGATTAATGAGACCACCGATTAGTGTCCATTTTTGGCCGTGCAGCTTCAGCATGCTCTCCAACTCCTCATCTTGCTCCTTGGTCCATGAACCACGGGCAGGGAAGTTGTGGAAATTCTGCCTGCAGTGGCTGACCACTTTTCTTCGTGGCCGGTTGGGGCAAGCATCGACAATTAGGGCCCATAGCTCCCTGTTCTTCGGGTCCTTTCGTGGGTCTTGACGAATCATCTCATTGACCTCATACTTGGTGAGTCCTTGAGCATCCCTGAACGAGTCGATTACCGCCTTGATGCGAGCATGTTCGGCCGGCGTCACCCGACCTTGTAGATTTGCCTTATTGGAGTTGTCGCCTGCTTCCTCCACTTCAGAATTGTCTTCTTCGGTATCGGCTTTCTTGGCAGGCTTCTTCTTTGTGCTGACCTTGGCCTTCTTAGGTGCTGGCTCAACGTTGGAAGTGCTTTGTTCGTCCTCGGCACGTACTTTGCGCTTCTTCTCCCGCTTCTGGTCCTTTTGGGTGGCGGCAACTTCCTTGACGGAAGGCTCAGCAGACGTCTCGGCGTTATCGCGTGCTTCGACCTCCTCACGTTCAAAGTACGGAACCTTTACCTTTCGCTTCGAGCCCTTGGAACGCGGCGTCTTTGCTGTGGATGTTGGTGCTGGAGTGGCTTCCTCAGCTTGCTCGACTCGTTCAGGCTCGACATCAGGTTGAGCTTGTGCTTTCTTGGCATGGGACTTGCGAGCCTTGGGAGCTGGAGTCTGGGCCACCGAGACCTCAGGGGCAGGATCTTGGTCGTCTTCGACCTCGGCAACAGCATCGACTTTGGGACTTGGTTCTTCGTTGTTGGCAACTTCTTGGTCGATATCCATTTCGTGGTCAGAATGGCTGTCAGGTTCGGGATCGCCAGCAGAAGAAGCAGTGTCCATGTCAGCGTTGTGTCGCTCGACCTCGTCCGCATCATGCCTGAGCCCCTCGTGGCCATGGCTATCCTCTGGCCCGTCCATGGCATCATGGGGCATGTTGTCTTCCCACATGCTGCTGTTCATAGCCGGGAGACCGTCAGTGCGGGGTCGTTGGGAGCTGTGAGGAAAGCCATTGAACTGGGCTTGAGAGCTCGGGGGCAGATCATGGGCGAAATCCTGGGTGCTGGGAAGGCCATTGATGTGATCGTCCAAGTCCATTGGGTGAATCGAAGCAGGAATGCGGGTGCTGTTGAAGCTTTCGTCGTGGAAGCTTAAGGACTGTTGGGTAGCAAATTGTGGTGCCAGAGGAGCGCTTGAAGCGACCTCGACAGGATGTTGCGAAGCAGAGCGAGCCCTCCGTCGCTCACGGGCCACGAGCGGGGAGGTATGCTCATGGCCAGCAACCATGCTTGGCTCATGCTCGTCGGCACCGGGCTCCCTCTTGACGAACGAAGCATCAACCTCCCCATGGTCGTACTCGTCTTCCTCGTCGGCAACAGGCTCGGGTGACAGTCTTCGCCTTTTGACATGAGCATCGGAACTCGGAGCTTCGCCTCTGTGAATCTTTGCGGTTCGTCCGACTTTGTCCTCGCCATCGGTAATGGGATCATCCGAAATGTCGACAGTAACCTTTTTCGACTTGCGACTCTTTTTCTTGAACTTGGCAGATCCTTGAGCAACAGATTGTGGTTCGGGCTCGGCAACTTCAGGGCGTTCGAACTTGAGGTTGGGTGACTCGTGAAATTCGGGGGAGTCAAGGGGCAACTCATGGTCGGGTTCGGGTTGTTGTTGTTGTTGCTGCTGCTGCTCCTCCTCCCCTTCCTCCTCGACCTGGGGCTCAGGCTTGGACCTCTTCTTTTTCTTCTTCTTTTTCTTGCCAGCCTCTGGAATTTCGTGATCCTCAGCCGCGGTTGGTTCTGGGTCTGCAAAGGTGGTGTCTTGGTCGTGGGAATCGCCATTCACCTCGGGCTCAGCAGCAGGGGAGGGCGAGCGTCGGTGCTTGGTCTTCTTCTTTTTCTTTTTCTTGCGCTCTCCGGAGTTGGGCGCGACAGGAGATTGGGGCTGCTCGTTGAACTGCTGGCCGTAGGGTACGTCGGGAATGGCATCATCGTAGCTCTCGTTGTTCTCGTATTTACCCCAGTGGTTGTCTTCCTGGACCAAGGGCGAGGCTGACCGGCTTCTGACGTCGCCCTCTTCGCCTTCCGGCACGCTTTGTTGACTGCCCATCTTTGACTGTGTTGTGATTTCGGATCGATGTGCTGGTCAGAGAGACGACAAGGTGCTCAGAGTGATGTTGACATGGTCTGGGCCGATTGGTGTCGGGCAAGAAGGCGGGCGTCGAGAGGGCGACCTCCAGGCAGGGAATGGTTGTGTTTTGGTGATGCAGCGAGAGAGGTCAAGGGTAGGCGACGGAGAATTGGTGATGTGCGTTTTTCGCTGCCAAACGCGCCGCGTTCTTTTTGGGAAAAGGCCCACCACACCACCCAAAAGTCCCACTGTGAATTGGAGATTGCGGGGGAGGGAGCGAGGGAGAGAGTGTGCACGAGCCACCCGGATGCATGATCCCCCCGGCAATGGCACCATTCACTGCAGTATGTAACATCCCCGAGTCTCGGCAGGCAGATCTTGAGACATAAGCGAATAGGAAATAGCGTCCGAGCTCCCGAGGCGCGCCTTGGCTGGACTCGACGACATCCCCTTCCTTGTGTTGGCCGTCCGTCTCCACTTGACATCTCCAACTTGAACGACGACATGTCAATATCAACCACATTATATTTCCGAGTTCACCAAGAGCAACAAATGAATCAAGTTTTTTTTCTAGTTTTTTTGTGAAATTTGTTTATCTTTCCTCGTTAATTGTCTCATGCATCTCATCTTTGTCTTCCATCAGCAAAAGTACCGGTAAATCTTGAAAAGGCGTGTATACTCGGACACGGGCTCTCGTGGTCACTCAGCAATGCATTGCCTGCATCTTGGGAGGTCTTATGTATGCCTCCAAACGGCTTTGGTCGGATCCCTTACTCCTCTCTCTTCTTGCTAAACAGGTTGGCCAGCGACTTCTTCTTGTTCAGCTTTTGTCTCTGTGATCCTGCCTGATTCGCTGCATCATTGTCATCTTCGGTAGGAATGGGAGGCGCCGGAATCAAGGGAAGTGGAGGCACAGGAGGGATATCCGGAAGGCGTGGAGCAGCATCCCTAGTGGTGACGGGGCTCAAGCTGGTTGACGTTGAGAAGGAAGAGGACGCTTCTCGACCAAGATTGCCCCGGGACTTCGTTTTCAACCTGCTGAAGGCGTTCCTCACCCTTCCCATCGTCGAAGGCTCATCATCCGTGTCTGAGCTCCAATGTGACTTGGGCTCTTCTGCTGGCTCGTTGCTCAGCGTTCCCGAGTCTGCGCTGTCTCTCACCGTTACCAGAGCAGGACCTCTCTCGCGCATTTCGACAGCCAGTCGAGGTTGTGGTCGAGGCTGCGGCTGAGCTTGAGCTGGAGGCTGGCTGGACCTCGCGCTCGACCCCGAACCACGCGAACTGCGGCCACGGCCACGGCCACGACCGCCAGAACCCGACGCAAAGGAAGGACTGGAAACGTCCGGCGTCATCGGGGTTGGCGAACTCATCATTGCCGGCGAGGTTGTGGAGCCAACAAAAGTCGAGGAACCGCTGAGGTGGCGGGAGCCGCTGTCCCTGCCAGAGCTCGTTGGGGGCGAAGTGATGTCGGGAGTCGAACCCGAAATAGTGGACGGGCTGAATGTGCCCAACGTCTGGGTGCGCATGCGAAGTCCGAAGCGCAACACCGCTCGCTGGTCCTGGTACCCATCTCGAGTCCGCGAGACAATCTGTCGGAGCTCTGCATCCAGCTCATCCTCGTCGCCAATCGGAGCACCCATCGGCCTGGGCGCCGACACTGCTCGCGTGCCAAATCGAGAGTTGCCGCCGAGGGCACCACCACTGCGAGGGAGAGCCTGAGTTACGGAGCGGCCAAAACCACGAGGAGGCGAACCAACCGGCATAGGCGGCGGAGGAGCAATGGCTTGGGTCACCGACCGCGGAAGCCCACGGCCGAGCCCGGCACCAGAGCTGCTCACGCCAGGAGAAGCCAGGCCAGGAGAGATTGCACCAGAACGGACCACATCACCGGCTCCTGAAGACACTGCCATCGCAACATGAGGGCGAGGTAGGACACCAACGGTAACGGAAGAAGCGAGACCACCATCACCAGACAAAGAGGTTGCACCAGGCCTCTGCGTGCTTGAACCACGGTCAGGACGCAAACCTAAACCCATCGGCGGGCGGGGGAAGACATAAAGGGCAGGGCGTGGGTTCGTGATGGCTGGTGAGCCTCGTCTCAATGCGGGCGCACGACGAAGGGGTAGCGGCTCAAGGTCCGCGAGCAATGGCAGCAGCGTGGTGGTCAACCCGTCTGCCGGGTCTTCCACGAGAGAACCCGGGATAGTCGGGCTCTCCTCCCGCGAGGGCACACCTTCGTCAAAGTCGGTGACAATGGCGCTGTTGTCGATGGCGAAGCCAGCTTCCTCGGCTAACTAGGTCAAGGAGAGGCTGCTGTCGTCCATCTGGGCTTCGTCGTGGTCCAAACTGGCGGGGAGAACCTCCCCCTGTCCCTCACCCGTGGCCGGGCGAGCTGTCCTTTCCGAATCAGCAGAGGATGGCGTCGGGGAAGAAGCCAGCCGAAGCCGAACCTCCTCACCCAACATGTGGGGAACCATCCCCCAGCGTCTTTGGTTGCCCTGGACGAACGTGGTGTCGGCCACAAGAGTTGTGTCATCACCACCCCGAAAGGCGGGTGACTCCTCTCTGGCCTGGGCGGCACCATACTCGTAATCACCGCGAGGCAAAAACGACGCATCGTTCGTGGCAATAAAGGACCGGTCAGCTGTTCCCGCGGAAGAAGAGGACGAGGCGACAGCCACGGAAGAAGCAGGTGGCACCAGCGAGCTGTCCCTGATGGTGGACAAGCTCGGGGCATACAGCCGGGGGCGGCTACCACCATGCGACTCCCTGCTGTCGGAGTCCTCATAGTCGCTCTCCTCCACATCTCCCTCGTACTCCACGTCACCACCAACATCTCCTGCTTGTACCTGGGTGCCCAATGGCACAACGCTTTGCCCCGGAATGGGCGGAAGCGGCCTGTAGGGCAGTGGAGGACCAGGACGGTCGGCAAATCTTCCGGTGTAGAGGGGTGAACCCGCCCTACGACCAGCTGGGACTACCGATGGGGAGAGGTTGGCGGGAAGAGGAGGGACAGGCGGAATGTCCTCGACAACGGGCCCGCTCAAGCCAGTAACCGCCGGCAAGCTGAGCGGGACGAGATCCGGAGTCGTCCGAGAAGAGTTGAGGCCGTGGGAATAGCCTTCCTGGGCTCGCTCGGCCTTGATCCTGCGCTTTTCACTCAGGCTCATGGCCGTGAGGCGCGCCAGATCCAGGCGAGGAACAGGAGGGGGACGTGGTCTGGAAGCGGTGGCCTCGAGGGGCCGCTCGCCAGCCACGGTTGTCGTGCTGCTTCGGCTACGGGTGCCAACCGCAGCGTCAGCCCCAAAGATCTGTCTGCCCGCCGTAGTCGTACGAATACGGACCGGGCCGGGCCTGCTATCCAGTTGGGATCCTGGAGGTGTAGCAACAGAGGAAACCGCTCGCCGGAGTTTGCCTGACACGACCTTGTCATCGGCCGCCGACTCCCTCGCAACGAGTCCACCGGTGGGGGCAGTCTTCGCCCTACTTGCGTAGGACACCTCGACCGTCGCAGCAGGGGCTACCTTCACCCGCGGGCCGTCATCAGTCGCCTTGTCATCAGCAACCTTGGCCGACTTGGGTTCATCGGCAACTCGAGCATGGGTTCTCATCGTCCCTCTGACTCCCTCCTCGGCATTGACCCGGGCTCCAAAGGAGCTCGAGTCGCCGACTCGGGCGAAGGACGAAACAGCCGCCTGACGGCGGTGTCCCAAACCCCTAGCAGGCTGCTGGTGACCCGAAGGCCCCCGGCGCTGCTGGGGCAGCTGCTCCTGCTGCTGAGTGGGAGCAAGGGCTGTGGCGGGGCCCTGCATGGAGTTCTGGAGAGAGGAAGAAGGGGACAGTCCAGAAACAACCTCCTCCAAGTGTTGTTCCTGGTCTTCTTCGTCATCCGCCTCGAAGAAGCTATCGAGAGCCGCATTGGTCGTCTCGTGCCTGGTTGACATGAAGAAAAAAAAACCGTTAGTGGTTTTGTTCATATGCTGTGAAAATGCTTCGTGCTTTCGCTTGAAAGGCCAAACGAACACAGTTGTCGTCCCAAGTCCCTGTGTACTACCAACGGGAAACACTGGACACGACAACATTCAAACGACTACCCTGCCCTTCCCAAGAGATATCATCCTGCTCCGAAGGAGACGCGGATTCATCATCTTCGTCAATGGCAGATAGTACTAGGGTCGTCGCCGGGTCTAGCCTTACTGGACCGCGAACACCTTCACCCCCACAACTCATCAAGGAGAGTCTTCGAAACAAGTCACTAGAATTCACTGCACTTACCACTCGTCAGGGAGCGATGCACCCGAAGATGCACCTCTCCCGCTACCAGCACCCTCGACGATGTTGCCACCACCGAGGGGCTCTTCCGGGACTGACGCCAAGAAGCCACCCGAAGGCGACGACGAGGCGACCAGCTGCCCGGGTCGGGTCCTGGTGGTGCCTGTGCGGGCGCGGGCGCGGAGGCGGACGGGTACCGGAATGCGGCTGCGGGGGCGGCCGCTGGTGCCGTCGTCGGGCGTCGAGCGCGAGCGCGAGGCGAGGGGAGAGGAGGAGGAGGCGGAGGAGGGGAAAGAAGAAGAGCGGGACGAATACATCTTCTTGGTTGAGGTAGCTGCTTGCTGTCTGTTAGCGACTTGAAGACTGGAGCAAGTGATATGTGGTGGAAGCGGATGGAGTGCCTAGGTACGATGGCACCGGATCTGGAGAGAAGCGAGGGCCAGAGGCAGAGGTGTTACTAACAGAAAGGTGAGGAGAGGTTGGTGGTGACCGGTAATCGATCACTTTGGTCTGAGGAAAAAGGGAGTGAGTGTTAGTGGGATCGAGGCAGAAAAAATGGCAAAAGCGCCAAGGTCATAAGATGATGACGGTGATGGTGGTTGACAAGTGTGAAGCGAATGGGTCGAGTTCGGTAAGCTGCGATCTTCACCACGCCATTCCATGGTTCCAGGTCTGGCCAAGCTATGCTGCTGCGATCAACCTTGGGAGTCCAGTCTCAAGGTTGACCACGTTGGCGGGATTGCTTGATTGAATCCAAGGTATGGAACCGACAAGAAAAAGGAAAAAGCTCAAAACGTACGGCAAAGAAAGGCTTGAAATCTGCCAACAAAGTTAGCAACGCGAAGAAAATCTCGAGCTTGGGTACGTTGGTGATTAGCTCGATCGTTTGGAGTCGTGATTGGCACAAGCTCCTTGTAGCCGACCAAGGGTGAAGATGAAGAGGGTAATGTCAGAACTGCCAAGGAGCAGTATGACGAGATCAACCAGGCGATGATGGCCCAGATCATACTGGATGATACCCAGATCTCAAAGAAGAGGTTCAGGAGGGAGGATATGGGTTTTGAGAAGATCTGGAACTTACGGCGAAAAGTTGCTTGAAGGCTGGGCAGCGGCAACGAGAAAAGGGTCTGGAGCTTGGTACGACTGCGATGATGAAATGGTTAGCTCAAGTTCTTGCCTCAAGTTTGGTCCAGTTGGAGTCGTGATTCTCGAGTGAGGTCTGGAGTCTGGACTGTTGTTTCTGATGTGCTTGCAAGCGCATTCGCAAAGTTGTGAAGTGATCACAATGATCTCAGAATAGGAGACGAGGACCTGCTTTCTCAGAGTGCGCGAAGGCTTCTTGTCACGATGCTTGGGAGGAGTGTCCAAGATTTGATGGATGGTGATGTGATGTGGAGGGGTAAAAATCAAAGGGAGTGAAGATCAAGTCAAGAGATTTGGTATACTCGCGCTTGAAGCTTCTGAGGTCGAAGTCAAAGTCTCCCAGACTCTTGCGATCGAGTCACTCGACTCTCTCACATCGTGGGCTCGGGTGAAGATGCGGGTGAAGGTGACGGATGGGTATACCTGACTGAGTTGCCGTGGCGGCGAGGGGTGAAGATGTGTGTGAAGGAGGAAGAAAAGGCAAAGCAGGGCAGGCGTGTTGGATGATTATACCTTTGAAAACAATGGAAGTTTTCTTGGTTGAGGGCAGGATTGATGATGGTGAACTGGGCACTTGGTACTTACTCGACGCGATGGTAGCTTTGGCTGATGGTGTTGTGGACAAGAAAAAGTTCGGGCGAGTGCGGGCGGAAGAGTTTAAGACCCAGGAGGGAGCAAGACGGGAGGGCAACTGGACGGGGCACGGTCCTTTCGGAGGACCTGGACTGTGAGTTCGGACGACACCAGACTGGGCTTTTGTTGAGCAAGTTTGCTTTGCCCACTTGGGACGAACGGCTGCGAGGCTGGGAAGCAAAAGTCAAGACGACTTGAGGCTGTTCCTGCCATACTCACCTTTTCCGTGGGCGACTGGCTCAACACGGAGCTGGAGATTTCGGAGCAAAGGAGTGAGAATTGAGATATGGCGAGGCTGGTCTTGCTACCAACAGCATCTTTCGTCTCGTCCACCCAAGTCACTCTACGGATTCTGGTCTTGCTCAGTTGGGTGAAGGCCAGACGGCTATTCAGATGACAATTCCTATCGTGCTTCCAGGTCATTCTGTGAAATACTACAACTATATCCACCGAGATCACATCGTCCATCCGAGATATCACACAGGTATGGTTTGCTCTTTTTCACAGAGTTCCCTTTCCAAGGTGTACTTCTATCCTATATCGTTTGTTGACTTCAACAGTGGAGCGGCGTACATCATTTGCAGGTGTTTATGCTGGAACTAACGTCGTCAAGCTCCCCTTTCCCTTCTGTGACTGCGTTTGTAGAGGTACCTTTACGAGTTAGCGTGACGACTATCGAGTGTGGAAGGCACACGTTGTCTGTTATATTCGTAAGGCTACCTCTAGATAAAAATTTGGGGATGGATCGAACTAACTGGTCGGTTGAAACATTGGCCGGACAACAAACCCGCCTATTTCATCAGAAGAAGGCGGGTGTTGAGCTGAAAGGACTCAACTTCGTCTGTTAGGGCAGGCAGATGGCACAAAATTCAACAATCCCTCAGAGATATCGGTCTGTTAAGTGACTTCGCAATTACGCTTGATGTCAAGAATTCGCTCCTCGATCTGCTTCAAGTCGGTCATAGCGTCTTTGAGGGAGTTGGCTAAGGTAGGTAGACACATCCTTCCTGCGCGTGACGATTTTACGCCAGAAGCACCAATCTCGTGAAACATGGAATCAGGTGCCTCAGATACCACTAATGGGGAATCGACTGCTCACACGAAATGGACGTTGAAACTCGAAAACTATGTGTCTTTCTGGAATTGGTCAACACAACATATGGCAGGCTTAAAAACCATTGCTTTTTACACTCAGAAGACCATTTCAGGCAAATTTACTTGGCGTTCTCCTTCGTTGTGCCTTTGTTGCTTCCAAGTCAAAGTAGTCGGGTCAGCAGTCGGTGCACATGGCATGAAATCAAAAGCTCCCCTTGAACAACGAGGCCCGGGACTCGTACTTGCTTGCCCCGCCACCTGAGTCTCGGGCAGGGAACATACCACGGTGCTCTGTAAGATTGGTATGTACCTCTAACATCTTTTGCGTGGTCAAAAAAATATCGAAGTGAACGCCTGTTCTCGAGTAGCGGTGCTGAGAGGATCGTAGTGGGAAACCCTTTTTCAAGACATACGTTATACACGTCTAGGAGCTTGGGAGACAATCAACATTGGGACAACGATTATTTGGAAAACAGTAATTGTTTTCCAAACATTGATTGTCTATCAGATAACGGTCGTTGCGACGCAATGTGTCCCGCTTCGGTACCTCTACATATATCAAGCAAGGCCCCCCTCACTACGATCTCTGAATTTCTTTCTCCTCCCCTCTCCATCTTTTCTTTCATCGACGTACTTTCGCCAAACAAGGCCCCCCTCACCACCTGGTCCTTTCTCAAACAACGGGCAGCCAAGGTGAGCACCACTACCACAAGCTAACATCTCTTCCTCCTGCTCCTCCTCCTGCCTAACCTCATTCGGGAACGTCCAACTTCCAGGGACGAGACAGCAGATGAATACTAGTCAAAATTTCCAATACTGGGAATTTCGCGGAAATTGGAAAGTCGCGACTCAGCCCGTCGGCTGAGCAGCAAACACCCTCTTGCGCAGGGAACATCACAAGAGAAACACTTTGCGAGATTGATTTCAGCTCTACCTCCCTCCGTGGCCCCCTCATCACGACGATCCTCAAGTTTTGCCCCCGGTCCGATGGCCAGCCCTCCGGCGCTGAGTGCTACAAGTGCGGCGAGGTCGGCCACATTGCCCGCAACTGCTCCATGGATGGCCAGGAGTAAGTATTCCCACATTTTAAGACTGGCATTAAGCGGACGCTGACACACAATCCAACATAGATTTGAGGTCGCAGAGTCCGTGTTGGCAAGGCCTCTGACCGACCGCGCCGGCCACACCACGGTTAGTGAGTTTGACCATCTTCCAACGAAATTATCACCCAGTCAATTTTCGACTATTTCTACGTCCATACCAGACATCCTCCCACTAACCACACTTTTTGTTCTTTGTCCCGAAAAGCAGACAATCTACAGCGAACTGAGCGACCTTGGCCAACACGGGTTCATCGGCAACTCGAGCATGGGTTCTCATCGTCCCTCTGTCTCCAGATCCCTTCTCGACACTGACTCGAACCCCAAAGGAGTCAAGAGGATTTCTGCAACCTGGGGATAATATCGACCTACTACACGTTTCCATCCGCGTGTCCTTTCTCAAAGAGCCACAAGAAAAAGCCGAAACCGAGCGACTCGCCATTGTCCAGGGTGCTGGCCAACACTCTAGAACCGAAAAGCAAGCCAGCACCCAGGACAACAACCCGCCTCCACCAAAATCGAAAAGGAGGTGGTGGTGGTTTTGTAGCGATTTCTCAGAAATAGAGACGACGGAGAACACCTTCAATTTCGAGGTAGAGTGTACATACCTACCTACCTGTATATAGACTTGGAAGATAGGTATTACAGGGGCACCTTAGGTTTGTAGAGGAAGAGAACCTCACCTCCACACAGCCCTCATCATACCTGATTTTGGAGGTGATCTTTACTCCATCACAGCTCCTTGTTTAGTAATACCTAGAGGTCGGCAATGGAACCTTGAAGCTTTGGACCATAGGTAGCCAGGTAGGTACCATTCACCATCGTCGACGACCTTGGCTACCTACCTACCTACATCTATCTATTCACCAGCAGGTAAACCTTGAATGCCTTCCAGGTTTACTGCCAATCCCTTCACTGTCAGCTAATCAGGTTTTTAGTCTTTCCCACTTCCAGAAATATAAAAATCCCACTAGGTAGTTGTACTTGGATCTCGCTGAATTTGTTCCAGTCCTGTCTCAAACACCAGGGCACACATCTTCGACTTCCACCTCCAAAAAGTCGACAACACGACCATTGTCCACTCCCCCGTATCATATCAGACTTCTCAATTTTTCCCAATGTACGTCACTACGTCTTTTGACAACAACCACCACTTACCTCTACTAAGTTATATGTATACTACCTCCAGTACCAACTCTTATATCACTCTCCACATTCCTTGAAACCCAGTTAAAATGGGAGAAAGCAATGATGAAAAGTCCATGGTGACAAACTCCAAAGCGGCCGCCAAAGAAGTCACCAACCCTGCCAACAAAATCACCCCGGCCGCCAGAATACTTCAACATATTCTATCAAGCCGCTCCCTCTTGATCATGAGGAAGACAATGATCCTCGAAGCCCTAAACCAGGCCGAGAACGAGGCTGAGAAGAAGGTGGAGGCCGCACTTGCCAGGGAGGATGACTTGAAGCTGGACGAGGCGATGGTCAACAAGGACAACGACAAGGACAACGACAAGGACAACAAGGCTATTTCTACGGTTACAACACGTAGCGGTCGCGTGGTGAAACCCACCCGGAAAACCAGAGAGATGAACGAGGCGGCGGATAAGAAGAAAACCAGCACCAGTAAAGCAGATACACGTACTAGGACTAGGACCAGGACTAGAAGTGGAAAAGGAGGCAAGGGAGGAGCCGCGAGGTCCATGTCAGCGCCGCCGGCCGCTACTGTGAACACGACGATCACACGCAGTGGTCGTGTGGTGAAGCCTAGTTTGAAGGCTAGGGAGATGGCGGGTTGGCAAAACAAAAAGTAGACAAATACCATCAACTCTTCTGGGTTAAAGAAGAACTACCGCAACATGTTGTGTAAGTACCTACCTACTGAGCCAATAATTCAACAACTGTGACCTCGAATCTCCAAGTTCCTAGAGAGCTACGTACGTACAATTCCATATCAAGTAAGAGAATATGGAAGAAAAGAAAATGATCCCAGGCTGGGAGTACCATATGAAAAGCGAACATGAAATAGGAAAAAATGAACCATGAACAGTGATAATCTAGGTAAGTATCGAGTACCACCACTACCACCACTCTCTTGAACGCCGAACTAACTCGCGATAAGAAAAGAAAATTCATGCTGAAGAAAAAATAGAAAGAAATAGAACGTATGGGGTGATAAATGAGTGCTGGTCTGAGCCATCACGGACTCTAGTACCTTATGTAAAGTGCGTGGAAAAGATTGAAGCTCCTGGCAAGTGCCTCTTTCCCTCATGATTCCAGTCTTCAAAGGAGCCAAGAAAACAGAACGCTTTTCCTTTTATCTTTCCATCCTCGCCTTGACTCCATATTTTCATGCCTAGAGGTACCAGCATGGTACCATCTTTTTCTTCTTCTTTTCACTTTCGTCTTCTTACTTTTTTCCTTTCTGTTTTGTCCAATGACCGCCTGACTCCTGACTGGACAATCACAAGGACGTTCTTCGAGGCAAGTCAGAGATCTTAATCATCCTTCTCCTCACCCTCCTCTTCCGGTTCCGGCATAACCAACTTGACATCCACGCCCTTGCCCTTCTCCGACCTCCTAATCTCATAATGACCACCAAGCACCAGATCCTTCGCCACCAACTCCCTTGTACGTCCCAAGCTCTCGATAGCCGCAATCCTGTCAATGGTCGCCTGCAGGTGTTCGCGGAAGCCGGGCTGGGCAACGATCTCCCGGAAAGCGAGGTGCATGGGCACGGAGCTGGCGCGCACCTGGGCGTTCTTGGTGATCGAGAAAAGATTGAGGCGGTCGAGGGCGCGCACAAAGTCGGAACGCGTCATGATCTGCTGGGCCTCGTGCAGAGCGTACGAGGGCAGGATGTGGCCGACTACAGGGTCGTAGGTGGAAGAGCCGGCGGCTTCCATCATGGCTTCTTTATCGACGAGGGCGGTGGCTAGGACTACTGCTGCTGCCTGTTGGTGGGGAGGGGGTGTTAGCAGATTGGAGGGAAGATGAGGAAGCAGAAGGGGTTTAACGGAGATAGGGAGTGGGAAGAGAAAGAAAAGGGAACAAAGAAATAGCAACTCACAGCCCACTTCTGCTGATCCATCACATCATCATCCATTTCCTCTCCCAGAATCCAGCACTGATTCAAGAACCACGTCTTCTCCACTTGCTTGATCTCATCACATGTCGCCAGCATATCATTGCTTTTGGCGACCCTATTCAAGAAATTCAGGCGACCACCCACGCGGTCGTAGATTTGCTCCAACGTCTGGTCGCTTAAATCCTCTCCGAAATAGCGATGGCGATAATTCCTGAGGGCCGCCGTCGCCAGGTTCTTGGGCAGGTCCGTGATCGAGAGCACCTCCATGCGCGTGGCCAACTGCTTCAGCCTCTCATACACCCAATAATCGTCGCTGTTAAACACCATGGTAACCAAGTTGCTGGCGGCCCACTGCTCGGCCTTCTGCTGGAGCAGCTCAATCAGGTCCTTGCCGTCCTCATCGTCGCGGATCAGATGCATCTGGTTGATGATAACCACCAGCGGCCTTCCAATCTTCGCACGCCGCTTGAGTGCCACCTTTTCCAGCTTGTTCAGCGCACGCTCAATATCCAACAGCGCCGTAGTGTCGCGCGGGCCGCGCTCGCTAAAGTAGCTGCCGATGTAATCTTCGTGGAACTCGTAGTCGAGCGCCTTGCCCAGGCGGATGCGAAAGATTTCCAGGTCGGCATGCGCCTCAAACATGGCCACGCCGTCACCGTCGATCTTGCGCATGGCTTCCAACAGCATGCTGCTCTTGCCCGTGCCCTTGTCGCCGATGAACAGGTGATAGTGCCCGATCTCTTTGCCAGCCACGATATCATCGACGATGTCCTGCTCGGGTCGTGCGATCCAATGCGTGGCAGCGGCGGTCTTGGAGAGCGGTATGTTCTTGCCGATGGCGGCGAGGTCGAGAACGGGATCACCGGGCTCAAAGGCGTTGGACATTTTCTGTAAGACGATGTGCTTATAGGTCTTGTGGTAGGCGTAGGCAGCGATACTGAAACCGGCGCCGAGCACAAGTATGGAGGCGAACGAGGTGGCGGCTGCTTCGAGCATCTTGTAGAGGATCGAGGGGTTCTCATTTGGTGGGCAGTGGTGGTGATCGTCGGAGCCATGGCGGGGGGTAGTGCGAGCTAGAGGGGGTTAGTTTGTTGTCAAGTAGTATCTAAGATATACAGGAAAAAGAGCTTGGGGGGATGTCATGTTCAATGGCACGATGGAGGTAAAATGGGGAGCAGGGCTTGGAAGACAAGGTCAGGAGGTGGATTTAGGAGAAGATTCCGGGGATGAAAGAATGACCATTGTAAGACAATTCCCAGAGATTTGTAGGAGTTGTAGCATTGATGGGTTCGGGTAGAAGAGCCTTTGGGGTCTTGATCATGACCGTTCGAAGTGTGGTTCGTGAATCTTGATGCAGGGTAGGCACCATCCAAGGATGAAGAACCATCTCTGGATGACAACATGACGGCAAGGCGGGTCCGAGTCGCTGTACGATCAAAAACCGCCAGGCATCGGGGCCCATGGTACAATGTCCGAAAGCCCGTTGATAACCCCAAAGTGCCTTGCAGACTGCATGTACCGGCAAGTCTTGGACCCTGCATCAACCAAGCCCAGTCTTTCTTGTATGTGGTCGAGTTCAAAGACAAAGGCATACCACTGCATGATACCCTTCCTCGACATGACACTTGTCATGGGTAACCCTCAACCATTGTTCAGATCCTTAACCCCATATCCATATTTAATGAAGAACAAAGCTCTCGATCGCAAATGTTCACACTCCGAATCCATCCCCCTTGCCAAGCCCAGTCATGACCATTCCGGGTTCGAGGCTGATGTATACAACGTGGTAGTGAGCCACAGCGCCCAACAACCAGCACAAGCCAAGCTCGAATCTTTTTCCTCTTTCAACATTTTTTGTTTCTTTTTTTTCTTTCGTGTAGCAAAATCAACCAACAACATGTGTTAAAGGGGGGGGACCGAAGTGGGGATGCCACCTCAATGCTTGAACAATGCTTGACCGTCCATGAAATGCAACAGAGACCGGGGGGTGGTGGATAACACATAAGGATAATGAGAAAGTTGAACCCACCGAAAGATCTGCGCTGCTGGTGCTGCTGACGTTGGAATAAGCTTCTCGCCGGAGGAACTGTGCCTGAAGATCCCAGCCGCAATCTCGGGGGCCATGCAGCAATTGCGGGTGTGGATGTTGTGGTGGTGGATCGTGATGATGCCAATGCTGATGACGATGTAGGAGTCCAGCGCGCCAGCGCGAGGGTGGACTTGTTGACATGGTTGAAGTTGAGGCCGCCGGTGTTGGTGGACTTGGCCGCACGGATACGCCAGGCAGCGGGTATCCTGGATGCCATGACGATGGTGATGACGTCTAGAAATCTTCAAGTCTAGAAATTTGTTGTGGAACTGAATATTGAGAGACGGACAAAAAAGAAAAGGGGGTAGTTAGCAAAAGCGAATGACGGGAGAAGGGAAGGATAGTTAGCTTGATATGGTGCAAAGATTGGATAAGTTGGATGTTGAATAAAGGCCAGAAAAGGAAATGTGCCGCTCTCGGGCTGCGTGTTTTCCCTTCGGACGTCGATGAAGTGTCAACCAATCCGGCGGATGAGGGAAACAAAAGGGAGACAAAACAGGAGAGAAGCAACAAAATCGCGGTTGACGTTGGTTTCTGGGCCTGGCCCGCCTTGGCATACGCTATCTCCCCCCGATCGCTTGGGTAGGGGCCCGGGTCTGCTGTCTGTGTCTGTGTGTCACCCTGTCGTGCAGCTGAAGCAGTGACGATGTCCACTGAAACAACTGCTTGGCTTCTTGGAACCTGGAATCTGGGTCGAATCCCGCCATGGAAGGGAATCTCTTTGCGGTAAAAGGTACCCGAGCTTAGGTTGGCAGTTGTCGGCCAGCTGCCAACATTGTGCGCCAAGCTTACCTCTATGGGAGGACCAACATCCAGCAAGCATCGACATTGAGCAGCCGAATCACTCGGTCGTGGAAAAGCAAGCAGAAAAAATAAGATGGATATATCATACAAGGGCAAATTTTCAGTGGGGGTCGAATATGTATGTCAATGAAGGAGGGACTGTCGACTCGGTGAATTGCAAGTGTCCCCGCCGGACATCACCGGGCTCAAAGTGGCTGCAAGGTAATCACCTGGTGAATCTGGAGGGAAGGTGCAACGCATTAGGTATGATCTGAGTGCCGACCGGTTCAGACATGGAAAGTGCTTTCTCCAGGTTCTCCGAATGCCCAATCTTCGACAACTGAACCAAGACCTTCCATTCAACCACAGCAGGTACCTGCCCGTGCCTTCTTGCCTGGAATGGAAGTCCTAACCCACCAACTGAAGCCTTCTGCTGCCGACCTTTCTTGTCCTCGCGACGACAAAATCCATGTCTTCCTTCTCCACGAGCAGTCCAGTAGTGCCCTTTGCTCTGGCACCCATCTCTTATCAACCCAGGAACACCAGACCAAGATGTATGGCGATAGTTGGGAAACTGAAGGCGTGACAGTTTCAGACAGGCAAAGCTAGTAACTTGTTCGTTGTCCCTTCGTACTTTATATGATCATCTACTTTTGTGGATTTACAAGTGTAATCGTGCTAGCAACCCAGCTACGATAACAGAAACTCAACAGATTTTCTACACGTCTCTCTATTGTCTAGCTCTGAAGAAAATCAAGCTTTGTATATATACATTCCGCATTCAAGATGTTATATCGAGTAACAAGAACATCAGAATCATATATGTAACGTGAACTGAATTCCGAACTGGCTTGATGTTTCTTTGCTCTGAGGCAGCAGTTCTCAGCGGTGGCTCTGCTGGTAGTGGCTAGTACCCCAAAGGGGTGACCAGATATAAACGAGTTTCTAAGAGGGGCTAAAACCACGTCCACGATACATCGACGCATATTCTCCCCTAACCAATGGTCAGTTTAGTTGAAAAGAAAGTACCTTTCTACTTGTACTGTCTTTCTCACCCCCCTCCCTCCCCTTCCTTGGCTTTCTTTCCAGCCCGTTGGAATTCCGTGCCCTTGCCGCGCACTCACTGTCCGCGCTTCCGTCGCCGGCAGGCGCTGTGCCTTCCAGCTTGATAAACTGTCTTCTACATATTCCATACTAGCCCTAGGCTGCCTCCGTTTGTGCTTCCCCTTCAGCCTTGCCTCAGGCACGCACAAAGTCAAGCCCACAATTATTTTTTCCCCAGAGTGGCCCTTCTACTCGCTCCCTCTCCTCTTCCAAACTTCCCTCCACTACCATCTTCCCCCTCACCACGAGAGTCATACTTTGCTCACCTCATCCACTTGACCTCTCGCCTCTTGCTCGCAAACATCGCAAACTACCAAGCAAAGCGAGGTAATCGCCACGTTAGCAACGACCACACACTTTCACACACAGTCACACAGCTTGTAAGTAAACTCTTCCCTTTTATATATCTCCCCCCATCCTCCTGTCTCTCCTATTCTATCACATCTGTGCGAGGCACCACCTCTACCGCGCGTCTCCTTCTACGAGTCGTATATATATATACCTTTTGTCGCAGCGTCTCACCACATCGTCAAGAGACGTACATGTGTCTGACACGCAAAACATCACAGTCCTCTCGCGCTCTCCCAAGCTATCACGCAGAGACAGGTGATCTGGGAATCATCGACAGGCAACAGCGCTTGTCCACACCATGTGAGTACCTCTACATACCTCTCGCCCTCAAAACCCCTGTTCTATTCTTCATTTTGGTCAGATCACAGCACCGTTGCCGCGTGCTCTCTCACTGTACTGTATATTATATCCTGTTCGCAACATCTCACCTCAACTCGCCCTCCACATGGTCACGCTTCTGATACTCGCAGTACAACAGATCTTGCGTCGTTCATTGCTTGGCCACCAGTTCCAAGTCATCGAGATGGACAGACTAACCCAGAAGGAGCTCGACTGTCTCCTCGCGCTCCGCGACCTGAAACTCAGCGGCGCAGTTCAGGACGTGGACACAGCTCCGGTGACCAACAACAGCGGTCACACTGGCCAAGGCCCGGGAGTGGTCGAGCCTGTTCCCGTCCAAAACAAGGTATGTGATTACTTTTTCAGTCTCATCCATCTTTTCTTCTGATCATCACTGAGCCCAATTTACTAATTGGTGGGATTTCCTCAGGACGACGACTTCTACAAAGACATGATCGAAAATCTGGAGGAGATGGATAAGATAGTGGAGGGCGGCAGATGAGTATAAGCGGAGAGAAGACGAATGGAGATCGATGGTGATGGGTTGCGAAGTTCACGGGTTTTGACCCGACTCATGACATGGGTCTCTCTATCGTACGTGCTACCCTTCTTTTCATTGAACCTATCACGGTCAGTTACTAATCTCATTCTCCAGGTCGCCAAGGAGAACCCAGACTATCGCGTCGTCGCTTACGATGAGCTCTGCCCGAGGTGGCGACTTGAAGTGTACCATTCAGAGCTTCTTTGGGGCTCGGGTCAGTCCAGTCAGTGCCGTGGGGGGAGTCCCGAGGGATCATAAGAACCCCATTGCTCAAGTTGCCGGTGAGTCCGACGAGGACGATAAGAACGAGGAGGAACGTCTCAATGAGATGGCTGGTGCTGAAGCTCCCAAGTAAGTGTTGAGGTGCCTTCCAGCTGTAAGTATCTGGTGTGAACATTGTACTAACAATCAATCCAGCCCGATCACAAACGAGGAGCTGTTGAGGACTCCAGCCACATATGCTCGCTCTTGCTGCGACGGTCGAGGTGTCCTACGAGGTGTCCTACGCAAGGAGGGCGAAGACTGATCCCACTCTTCGAAGGGGGGCGGCTACGTTGTCGAGCCGTTTCCAGACTGTGCGTAGGCCGGCCGCGGCAGTGCCATTCATCAAGAGTGGACACTCATTGCCGCGGCCGGTCGCCCGTGCCCAAGCACGCGCGAGGGAGTCCGCCGGCCGATGACAAGTTGAGCGGTTTCCTCTGTCGCTACACCTCCCGGATCCCAACTGGATAGCATGTGCTCAGTCCGGTCCGTATTCGTTAGGTTGTCGAGTCTCGTTTCCAGAGTGGATTGGGCCGGCCGCGGCTATGCCGTTCATCAAGAATGGGCACTCATTGCCGCGGTCGGTCCCAGTGCCCCGGGAACTCGCGTGGGAGTCGGCGGCCGATGACAAGTTTCGCATCTGGCAAACTCCAGCGAGCGGTTTCCTCTGTTGCTACACTTTCAGGATCCCAACTGGTTACCAATGTGCTTGGTCCGGTCCGGTCCGTATTCGTTGTCGAGTCTCTTTTCGAAGACTGGGCCGGCCGCGGCTGTGCCATTCATCAAGAATGGACACTCATTGCCGCGGTCGGTCCCAGTGCCCCAGAGAAGAGACAAGGTCCGCCTGCTGACTGAGGAGAGAGTCCGAGGGACGATGAGAACCCAATGCTCGAGTTGCCGATGAACACGCGCGGGACGAGTGTGGAATAGGTTGGTTTGTGCTGAGCAGCATGGTTTCTATGTTGCGGCGGCTTGCTTGCTCTCAAAAGTTCATGATACAAAAAAGACGAGAAAAGTGATAAGGAAAAAAAAAAAGAGAAAAAAAAAAACACCGAAAAAAAAGAAGAGAATCACCAAAGCCAAAGCCATACCGCCCTGTCTAATACCTGTTTTCAGCGGGTGGTCATCGATTTGAAAATGACTGAGTTGGTTGGATGTGGGGGTTTTGGGGGGGGGGGGGGGGGTGGATGGATTTTCACAGACGGGGGAAGGTGGAAGGAAGCCAGACGAGTGGTTGTAAGGATTAACCGAACATGGACAGTCTAACACCGAGAGCGAGATCTCACTGAAGATGGAGCATCCCAAACCTCAAAAGACAGAATTCAGGTAGCAAGACGATGAAACCCCACAGTCTGGAAAGTCTAGTGCGTTGCTGCTGCTGCTGCTGATGATGATGATAATGATGATGATTGATGGTGGTGGTGATATTTAATCTAGATGCAGTGAGCTTCGATAACAAAACTTTTTAGCTCCCTAGGAAATGACGATACAGTGCAGGCATGTCCGCTTGCTTGCACGAAGCAAGCATATGCAGATAGCACTTTCCCTTCTTCCACGCCCGTTCATTTTCCACTGCAGTCCTCCCCCACGTACCTAGGTACCTCTACAACGGTAATCACCGCTTCTCACTCTTTCTCTCCGTCGTCCCCGCCTTCCCATTTTCTACCCCCATTGTCCCTGCAGAGTTCTGGATCCTACACATAAGGAGTCCCTTCACAAAGTTAGGTAGGACTGAGTGCTACATGTAGCCGAACTACTACTCAGGCACACCACGGCAGCAGTCAAGATCTTCAATGCTTTACGAGGGCGAGACTCCAGCTAAGGAGGCATGGAGTGGATGGCTCATCAAGACGTTTGTTGAATACATCGCCTCCAGACTTTGTTGTGGCAAGACCAGACATTGACGATTGATTGGTACGGCTTCTTTCTTTTGCGACGTTGCGGCGACTAGTAACCCGAACTACCGATAGATACAACTATCGGCTGTGGTACCTGTCGGTCGGCCGTCACAGAATAGTTATCACGACTAACCTTGTGTGGAGCAGTGTGTGGGCATCTTGAATGTTTGGACCGGACGGAGTTTGTTGGTGAAGGAGCTAAGATCTATGAAGTAGAGCGTCAGATAGGTAGGTATGCTCGCGACAGCCTAGGTACATTCGATGATTGCGGAGATTTTTTGAGAGAATGCCTAAGGCCTGGACATAAAGGTAGAGATATCAATCCACGAGCGCAAGCTATATACATAAGAGACAGCAATTTTTGAGAATCCAAAAAGGTTGATTTCACTCATACTCCCTCACGAATTGCTGTTATCATCACTGAAGACGGAATGTTACGTCTCTGCTTTTGGTAGGTATTTAAGGTAGTTTGCGACCAGGTATTTGCTTCCAAGCGAGCAAACAAACGTAGCGAAATCCTCCCATTACAAAAGCAGGCACACGTCGTGGTCCGCAGTGCAGTGCAGGTACGCATGTCGGCACTTGAACAAACAACACAAACGACACCGACCAAAAAAAAAGACGAAAAAGAAAGGTGCCGTTTCCCACACCGGGGTTCGAACCCGGGTCTTTGGAGTTTTCAATGTGGATGATTGAAAATCCAATATGCTAAACCTCTGCACTATATGGGAGAGTAGAGTGGCTATTGTTGTTGTTGTTGTTGGAAGGAGGGCAGCAAGTTTGTCCCTATGAGGGGCACATTTTCGTCTCATCTCTGAGCGGGCGCCTTAAGCCTGGACTCGGAGGAAGGACCGGGAGTCCACGTAAAGGACGTTCGAGACGCAGCAAACCTTCAGAAGCTGACCAGGACTCGCGTTGCTCCAAGCGTGGAACACCAGCCTCTTGGCCTTGTTCCTCTTCTTGTTTTCCAATCTTGCCCACCAGCTCGTCTCTCCTTTGCGGCTGTACATGTAAGATGGAGGAATGTCTACCGTTCAGAGCGCTTTGAAAGTGAGGCATCCGTCATAGAGATCATACTCCCAAGCTCCGAGGAATTGTGTACACGAGACTCGAGCTACCATCTGCATATCTTACTGATACGATGCCACGCACATTGCCACTTGGGAGATCCGCAATCTGAAGATGCCCTCACTTTGAACGTAGAAGCCATTGACCACTAGCAAGTGACAATTTGCAAACACATCAATATGTAAAGAACCAAAAGATGATAACGAGAAATGTGACCAAAAAACCTGTAGATGCCAACGCTAATCAACATTCAGAAGGAGACCCTACCGAACAAGACTATTGTTACTAACATGGAGTTTGTTTCAAAGAGTACTCGTTCTCGACACTCACACTGTATAGTTCTAGAAATGAGGCTTAAGTCCACGGGCATAGTATGGATGCTACCATGCCCCTTGTCCGTTCTTTGACCAAGATGGAAAAAAGCAAAGAAAGAAAAGGGAAAACTGAGCGGGACTGGACGGGGTCAACAAAAGCGCGCGGGATCTACTGCAAGGACTGGCCGAGCAAGGGGAATGGATAAGGTTAAGCAAGGGGTATGTGAAAGAGGGTATCATCCCGTGGAGGACACTCCCGATGAACAAAGGAAAGGACTGTACGAATAAGGAAAAAGTCGAAAGAGTAGGAGTGGGAATTTAAAATTGTCTTCACAACCTGTAGACAGGTATGTGTATCGCCCGTAGAACAGCAGTTGGGGAATAAATGGTAGAGTAAGAAACATCCGACAAGCAATTTTTCAACATGCAGTGTATGTCTGAGGCGCATTCGATGGTGAGTATGCACTAGGATTCCACGGTGTGCAGAGCGGGTTAGACCTGCTGTAAGTATTTGAACCAGTGAAGCGGATTCCGTCGGTCGGATGGTTCGCGTGGCGTCCTTTGGCAGATAGAGAGAGGTACTCTAAGAGTTCTTCTCAAGGGCGACGGATCTTCGAGACAGAAAAAAGAAACGTTGACATGGGAAAGTTGAAAGAGGGGGGATATGAATAGCGGTATCATTGGGCACTGACAAATATCACCCCGTCTATAGAATGATCTAGCCTCACTTGCAACGTTTTGGGCTTGCCAGGCCCCTTTCAGCTACCCAGACAAAAACGTAAGGATGGGGTTACAAGGCGAGCCTCGTTTGATGACATCGTAGCTGGGCGTTTCGATAGTGATGTATGTGACCAACTACGTGAAAGATAGCGAGTCGAGCAGGTACGCCCTATATCTGTAAGTCTCGCTCTAAGCGTCTGAGATGGGCGCCAAGCCGTGAAACCGGCATGACTTTACGCGGCGGTTGATAGCTGACTTTGCGTTTGTAGAGAGAGAACGGACATAACTATGGCCGAACAAGCGCTCAATAGATTTATTAGTTCGTATAATCTTGGCATGAGGCTTGTCTATTCCCGCAGAGACCGGAAAGCGTCCAACCATAGCCCATCGGGCCGTTCGCAGTCACTGACCGACCGAGACATTCTGCTTATATCTTGTCTCGGAAACCATGTCGGCTCTCGCACCGTGTCGGCACTTACAATTTCAGCTGGAAGGCTTGAAAAACAAAAATAAGAACAAGCGGGAGGCTTGTGGATAGAAGGCGCCATGCCTCTAGAAAAGTGTAGCCAGGCGCCAACAAGCTGTGACAGAGCGCCGTATGTGGATATAGGTTGTAGAAAGCAGCGTTTTGCAAAACAAAAGCCCGCTGTCAAATATCGTGGATGTGGGAACTTCAGACACTGTTTTCCAACGGGAGTGCGGGAAGTTGGTAGCAATAACGATTCGTGAACCACTAGGTCAGTACTTTTTGAGAAGCCAGGAAAGAGAGTAGGCGCCACGTCCGCGACCTGTCAACTGAAGGAACTTGAGATAGATAGTAAGCGAGACATTCGTTAGTAAAAGAGGTCAAGGGAAACTTGCCATTGAACAATCATCAAGAGGCAAGCAAGAGCGAGCGCACTGATTCGAAGCCAGCCAATGGTTAACATCCGTTCATATGCTTACTTGATGGAGACCGTTAACTAGCCAGCAGTGCATACTTTAAAGCACGCAGATAAGGGAGGCAGGGTGCTTCAAAGAGACGGAATATCCCAACATGTCGCATGTTGTCTCAAATCCTATCCACATTAGAGGTTGAGAGTGTGGGGGGCCGAGTCAGATTTGTGACACACACATAAGAAGATCGGCCACTAGAACCTCTCATAGTGCTTCCATAATTTGCATTGTACAGAGTTGTACACATCGATATGCTCTTGCTTAGACACTATTCGATCCACTAATGGCATATGGTGACCATTTAGCCATGCTTCATGCCAAGTGCTTGAGCGCAACCTTCATTCCGCAATATGATGATCTGAAGCTCGATTAAGACTGAGGAGCAAGGTGTATTGAGCAGCCATGACGGAAAGGGCGGAAAACATTCTTCAATACCCGACCAAGCGCGAAATGGTTACATACGAACCATCCGTGAGCTGTGGCGCACTAGGGCGCAATGCATGCCGAGCTATTAAGTAGCACAGTTGACGTATTGGGGGTATCTGGGGCTAGCTCATGCGAGATTCCGAATTCTTTAAGATTGACTAGGTGGGAAAAGAAAAAAGAAAAAAGAAAAAAAGAAAAGGAAAGATGGCTTGAGTCGATCAAATGCCAGCTCCCACGACAATCATTCACCGTCCATGGGTTTCAGCACAACCATGCTCTGCAAACATCGGACTGGAAGAACGGGCATCCAAACGCCTTTCGGGTCATTATCAGGGATCAAACGTGAGGAAAGAGTTGAGAGATCGGTCAAATACGAAATAAGAAACTCGGGGTGTCGGAGCTGGGCCAGCTGAGAGACTCAAGTTGGGTGTTTTTTTTTTTTTTTTTTCTTTCTTTTTTTTTTTTTTCCCCTCTCCCCTTGAAGCTAGGGAAGATATCGTGAAGTCCCAAATCGCCGAAGCACCTCAGCTGTTGTGCCATACCCAGCACTGCAACTGACATGGGCATTATCAAGGTACCGCTACTTTGCCATGTACTTGCCAATGTGCCAAGTGGTTATCGGGGAGATTTGACACAAGCTGTGCCAGGCTGGCGCTTGGGAAACCGGGACCAGTTCCAGTGGGTGATGACCCTTTCAAACCCTTCAATGGGTGTGAGAAGAACGTTTGAGTGGAGTAACGGGTATACGGGTTGATGTCAGCTTTGGTCATTCTTGACGCTCCTGTCTTTTATCTTGACGCAGAACAAGAAAAGAGCCTTCGAGACGAGGTAAGGGCATTGGAGTGCGTAACCTCAAGTGAGGTTGCGAGAAGAAAAAAAAATCATAAAATAAATAAAGGACGGTGAAGGGGGAGCATGGAACGAGGAACAAAGGGAAGGGTCGAGATGTCATGTTTGACCAGATAGTGTGCGTCAAGAACATGCGCGCCATCATGCACACCAAAATGGTCAATGGTAGCGCAGCATGTCTCTGGAGCAGCGAAGTCCGTCGAAGGACCACAGGCCACGTGATGACCCTTGGAACTACCATCTGGAAAAAGTGCAGACGGGATGGGGAGTGAGCCTCGAAACCATGGCTGGATGTGTCTTGAATTGGGGAGAGGGGAAAAGGCCAGCACGGAGGCGGGGCCGAACAAATGACAAGCGCTTGAAAGTTCGAAGCGGAGCATCAACCGCCATGGTCCAGTGGTCAGATGGACGGAGCCGTTGCGGAAACATCTCACGAGCGGACCAAATATGTGCCGACGTGTCTCCGTCCAGTCGGTTTCTCGCGAGGTTGAGCTCTGTGTAACTGCCTGTGTGTAACAGGGATGCCATCGTCAAGACGGGATGCCGAATGAATGCTACGTACTCTACAGACTCAAGTCCATGACGGAATTGGCTCCCGACACAGCGACTTGGCAGTTCAGTTGATACACGCTGGGCTCCGAGTGGGCTATAAGTGCTATAGTAAGCGAGTCGAATCCAGTATAGTCTTAAGATAGGCTGGGCCGTAAAAAAAAAAAAAAAAAAGGCCCTTGCCGTGCTCTTCATGTGCGGCTCGCTCCCGGAGTTTTTGGTCCAGCATATGCCGCGAAGAGCTGCGGTGCGCTCGATTACGGGAAAGCTTCGTAGACGTGGTGGTGCAGCGGGTGGCCTTATTTGGATGTTGCGAGAGATCATGTTCTTGGCGGGTGGTGTGGTGCGGTCATGTTGGCATGAAGGCGGTGAGTTCAGGTTGGAGGAGGGGGAACAAGGCATACCTGACAATTGAAGAGAAGAGGAGGCTGAGCAACATCCATGGTGCTCCTTCCACATCTCCCTATTGGCACCATTCAGTTCAGTTGGCATCTCCATTGCTGAACAGCGGGAAATTTTTCGATAGGTTGAGGATGACGCAACCTGATCAGACAATGCCGGTGATGTGGTGGACGGGGACGGATGTGTATGAATGTCAGAGAATGGGCAGGGGGAGTCGCACCTGCCACTTGGGCGCACAACATCGCCGGCCCCACGCCGAGATAGGTGGGTGCTTACCTGCTGCAAGTAGAAGGACTTGTTCAGCCGAAGGTTCCTAGAGTAGGGCGCGGTGCACGAAGGTGCCACGACAGGTAGCCGGTACCTCGCGAGACAGTCTTGGTAACTCTACCTGGGGCTATTATGCCAAGAGCTGGCTGCAGTGGTGGTGTTGATTTTACTAGTGTAGTGCAACGAAGATAAAGCAGTGAGGGGTAACTACACTACTGTACTGCTGCTGCTGGCGCTAGCATGGTATGAGTGCAAATTCCATCTCCGAGTTTGCGAGTTTGGACCCTAATCACGAGCATTGCCATGTCGCATACCCACACTTTGATTCTTGTTCCTTCTTTTCTGGTTGTAAACAATGCAAAAAAACGTGGTGACTGCGATGACCTGAGACTTGATCGGGTTGCGATGGGCCGCCTCGACCAGAAAGGAAACACTACTATGAAACCAACAAAAGTTCCCCCCCCCGCAATGTGTAAGTGCCCAACAGCCACGGCGCAAGATCAAAGGGCTTGTTCTTCCTCTGCACGTGTGGCATATCTACCTGACGCGAGACACTGCAGTGTTCATCTGTTCCCGTGTGTCTGGCTGCGTCCAGGACTTGTCTCTGTGCAACAGTCCCAAAAAGGTGGTGATACAACATGTAGACATGCAGTCACCGACAGCAAGATCGAGCATGTCGAGGACTGAAAGTCCGGATAGCTGGGTATCTGACAGATTTGATCCCTTGTCCAAGACTCGTTGCAACTCACCACCATGTGTGGAAGACGGCTGTCGACCGAATGAGCATAGCGTTTGGGTGCTATCATCACAAGATGCTGCTGACGGCCTATCTGGTTGCCAAGATGAGTAAAGGTTTACGCTATCTGTGTATTATTACTCCATGTCTCAGAGCTAGCGAGTCCCACGGTGAATTTGCGATTGTCAGCTTGTGTTTCAGAGAGATGGGGTCAAGATGATCACGTTATACTGCCTACATTAGACTGGATTTGATTGTAATTTTGGGGGGACCCGGATAGATGGGGATGAGTCCGATCTCATACCGGTCCCGTCGGCATCGGCCAGGACAGGACAGTCGTCCGGTTGTTTTCCCGGCCCATCGGTCATTGTTGCAGTGTCGAAACAGCGCCGTTTCCTGCTGCGCAGACAGGTGCTCAATGCATATGCATCAAGGGCCCATTGGCCCCAGGCTTAAAAGGCGGTGCGTGGGATAGCAAGCTGTCATGATATCATGGCACATGGAATCCTCGTGCAGATATTCTTGTGTAATGCCAATAAGAGTGGTCCGACTTGGCTCTTTGGGTACGGTCCTCCGGCTGTAGTAGTGTAGTCGTGGATTGGGTCCGCCGACCTTTGACGCTAGTGTGGTGCCATCCTTGCCAAAGTTTTTCCCGACTTCCTCTCTAGAGACCCTCTCGGGAAAAAGAGTCTTGTGAACGGTCATGATCACCGAGATGCAGAATCAGGTCTTTGACGCTTGAAGGAGAGAGAAATCGCAAGGTCAGTATTCATGGCTCCTAGTGATTGATCACATATTGAGAACCATCAGTACAATTTCGGCAGAACTTGGGTACCAACTGACATCCAGAGAGAAAGCTCTTCGGAGTCCTGTAAGCTTGGCGGTCTCTTAGACGCCGGCGGCGCATGGCTGCGATCGTGAAGAGGGCTTGGACATGTAGTACAAACTTTGATATAGCCTGCCCATAACCGTCTCGGATCCTTGCTCGCGAGGTCCCTTGGGAGCTAATTCGGCCCCATCCCCATCCCCGTTGCTGACTCGAGCTTGTCTAATGACCCCTTGTCGTCTTTTCCGAGACCCTGACCCCCCCGTAATGACGGAAGAAGGCCAGATACGGGTTGAGTTGGCGAGTGATGAGGGCGCATGGCTGCCATTGACATGCCCATCTTTTGTCTATCCTTTCTCCACCGTCCAGGTTTCTCCATCACCATCGCAATGACATGAAGGACTTGGAAACAGAGTGGAGCCCGGGGCTGTATTGGACGTTGATCTCGTTGCCGAGTATCCTTCATCCCAAAGCAAAAACTAACCGCCGTTTGATCAAGTTGACGATGGAACCTATTGCGGCGCAACTGTTTCTGCGGTGTTGACGTCGCTGTCGGAAGCCCATGTGCAGACGCCATGGAGGAGAGGAGTTGTCGAAAAACAGCAAGGGTCTCTGCGTCGTGTCCAAGCCAATCATAACATGTGATCGCTGACTTGTGCTTTGCAGTGCCCTTTTATAGCGGGGCATGTCGGGTACACAAGGGAACTGAAGTCTCTAACAAGTGGAACTCGCTTGAGATCCATCATAATGTCTTGAATGTAAACCGCCGAAAATGTACCAACGTTGAAGCTTCTCAAGATGTCCATCATCCACAATGATTGGAAAAGAGCGAGAGTTGACATGTAGGAGAGAGTAGCATCGGGCACTTGCGCCTTGCACGTATCTTGCATATCCGACCAAAGTCGATGAAGAGATTTCTCTCCCGCAAACAACCTCACTCTCGGCAGCGCTCCATCTCTCTCGGCTTCAAGGACAACGTCCGGTGTAGCGAGAGGTCACGGTTACATGGATCCAATCGATGGCAACTGCGTGCGTCGTATCTCAGCTGGAGCTCTCGTGCTTTCCGCCAGCTCTCTCTCTCTCACACACTCTGCTCTGAGCGACAATCCCCGCCGACAAGGCTTGGGCCAAGGAAGTTCAAAGGAAATCGGCACAAAACACTGTCGGCGACTCTGCAGTGATCAGCCCAAAAAGCGAAAAAGTGTCAAGTTCTGGGGTACGTACCGACCTCGCTAGCGCCCGCAGGATACCTCGACACTCACTTCCTTCATGCACGTTCGCATATCGCAAATGTGGAAGTGGCAGCACTTTTGCACGCGTGAGAGGGTCCTTCCTTGCCTTTCGCATCACTTCCCGTCGTGCGGTCAACGACGAATCTATCGCAGTTGCCCTTTGTTGTTTCCTGTTGGGTTGCTTCCAGCAAGAACACCACTAGACTAGAGGCAGGCACGATCTACCACTTCCGTTAGCTGGAGGTTCCTGAACAGGAAAGCCCGTGTGATACACCAGGGGCAGCCACTGGAAAAAAACTCCCGTCAGGTAGGTAAGCAAGGTAAGATCGATTTCACCATGCTGGCCTTCTTGGCTTCGTTCCATTCCCTCATCCTCACACTCAGTCCCTCCAACCCCCCCTCTCTCTATCCCGATCTCCCAATCCTCCATCCACACTAAGTACGGACATGTACCATCTTCAACCACGACCGGCACCCAACATCCCGATCCCATCTTGGCATCGACGCAGCGTCAATCAATCGTCCCATTTCTGCGTCCTCCTCCACTCATACTACGTTACCAAGTCCACGAAGCGATCTAAAACATAGACGAAAGCATGGAAGCTATCCAAGATCAAGATGGCACTAGAGCTGACTAGTGTACCTAGAGGTAGGTATGGCTCACATGGCCATCTGTCTTTTTTTTTTTTTTATCTCCCTTTTCTCTGCTGCCTGCTTGGAGGTACCTTAGCGGATATCCGCCTTCAGTATCTCGTTGCTTGGCTTGGTCTCTGAGGCTGAAGTGCTCCAAGTCGGACACCTATCAATGGAAGAAATAGCCTCTACAGGGAAAGCCCGCCAGACTGGGGAGAAGCCGAGTGCTACGCTTCTCACCCGTACTCACAGCTTCCCCAGAGATTAGGTTAGGACGACGGATGGTCAGGTTGCACAAATGGCAGACTGGGAAAAAAAAGCAGACATGGGTCTCTTCGGCTGGGTTAACGAGAAGGAGGTGGTGGTGGGTGATAAACAACCCCATCTGTCCACACCCACCCCGATCCGTCAAGTTCATTGCAGCACAACGAGACAAGTCGAATCGGAAGCAAATAAGGACGTCCCTCTCTCCACCAATTTTTTGCCTCCCCCTGTTCCTTCATGTCCCCAGTGTCTCTCATCACCAGTCACACACATCTCAAAGACCCTTGTCGACAGATCGAGACGAATTCCCTCCCTCCTACTCGTCGTCCTCACCGTCCTCTAGCCTCATCTTATTACCTCTACCTCTGACCTTTTCTTTTGCAAAGGACCAACACGTATGAGGGACAGGACAAGATCGTCCCGCTGCCGTTGATCTACACCATTTACTGTTCCTCGCCGGTCCGAAGTGTCTCCCCATTCCCCTCCTTGACGGCTAAACGCCTTCGAGTTCTTCATCTTTTCTCCACAATTCTCGATCTCCGACTGTGTAGAGATACGCCAAAGCTGTATGCATGACCTTCCCCATTTCACAGTATAGTCCTGGACAGTGTACTGATCGACCATTTTGCTCAAGGCCAGGCTGACTAGTGCCACAAGGTCTCTACTTTGTCACTTCAGCCCCCCTCCCATACCTTCCACACCTCATCTCGGCCTTTCTTGGCTGCCCGCCCATCGGCCAGCCTTGTTTTACCCAATCCGTCTCGAGCAACAGTTTGAAGCATTTAGGGGCGCCTCCCTCCCTCCAAGTACCCTTGTTTCCACCCTTTTGGTATGGTCTCGTTAGTGACGGGTTATGGACTCTTCACTTCCTGCCGCGTCGGACGACGGAGACCTTGCCTGGTCGGATAGCCACAGCATGGATTCGGATGATATCCAGGGTCTTCCCCAATCATCGTCCTGGTTCACCTCACTTTCGTCAACCTCAACTTCTGCCTCAATGTCTTCGGCCATGAGCTTTGCTCAGACTGGCCAGCTTTCACCCATCAGCAATGGCATGGACGCGTCCTATCATGGCACGGATCTGTCAGGAAATTCTTGTTGCTCTTCCTCCTCCGCTTCTGCCTCTGCCTCGCCTGAATTGACCCAGTCGGCAGCTTCTCTCTCTTCTATGGAGAACTGGGAAATGGCACTCGACAGTCACCATGGCAGTTCTGGCCACGGCCACGGCCACCATTATGAGTTGTCGTGGGACCCGGACTCGGACGACAACATGCTGCCGTTGCCAAAAATGGAGCCATTGGATGATGACGACTTTTGCATGGACCATATCAAGGAAGCTCCTGCAAATGCACTTCCAAACAGTGACGGTTCGATGCTAGATCAGCCAAAGGCGAAGCGGCCCCGAGGTCGACCCCGCAAGCATCCAATTGCGCCTCCTGTCCCTGCGAACAAGATTACAAAGGGCCGATCCAAGACAGGCTGCCTCACTTGTCGGAAGCGCAAGAAGAAGTGTGACGAGGCAAAGCCACGGTGTAAGTGCAACTTTAACCCCAATCGGCTGTCGTTCTGTTCTAAAACCCGTATAGGCATGAACTGTGAGAAGAATGCCGTGGTTTGTGAAGGTTACCCCGAGAAACAGATCTGGAAGAGTGGCAGAGAGAGGGCCGAGGAGGGTAAGCACAGCAGCCTTGGGAATACACCCGTGGTAGGACAGTCTAACATGCCCATGCATGCAGAACGCCTCAAGTCCCACAGTTTGCCGTCCATTACCATGCAGCCATTGTTCCACGGGCTCGAGACGGTCGAAGATAGGATCTTCTGGAAGCATTATAACGAGCATCTCAGCACGGTGTTGACCGTTGAGGGAGAACACAAGAATGCCTTCAAGGACATGATGGTGCCAATTGCAGTCAAGCATCAAGGCCTCATGCACTCCATCCTTTCGTTGGCCAGCAAACATATCGACTATGACACACCCTACGGTCTCAATATCCTCAAGAACAACCGATCGACATCTGCCCACAAGCTCCACGAACGGTCTCTGTATCATCATGATCAAGCCAGGCAGAAGTTCTATGAGGACGTGGAAGTCAGCGATGCAATGAACCCTCAAGACAAACTCCGCGTGTCTGCCCGTTACGGCCAGATGCTTTGCTTCCTCCTCGAGGCATTGGCTGAGGGCAACCCGCGTGGTGAGCACCGGCTCCATCTTTCGGCATACAAGAGTCTCATTTCAAGCTCGCCGCCAGAGGACTCGGCTTTTTTCTCGTTCATCGCCGAGTTTTTCCAGTACCATATCTTTGCTGATGAGTTGATTCATTCCGTTTCAACTCTTCACCACCGTGCGGTTCCCAACGATGCCAACTACACACCAGCTATCTATCCCCCCCGGCTCATTGGTGTTGCCGATGGACTCTTGGAGTACCTTCCTCAGATTACCATGATTCGAAACACCATTCGGCACAATATTGTCACTCAAGTCGACCCATTGGTTGACTACGTCAGCCTTTATCGGGCGGCTGAGATCGATGCAGCTATCAAGGACTGGACTCCCCACTGGCCTCAAGGAGACCATCGTGACCGAGTAGGACTCCTATACAAGCACATGATGTGGATCTACCTTGTTCGGACCGTCTACCCGCCGTCTCCTTCGGCTCCTTTGCTTCCAACAAAGTCATCGGATCTCCGGTTGTCTACCCTGTCCAATGCCTACCATAGTCGATCCGCTGTGCCTGGTGTTACTACGCCGCCTATGTCGGCATCACCAAGCTGCACTTCGTCGCCCAAGTTGGAGGGTTCAGATTATGGAATGGGCTCCGTCCCTTTCCTCAGCACCACTTCATCTTTGCGAGCCGAGTCGCCGCCACCATCTCGCAAGCCACTCCAGCACGACCCGCGGGTTACCGTGGCTATTGAGGAGTCTTTAGGCATCATGGAATCTTTCAAGCCTAGCGACCCATGCCAAACCCTGCTCCTCCTCCCATGCTTTATCATCGGTACGGCATGCTTCACGCCTAACCACCGGGATCGGGTTCGGGCTGCTGTAAAAACTGTCAAGGGATACACTGGTCTTAGAAACGCTGACCGCGTCTTGGAAATTCTGGAGCATGTGTGGCAGCTTATGGAGAGTGGTGATTGGGCCGCAGTATGGGACTGGCCTCGTATTGCTCAGGGGTTGGGTCTGGATTTCATTCCTGCTTAAACCCCTTGGGTCGTACGTGAGTTGGATTTCAAGACTCGTGGTTCAGACAGCAAGACTGCTAAGATCACCTTCCCATGTACTAACAAACTACATGCCGCTTGATTTCTTTGAGGTTGTGCTTGTTTTTATCGCATGTTTTTCTGTTTTTCATTTTGTTTTTCATCGCACTATATCCTCTTCTATCATGTCGGGTGGTGTTACGGAACATAGGATACTGGGTCATGTATTTTCCTTCTGTCATTCGCTTAAGCGTGGAGTGAACCGGGCATTTTTTTGGCTTCTAACATCATATTTCTCATTCATGGCGATTTGGTACTTCAGAAAGATGGCATGGAAAGGTGTTGTAAGGGAAATATCAACATGTACCCAAGGGCGATGGCGAAACTTGGTCGGATCAGGAAATCGAAGCATGCGCTTAACTACATCCAAAAAAAGCATTTGGGGGGACGCGGGGTAAAGAAGAGACAACGGAAGACGGTTAGGAGTTTGATTTGGCTGAAGGTACAGGTGCATCGGATCATAGGGGCTTTGTAGTAAGGGGGTGGGGTCAAAGAGCATGGGGGAAAATGTGGTCAAGAGACATATCGGAATGGCGTTCTCTCGTTAGGATTTGACTTGTTTTAAAAAAAAACATTTGGCCATGGTCGAGTGGCGGGTGCCACAGGGGTTTTTCAATTCTTGGATATTCACGCTCGCTGGTACATTTTGAAGCGCTATGGGAAAGGTGTTATAGGGAATATCTGCAGAGGAAGGGGCCCCATTTGGGGATTGGTATGTGCATACGCACAAGATGGGAATCACTCGCTGACTTGAGATGAGTCACGTCACAATATCGTGACACGAAATGAATCAAATGATGGTCTTCTCTCGTTGGATCAATAACGATTTCTTCCTTACTCGTGAACGCGTTGCTTCTTGCCACTGCCTGGTCCTCAAACTATTGGAAACACCTTGGATCACGGTGATGTGTGTTCACCTATACCCCGATTGAAGGCAACAAGATGGGTGGCACAGGAGGCCTACCAAGCATACCATTTTGAGGGATGCGTGTTGAAACCCTCCACCCAGCTTCTGCTGACGTGCCGACATAAAACGGTTGGCCAAAACCGCCATCTTGGATACTGTTGGTATCTGTAACTTGCGATGTTTATTCAATGGTCCTCTCTTTTATTACCCCAGGTTGACCTCCATCTTCCCTCCCAAACAACGCCATGACACCTCACACACAACCGCATCGCCATATCCGCCGGTGGTATCTCTCTACATGTACAATGAATGTAAACTTTCTGATAACATGCGCTATACATATACCTGTACCACTTGTCATCCTCTTCGTCACAGCTGCCCAGGCTGCTACTGGGTGTCAGGGACAAGTGGTATGTTGTATCTGGAAGGCATGGTTTATGTTCACCAACGATACTCGCCAGCAAGAGGAACAGAAACATATCAGATTGGTGCCCCTACATCCACCCTATCACCACTGCAGACTACGCCGACCCATCTCTTTGCATGGGCCAAACATGCTGGGGTCCTGGGGTTCTTAGCCTAAGCACCTGCGTTATCGTCAGCTTAACGGCCCGTGTCTGGTGAGAAATGTCAGCATGGCCTATTTGCCTTTCGTAGAAGGATGAGAGTTGGGATGCGGTAACTTGGGAGGGAGGGGGGGAAGTTAGAAGGGAAACTGGGCAAAGAGCGGTGGTAGCAATCGGTGATGGTAATAGTATGGAGAGGGAAGGTGCTAGGTAGTTTGGGTGTACCTGCTTTGGGCAGCCGAACAGCCAAGTACCTCTAGCAACTTTACTGACCACTTCCAGGGCTCTTAGCCAAACATCGTCCCTTCCTCAACTCCTGACTATTTCTCGCTACAACATTCAACTCCAAAGCAGAACATTAACGTCTCGCATCCGTCACTGAATCACCAGGTGAACGGTCTCAACCGCCATTCCACTCCCCATCCGTCTCCAATGACATATTTTGAGTCTTGTTTCACTCACTTCACGTACGCGTGGTTGGAGCACCTCTTCCACTTTACATTCTCAATCTTGTCCTCCTTGACCATCTGGTGAGCCATCATGTTGACGGTGCCGGCCTTGTTGGGGGTATCATCGGCGGCGGTACCTCTAGATAGGTAGCCAATATCTCCTAGCCGTGCTTCTGATCAGGAGCGACCAATTTGTAGGTAGTGTTTGTTATTGGTTAGGTACTGCTTGACCGGCTGATGGTATCGCTATTGATATAGTTTGTCTGGTTGCTAACTTTGTCATTGCTAGCGTTGTCATGTCATGGTTGATGCTGTATGTAGGTATCGTTGTTTTCCGATTGTAGGCCATCAGTGATGGTTGATAGTCAACTCCATGACTAACAGGTGATGGCAGAGAGGTCGGGGATTTTGTTGTTCGGCCGAAGCAGGCTATGGTCAAAATATTCCTGGCAATCAAGATGACGATGATGGTGGGAGAAGGGGTAGAAGGCTACAGAGAAATGACAAGACTTGGAATTTCGGCTAAGGTTTGGTTCTGGATAAGACCCTTCACCAACACAAGACCATCTGGTCCAAGGAGACGAACGGGGTGAATGCCGCGCTGCAGTCAAGATCGATATGAAGGAGGCTATAACGGGTCTAATCAACGGGCGGGCTCTGGTGCCTTGGCATTCACCCGACTCGGTCCTCGGACAAGAAAGACTGAATGGTCCAATAATGGGTGGTGAAGGTCTTGTTCAACGCCGGCTCGCAGACTGGATGGTGAGAGTCGTGTGCAAACCATAAACTTAGTCCACCCCGGTGACAGAATTCACTTTTTCTCAAGAACATAGACGTAAGAACCCTCTCCATCTCCATTTCTCCGCTGTGACTTTACGTACGAAGAACTCTTTCTCCCATCATCGTCATCTCGATCAGCGGAAATCTCAACTTCGCCCGAATAACTTACTCTCTGACCATCGGTCACCAATCTTGCGAGGAGTTGACAAACGATCAGCCATCACTGATAGCCTTCAGCTGGAAAACAATCATACCAACATCTGTAACGGCAATCATCAACGACAATATCAAACTCCTACCATTACCCAGAACACCTGGAGAGGTAAAAGACACCACATTCAACCCGTAAAAGCGCAATTACAAAAGTATGCCCGTTACCCTGTCTCTTCTTGCGAAATAGCTCATCCAGCCTTCGTCCCTCACCACCTACACTACATACCCCTAGATATATAGAAATCTAACAAGCTTTCCATAGGTTCTCTTCTCCACCTAAGGTATCCATCATCACCACAACCGCTCAAATACCTACCTACAAAGTGGTACACGGCACCCTTGCTTACCTTACAAAAGCACCAAAGAAACCATCGCAATGAGCACCAACCAGCCCGGATTCACCATCTCCATAATCCCACACAACATTGCATCGAGCTACCACGTCACCATGACCGAAACCGTCACCGGAACCGTCATCATCACGATGACTCCCGTTATCCAGCCGTACAACACTCTTCACCCCACACCTCCTCACACCGGCGCCGGCGCAGGTATCGAGGATTCCGACAACCACATCTCAGAGGCGGAGTAGTGGTCGGGACCTTATCGGGGGTAGAGGAAAGGAGAGTTTGCAGCTGTGGTAAAAGAGAAGTTGTAGTGGGCAGGATACCTCTTAGTAGAAAAGAGAAGGAAGATGGGGTTCGAATCGAACGTGGGTGATGGGGGATATGGGAGGGGGGGGGGGGGGATGGTTAGCCACTACCACGACCATGAATCTGCGGAACTCATGCTAATGTACATCGCCATAAAATCGACTGTTGCAGATCCCCAACTGAAATGCGACCCGTATCAAGTTCACACGTCAAACCTGATAGTCAAGTGCCTCGAAAACCCTCATGGTATTGAGCTGAATCGAAGGTTCCTTCTTACAACAATCCCATTCATCTTTCCCATTGCTCCTGCAAATGCGCCCTTATAAAATCATAGAAGAAGATGATGATAGTACATGTATGTATGCCGTGTATGTGTCGTCCGCCCAAAACCACATCCACGTCCACAAAACTAAAGCCTTCTGCTTTAACTGTGGTAGTCATGTCGGCCCCTTTTTCTCTTTCCCGTTTTCCTTTTTTTTCCTTGTGCTTGTACACTCGTAGCCACATATTTGTTGCTGTACATCCGTAGCCAAACATATGTGGCTACCTACCTCTACTCTATGCTTAATCTCGACTCTTTTGCCACTCTACCCAGGGGCTACTACATAGTAGCACATGTATGCATTTCTCATCTGGTTTTTATCGTTCAGCAGGTGTTACAATAACCGCTGATCGCCCTTTTTCTTGTTTGCTTTTCGGTGGTGCTTTACTTGTTGCGCTTTAGCGTCTTGACGGCCATTTCTATTAGGCCATCCTTGGCTTCGCTGTCTGGGAAGCCGCTGATGGCCTCGATGGCCTTTTCGGCGTAATCCTGGGCGAGAGCACGGGTCTGCTCGATACCGTTGCTCTGGAGAACCAACTCTCTTGCCTGTTTATAACAATGTTAGCAATTGTGTGTGTGTAAGATCGAACAGCTAGCAGAGCAGGAGAAACGTACCCTAGCAGCATCACCCTCCTTCTCAAATTTCCTGCCAACCAACGGACCAAGCTCCGGCATCGTCTTCCAGGCAAACAGTAGAGGAGCAGTCGCCAAGCCCAGCTCAAGATCAGCACCGGCAGGCTTGCCCAACTCTTTCTCACTGCGAGTGTAGTCCAGCATGTCGTCGACCAGCTGGAAGGCCAAGCCGAGGTTCTTGCCATACAAGTAGGCAGCATCCACCGTCGCCGCATCAGCGCCGCCCAGCAGCGCAGACGCGCGACAGCTCTTGCTGATCAGGGAAGCGGTCTTGAGGTAGGTCTTTTGGAGGTAGTAGGTGAGAGTCTCCTCGGACCACTTGGGGTTCTTTTCGTCGCGAGCCGTGTTCTTGAGCTGCATGAACTCGCCCTCGACAAGGTTGGCAATGACGGTAGCAAGGAGCTCGACAACTTCGGCGTGGCGGAGGCGGGCAAGGGCGACGGAGGCTCTGCCGAGAAGGAAGTCACCAGCCAGGACGGCCATCTTGTTTCCGAATTCGAGGTTGGCAGAGGGAGCGCCGCGGCGGGACTCGGAGTGATCGATGACATCGTCGTGAAGAAGGGAGGCGGTATGGATCAGCTCGGTGATCTCGGCAAGTCGTCGCTGGGAAGGGAGGATGTCGGTATCTGCGGGAATGGAGACGGGAGTGGCGTCAGAAGGGTTGAAGTCGGAGAGGATGTTGAGGGGCGAGATCGAGGTATCAATGGCGGCCGAGGCCTGGAGAGTCGATTGTTGCCTTTGAGGAGCCTTGGGGCACAAAGCGGTGGCGCGAGACATGAGAAGGACAATTAATGGGCGCACATGCTTGCCCTCGGCCTGTGTGTAGTACTTGGCGGCGCGGTCGAGCGAGGGGTGGCCAGAACCCAGGAGCTTGCGGATGTTGCCTGTTAGGAACTTCATCTCGCCCGCGACAAGACGCAGAGGGTCAATGGTGGGCAGACCGTCGGTGCCCTTGATGGCCTTGGTCACGGCATTGTTGACAATGTTGCCGGCCACCGAGACAGCAGCAGCCCATGCCGAGTCGTTCTTCTTGGTGTTGTGGTAGAGGGCCTTGGACTGCCGTATCCTCCGCTCGAGGGGCACTACTGTAAGGCTTTGTACGGCACATCTCGACTGTGTAAGACCAAGACCGGTCCGAACCACCGAAGCCGCTCCCGTCCGGAGCTGCATGTTTCCCGTGTTTCCCGCGCACGTCCTTCTTGCCGAGAAGGACCAATTGACTGTTGACTATTTAGCTGGCAAGTGTCTCTTGCATGTAAGGGTGATTCCGGAGCTGGGATGCGACTGTCGTGGGGTTGTTGAGGACCGATCGGGTGGTAGCAGGAAGTTGGTTGTGAAAGTAAATAAAAAAAAACGGCTCTCTCTCTCTGCTTGTCGCCGGGTGTGACGGGTCACGGGTTGAGCAGCAGATGAACTTTTTCTGTGGTCGTGTGGTGGCACTATGGAATTCGGAGGAGGCTCAGTCCAACCATCCGGATGGCGAAGTGGGTGTGGTGGGTAAGCAGTCTTCCCTCCGGTGGGCGCGGCTTACTTACCGTGACCTCTACACAACTACAACGGCGACTTGCTCCTCTTCCTCCGATCCCGAAAAGTTCCATCCTCCAAAAATTGGGCGCTCGGATCACCACCTTCCATTTTCAGCAGATAAGCCCCTCTCTGCAGGTCCAAAAGCTTGGCATTGCGGCAATTGTCCTATGTTTTGTGGCTTTCACGTGGCTGAAGCTGGGCAAGTTTGTGAATGATCTGAGGCTGGTGGTGCAGATCTTTCTCTATTCAGACAAGCTCAACTTGAATCGATCCAAGCTCTGTGAGAGCTCCAGGTACAGGGACCTGAATTTGGAGAAACGGGGTTTTCGGGGTTTGGGTGCACCTGACGACTGACTCCACGAGTGACAACACCAGGAACAGCTCTCGCGCGACGTTTCATCATTGACATCAGAACAAGCATAAATAAAATATCACCAATTTGCACACCCAAGTCATACTACGCTATCATGGTCCTCCTCACAGTGACCTCTTCCATCTTGGAAGCTCTACAAAGAGTTCCAGATGGCCCAAGTAAACTACAGCGAGATGGCGAGCCGTCATTAAGCGATGTCGATATTGGTTCACCCATTTCACATGGTCAAATCATGGATTTGCGGAATCTACTCAAAGCGGGGAACCATAAAGAGTACAGCCTGGAGATACTGTTGAAAGGTTCCAGGGTTTATGTGCCTCCACCACCGCCGAAGCCTGAGCCAGTAAGTGGACATTACTCACCTCACTGCACTAGCTTGTCAGGCATGGCTAATCCCCAAAACAGTCCGATGAATACAAAGCATTGATGGCCAGACTTCGCCGTGAAGAGGAGGAACGCGCCTATGAACGCATGATCAACCCCGTTCCACCCATGGAGACCTTCTCGCAACGATTCCCTTCGAGCACGGGTATGGCTCGGGCATTCGCCGAAGCCAACAGACCTACACGAAAGGAAGACATGGGCGATGATGATGTGACGTATGACGAGGTGCACCGCCAACTAATGCTCATCTTCAACTTCATGGTCACCATTCTAGGCGTGGCAGCTACTCTTTGGATCTTGGCGCGTTGGTGGAGCACTCCGGCTAGAATCTTTCTCACTATGGGAGGCAGTATCATTGCAGGTGTTGCTGAAGTAGCTCTGTACTCGGGATACGTGTGGCATCTTGGTCAGGCGAAGAAGAAGGACAAGACTTTCAAGGAGGTCAAGGAGGTGGTCCAGACATGGGTTGTTGGTCCGGAAGACAAAGAGGCAGCAGACAAGCTGATTGCCATTGAGGATAAGGAGCCTGTTGCCGAGGACACAAATCTTAGAAGACGCAGAAAGTAGATGTAGACTGATAGATTCAATTTATCCCTACATCACCTAGTGGAGAGCATGGGAGAGGCGATTCAGGGGGTTTGTTTACTTTCGCGGATCCAAAGCGGCTGAGCCCCACGTCATTGAGCGCTGCCCGTGCTTGGCAGCGTGAACTCGCGTAACAAACGCGTCGCAGTCCACTGTACTTGAGGGTGGTGGGTTCCTTCTGGCTGGGCGCCAAGGCTCTTCCCCCCTCTCCCCATAAGGAGAGGGGGGCAAAAATCTGGGACTGGAAATTAATATGGGACAGTCCACATAGTAATTTACTAGCAAAGTACCCATCCCCATAGTCAACACCCTTACTACACATAGGGATTTATCAACACAACGCAGTTAGGAAGCCCAATAGACTGCCTATATAGCGAATATATATAATAATTGAATGGTTTAGTCTTTTATATTTATTATACTAATTGAATGTAGTATATACGCTATATATATACCCCCTATTCTAATAATCCGCCCCCCAACTTCCTACCGCGTAAATCCTTTATTCCTAATCGGATTTCGTTCTTTATTAAAGGCCTTATATACTTTACTTATATAGTATCTTTAAAATAGCACTTTTGTAAGAAGGATAAATTTATTGCTAATATTGAAGAGGATGGTCCCCCTATTCTCGCTAATAGTATAATATCTAATATTAGTAGTATATAAAAATATTTTTTAGATAAAAGAATATATAATATATTAATAATAGCCTTACCCTTACCTTTATTAAAGGTACGTATCTCCCTTAGTAAAAGGATTATATTATCTCCCTCTCCTTCTCTCTCCTCTTCTTTATTAAATTCTAAGTAAAAATTTCCAAATTTATTATTATTAAGGTTTAGCGTTTAAGTATTAAGGGAGGTAATTACCTATAAGGTTATTTTACGAACGGGAGGGGAGGGTAGAGGAAGGAATTAGAGAAACCGAGGGTGAGGCTGCTAGTTACTTAAATTAATATTAATTAAATTATTAGAATAAAGGGAGTAGTTTAGTAAAGGGCGAGGTAATATTACTAAGTACTCCTTTAACTAAGGGGGTATATCCTCCTTTATATTAATAATAAAAGATTACTCTCTATTATTATTATTAATATTAAATATATTATTTTTATTAACAGGGATATAATCCTACTTGTAATCTTTCTTATACTATTCCTAATAAATATTCTAGTATACTTTCCCTTTACTGTTAGGATCTTTAACCTATATTTTATAAACCTCCTTTTTAGTTTTATAATTTATATACCTTATTGTAATTATATACTTCCTTTTATCCTCCTCCCACTCCTTCCTGGATTATTCGGCGGTTTAGGTAGTAATTTCTCTCTTTAATAGACTAATACTATTACCCTCCCCTTTTTGTGGTATTTTATAAATTCTCTGCCTTATTCTTTTATTTAGAGTAGCCTCCTTCTCTCAATTAAACTACTTCTTCATCTATATATTATCATATAATAAATGTACTTTAAAAGTAAGAGTAAATATAGTTAAGTAGCGGGTACGGGTAGGGGAGTTGAATTTGTAAAGGTAATAGTCTTTAATACAATTAAGAACCTTAATAGTTTTTTTAAACCTCTCCTTTTTAGGGACTATAAATGGGAGAGCTAGGTTAATTTACTTGGATTATTTAACCTCTAGTCGTTTAAGAATCCTTTTTCTATTAGTTAGCTATATCCCTATATCGTTAAACCTAATTATAATATTGTACACTATTATACTAACCTTTAAAATACTTTAAAATTCTCGTATAAAATCCGCCTAATTGAAGGTATAAATATTACACTTAATATAGTTATATAGAACCTTCTAGTAATAAATTTTAAGGGGATTGAATATATTAATATCCAACGGTTGCATGAGGTGGGTAGAGTGGGGGGGTAATACTATAAATATAATATCGAAGGCGACGGCATAATACTGGACTCCCATATTATAGTAGCTATTAAACCTATTTATTACTAATAGTCGATATATAGGATCCGTACCGTAGAGGTGCCGCTTCCCTACTCTATTAATTAAATTATCTAACTTCCTACTATTATAGTTTATACTATATTTGTTGCAACCGAATTAATTAATAAAAAACAAGCCTACTTTTATAAAGGTTAATAATAAATTGAAGGAGTAACGGTTGAAGTGTTTCAATTAATCTAGTATAAATTCGGTATTTAAAAACCTAATTAGCAATTTAGTAAAGTATATAGAATTATCTAAATTATTATAAATAAACTCCTTTGTAGGATCGGTTTTAAAAATAAAGTAAATAAGTAGACTTTTATCTACAATACTAACGCCAGCTATTAGAATATAAGATTCGCAGTTAGTAATATTGTTAATTTTTAGTTAAAATATATAAAAAGATTAGTCAATATTGATTCCTATACAAATTTACTAGTAGACAAGTATTTCTAGTTTTATAACTAACCTTCTAATTTACTAGCTCTCTTAGTACAACTACATTCTTACGCCCATTTACAACGCAGCCAATTCTTACTCCCATTTTATTACTATTCTAATAATCGCCCCGCTCGACCTTCTTTTCCTTAATAACCTCCTTATATCTATTAAACCAATCGTTAATAAGATTATTATTTAATTCCTAGAACTTCTTCTTAATATTTACTACACGGTAAATAATAATAGCGAACTCCAGATAATTAGTAAAGAATTTCTTTAACTAGCGACGGTTATAGGTAGCTAGAAGACTCCGTAATAAGTATAGTTAGTTCGCCACTGCTATTACCATCTCCTACATTACTAGAAACCGACTATAGAAATAGAAGATAATATATACAACGAACGCGTCTTCCTCTTTATTAATTAAGGAACGAAGCCGGCCGCGACCCTACAATAAAATTACTAATATACCTCTCTTACGCAGCGACTTAACATACCGAACGATCGAATTACGAAACTCTTTTATATACGCTACAATAGATTATATAGATAGGGGTCTTTTATAATTACAAGTGGCCTTATACGTACGGGCGCCGATATACTTAGTAATATTAAATATAGAGTAATTAAACGGTACTATAATATATAGTACATTAACCTTTAGTTAATTGTAGAGATATAGAAATCTTATTGTTTTATAGCTTTACAAAGTAAATGCGGTACGGAATATAGCGTTATTATACCCGATTTCACGATGTTAAAGAGCGGTTTTGTATAGCGTTAATAGTGAAATTTGTATTGGACCGATCGGCACTATCCCATATTAATTTCCAGTCCCAGATTTTTGCCCCCCTCTCCTTATAGGGAGAGGGGGGAAGAGCCTTGGCGCCCAGCCAGAAGGAACCCACCACCCTCAAGTAATTTACCCATTCCAATCCCTGCGAAGACGGAAAGTTCACGCGGGGCGCAACCGCAAAACCCCAGAAATGTTTTTGAAAGTAAACACAAACAACAAACTGAAGCTTTGACAAGGTCACTTGACCGCTGCCTTTCTTCTCCCCAGACCTCGACAATCGACACCAGAATCGCAACAGTAGTCGAAGAAAAAAAACAAGGCGATCAAGTCGACAATGTCGGCAGAAGCAGTCGAGACGGGTCCTGCCACGCAACAACGCAAGAAGCCGATTCGAACATATGGGAGGCGGTCTGCCGCCGCCGCCGCCAAAGAACGCGCAAAACCCTCGACGCCGCGACAGCTGAGTCCCCAAGATACGCCAGCACCACAGCTACCGCCGCCCAACTTGGCTGCTACCGTTCCTCCGTCTGTCGAATGCTGCCCGAAACCCAACGCGCCCAAGTCTGGCTCGATCCTGTCTTTCTTCAAGGCAAAGCCCAAGACACCCGCACCCAGTACCAGTAAAGCGACTACACCCGCACCACCTGCCTCCGACGAGTTGATATCGACACCTCCGTCACCACCGCCTTCTGGCTCCGGACAGAGAAAGCGCCGCAGACTAACGACCCGTCCGACCTTTGACGATGATGTCGCTGGCGATTATCAAGCAGGCAAAAGAAGGAAAGAAAGTGGGGACGAGACATCAGAAGCGAGAGATGGGACACCAATCAACACAGCTTCAGCTTCTATAACCGAGACCGATGCGACAGTAATAACCACCTCGAAACAGCTTGTTATCCAAAAGAAACGCACAGCCAAGACCCCGACGAAGGAAATGGTGCAGACCACGTTAAGTCTCGCAATTGGCGAGCCCCGGCCCCAGTTCATTGTTTGCAAGGAATGCAGCATGCTCTACAACCATCTTAATGACAAAGACCGGAAAGACCACAAGAGGGTACACGTGGCTCATATCCGGACCAACTTAAGGAAGTAGAATAGTAGATCTGTCAATGATATTTGTCAGATCTCGCGGCACCCTTTGGAGTTTGGATAATCTGCCGATCTCGAATTGGCTACACGATGAAACTCCTGCAAAGAAACAGTTCACCCATCGCGCATAACCACTTTGGGGCGGTTGCATCATTTGCTTCAGGAATCTTGGCTGTGTTTTTGTTTGTCAAGACCTTTGGGGAAACTATAAATGATCGTAATGGTTCCGGCTGGACAGTCCTCGGTAATAGGACATAGCATCACGGTCATCTAGAAAAATCAAAAGCGCCTACAAAGTCGACAACATGGCCTACCAGCACGGAAACCACCACCACATCCCGGACGAGTATCGGGTGCATAAGTAAGAATTCGTCTTCATACATGACTGGATGGACTGAACTAACAATGTCAGGCCTGGAGCATGGCTGCCTGCAGACCACCGCATCCTCAGACACTGGCTCGGCCACCATATCAAACATGTCGACGAGGTCGGTGAGCAAGAGCTGATTCCCGTGCTCAAGGAGTTCGAGGATCTCATCGAGAACAACACCCGAATCCGCATGTACTTCTCCGCCATGTGGGACGAAGTACCTCGTAAGCCCCCTTACAACAAAGACGTCACAGACCATAGTCAAATCCGGGACTACAAGCACATGCTCCAAGTGCTCAACCACGTCTTCGGCCGGGCACCCGAGTGGACTGATGCCGCAGCAGGCGTCGGCTTGGTCGGCCTTCCTCTTGCCGCCATCTTCGACTACGCCTCCGCCACACCCAGCGGGCACGCTGCCTTCCTTGATCCCGACGTGAACCGCATGCTCAAGAAAATGCTAAACGAGTGGGGCAAGTACCTCACATCCCCGGAGTCCGCCTCCGTTCTCGGCGACCACCCCACCGGCTGGTTCGGCGAAGTAAGCAAAAAAAACCTGATGAACGTCTTTAACACTGCCACCAACACCTCGTACAAGTTCGAAGAAATGTACCAGTGTGATCCTTCGGCGCCCCAACACGGCTACAAATCCTGGGACGACTTCTTCACCCGGCGCTTCGTTCCCCAAGCCCGCCCCGTCGCCTCGACCGAGGATCATCTGGTGGTGGCCAACGCGTGCGAGTCCAAACCCTATGCTCTGTCCCACGACGTCCGCCTACGTGACAAGTTCTGGGTCAAGGGCCAGCCCTACTCGGTCCTGGACATGCTTGCGCATGACCCGCTCAGCGAGCACTTCGCCGGCGGGACCGTCTACCAGGCTTATCTGTCTGCGCTTTCGTATCACCGGTGGCACGCGCCCGTATCGGGAACTATCAAGCGTGCGTTTGTCCAGGACGGGACCTACTTTTCTGAACCCCTCTTTCCGGCCGAGGATGCGTCGGACGAGTTGACGGGGGACAGGACGGGCAGGGCAAGTGAGTACGAGATTCTGCGAAAGGGAAAAACGGCGAGCCAAGGATACTTGACGGCGCTGGCAACGAGGGCCATCATCTTTATTGAGGCGGAGGCAAAGGAGATTGGGCTGATGGTGTTTATTGGAGTGGGTATGGACGAGGTCAGTTCGTGCGAGATCACGGTCAAGGAGGGGCAGAGGGTGGAGAAGGGGGATGAGTTGGGCATGTTCCATTTTGGAGGGTCAACGCACTGTTTGATATTCAACAAGGATGTGGGCAAGAAGCTGAAGGGGTTCCCGAAAGTCGGGAGAGAGGAGAATGTACCGGTTAGGGCGAGGTTGTGTGCTGTTGGGGAATGAGGGATGGGAGTGCCTGCATGAGTGTGGCTCGGTACCTCTATGATAGGGAGTTGGAGTAGCAAAAGTGCTTGTGCTCAAGCAACATTCTTGGTTGAGAACAATGATGGTACGTACGTGTGTATGTCGGTTAATGCACAATCTGTCCTTTTGCCCAGCCTGCCAGCTTGTTTGATCCCATTGACTCACTAGATGCAGTCATACAGTATTTTTGTTTCGCTTCGCTTCTGGAATCTGGCCCGTCGGTGCCTGCAACCTGTTTTCCTCCAGATACCTCGCTCGCTTTAAGGAGGAGCCTTCGGTGATGTATATCTCCGGTAGGTAAAGCTAATCTCTATGGACTACATACATTCGGATCTGTCGGTAGAGCCTATATACCGCTACGTACACATACCTATCCCCAACCACGTGCAGTCATATCGAATGATCCAGTCAGCGTGAGATATTTTCTGTTCTCCAGCGTCTTGCAATCTACAGCCACATTCTTTGCGTGGTCTCAATACTCACTCGCGCTGCTCGCTATGGCTACAATTGATCGCAGTAATCAGTCACCAGCTGGGCATTCACTCATGTTTCCTGCAGCGGAAACCTTGGTGGCAACCATCTGCCGCATTCACTGCACCTCAGCACAGGTACATTGGTCCAGAAACTCACATTACAACAGCTGCAGGATGGAACTGGACACGTTGTGGTAAAGGGCACTGGGAGTTTCTGGGAGCCTTTACCAACATTTAAAAGACTCCTCCCCGTCACCTCTTCCTGGCCCTTTTCTTCTCTTCTCTCCTCATCATCATCACACACACTCTTGATTCAGACAACCAGCTTGCCTACCCACTCTTCTTGCAATCATTACTGCAGAACAACAGCTCAACAGCTCATCTCGAACATCGTTCATCAAAGCCTGATCAACAAATTCAGCGCAGCCTCTACGCAAGCCTACCTACCTCAAGTTGTCTCAAGACTTTTTTTTTTTTGTGATCAGCAATCATCATGTCGAACACGATGAGAGCCGAAACCACCATGATGAGAGCCGAAACCATGGCCTCGCTCAAGCAGCAGATGCGCAAAAACATCAACGATCCGCACGAAGTTGCTGCCATTGTCAAGTTCATTCGCGAAAAGCACCGCCTCTACAACGATCAGCAGGAGTACGCCCTTCGGTTCTGGTACGAACAGCTGCACATTCTCGACCGCGAAGCGCCACGTGCCAGCCTGCTTTCAGCTGAAAAAATCGTCGACATCCTTATCGACAAGATGACGAAGCCCGAGTTCGAAATCTTTAACGAAAGATTGCTTCTGATCCGCAACCATTACCCAGAAAAGGTCAGATGGCACAAGAAGATGGAGGAGGGGTTGGGTGGAGGATATGGTTTGAAGGTGCAGGTCTTGGGAGCTGCATATCCGGGCGGAAAGAAGTTTTTGTCGGTGGAATGGCTCGAGGTGACGGAGGAGGAGAAGGGATTTCAGTGGTGGTGGTAAAGGACGAAGAGCAGGGTTGTGTGTGTTGAATTGTAGGAGCTTAACTCGGAGGGGGTTTGAACCTGATGATGGGTGCTCTTCAACATACAGGGGGGTTTCAGGAGGAAGTTACCGAAGGGATTGTGATGGAGAGAAAGGATCAGCTGGTAGCGATTTGGATTGGCTATGATGAAAGAAGAGGATGACTCGGAGGGGGTTTGAACCTGACGGGCGCTCTTTGACGAACTGAGTTACGACAGGCTTGGAGGGGATCAGGAGGAAAACAACAGCATTTCAGTGATGGGTTTGATGATTGGATATCAGGCGTTAGGGACTTTCAAGGACTTTCAGCGAGGGAAATGAGATGCATCTGGGACGGAATGGTTTTTTTCGGATGGGATATCCTACAAGCGTTGTTTGCAAGACATCGAGCGAAGCATCATTTACACTGGCGTTAACGGAAATCAATTTTGCTCTTTGCCCTCAACATGAACTTGATTCTTGCTCTGCTTCAATGTGAAAATCCAATGCTGAACATGAAACGGAACATAGATGAATGATACCGTAGACAACCAATTTTACCCGTGTTGTACCTTGCTTTCATCAGTCCGGTAATTGTATCAAGATGAACTGGTCTTCTTCCTTCCAACAGGTAGTGTGCCTTACCATGCGTCCAACGAAAACTGTGAACTTGAAGAAGAATCTCTCATTTCACTTCAGCTCGCTTATGTCATGTCATCAATGTCTACTGCCCGTTTAACTTAACACATCTGAACCAAAATGTCGGATTGCCCTTTCCCTCAGACTTCGCATTTCCATCGGCACCCCAAACTCGAAGGGAAGCAGCATGTCTACTCAGTCTACTTGCCATCAACGCTAGTGTCAGCAATTGCATGTCCAAATAGACCAAGTCCCAAGCAACAGCTTCTGACACGGTATCTGCCTCTAGCTTCACGTCCACATTCCCCAACAATCACGACGAAATTGCCTTGACACCTGCCAGCGGGCTCTTAAGTCTTGAAACATGGTAAAGATTAAATCATTTACTGGTAGGAAAGAGAGTCCGGGACATGCACGTGGTTCCAGCTTTGTGATCTCAAGTACTTACAAAAATTGCCTACCGTTACAAGTAAATGTAGCGAAAATGAAAGCCAGCTTATCACTGTCCTTTTGTGAGTTCAGGCCCAACTCTTCCTTCACTCTGACAGTTGAGCCTGCCAGGTGACGTGCACTCGATTGCCCCTAGTTAACTGTGCTGTTATCAACCTTGCCTATGTGCAGCCGGCCCCGAAATGACAAGCACGAATATTGTAGAGGTAAAACAACAGTATCACGATAGACTCAATATCCTCTGACTTGGGTCGGTAAAAACAAGTAAGGTAGGTAAGGTACCTTTACTTAGGTACGAGGCATTGTCATTGAGATAAGTATACTAAGAATGACTATGTTCGTCGTTGTTCGTTGTGGCCTGCTCGTTAGGTTGTAAGGAAACCGAGTTCTTGTCGAGTGATGAACACACAAATCCAGCAAGGTGCGTTTGTGGACATGGACCTTGACGATGCTATCTGTGTCAAGACTCTTCCAGTCTTGAGCCGACCCAAAGGGAAGGTAGATGACTTCCCTTGCTGCGAGCATAACTGGATACATTCCTGGAAAGCGACTTCACTACCTCATCGTTTACTGTAAGATTACTACACGGACAACACTTGAACAAATGGCTTGGCTGTACATCAACCAGACTGCTGACTTCAATCCTTGAGGTCATACGCATCGGCTTTGGGCCTTCATCGCCCAAGAATTCTGTCAACCTACGGTGATTCGTGCTGTAAATCTGAAATGGGAGTCGGCTCGGGCCGAAGAAGGCGTTCCGGTCGGTGTCTGATAATGTTAGTTCCGTCACTAACTACCACTGGGAGTTTTCGACGTCACATGGAGTAACGGGACTGCACCTGCTAGCAATTATGAACACGATCAGCATCACGATGCATAGGTTCTTCCTTGATTAAGGTATCTATCTCGTCGATATCAGATCTCCATGTACTGTGTAGATGGAGAAGAAAAAGGGAGATCGCCTGGGAACCATACACGATTTTGCAGGAGAGGAAAGGTGACCGGCCCCGTTAAACTTGTACATTCGTTCCGACCTTGCTCGCCTTCAGCCATCTGCGGATCACGAGCCAGTCGTTGTTTTTGGGCTGAAGGTCTGCTGGCCAAAACGTAAAGGAGTGTCCGGTTTCGGTGGAGGTATGTACGGGCTAGTAGCGATAAGCAGTGAGAAGAAGCAGGCAATGCGTGCAATAAAAATAATCAGGTCATGTGTCCTGCCTCTAGTCAGGTCTTTGCTCTGCCTTGGGTCTTTGCCCTCCGTGGCGAGTTTCCCAGTTGATGACACGGTGGTTTTATGTCTGTTATCGGTGCTGGTGCTGGTTTGCATTTTGCGTGATGATGAAAAGAAGTTGAAGAAAACCTCAATTGACAAGTAAGGCGAGGCATCACGTGCTTCCTAGACGTACCTTGCTTTTGCCTTGCTAGGCGACGCAGCTGCTTCATGTGGGCTGTAATGTGCATTACCAGTAAAGTGTACAGAGGGAGGAACGATGACGAGTGGAGTTGCAGTGTGTGCCGTTGTTGGAGGGAAACAAAATTGAAAAGATTTGCAGATTCAAGGCACCTACATACACTGAAACAATGCATTGACTGGTTCCTGCGTTTGATATGCCCGAATAAATATTAGATATGAAGTTGATGTCCATTGGTGCCATTGATTACACCAAACCCTCGAGTGACCGTCGGACTATTGCTAGTTACCTCGGAGCAACCCAATAACTTTCGTTGTGATGCCTTTCATATCATTCAAATCGGTTTATTTTATGACAAATTTGAAACTTTTTGAAATTTTTTCTTTCTCTCCCTGATGGTCACAGACTTGATTGCCTACATCCCCGAGTATCAGTAAGATGTTCTATTTGTCCTTGCATCGTATTTTCCAGATGAATCCTTAGATATGCGGCCTATTCCCAGATTTTGCAAGTGACCTTGACGCAGAGGATGATGATGCCTTCCAGTAGCCCAAAGAAGCAACCGTCAGGTAGGTAATTTTGGTCTGCACTATCGCAATGGTGAGCTTTGCATTTGTTATGAGACTCGAATCACCGTAGGACCTTTGCGTGCCGCCAAAGTTGATCCTCGGAATTCGTTGCCTTGATACTTGCGTACGTGGCTTCCAAGCGAAAGTGATGCTTCATGTCTGTGGTCGGCCACACCGGTAAAGGAGTAGGTACGTACGGACATCAGAAAATTCTCCCATGCAGACATTTCTCTCGTCGGCTGTTACAAAGGCCATCTGGTGATCTGTCCCTCATCATATGTCTGGATGGAGGCGTGTTGAGCCATGTGCACCTCGATATCGCCATCTGGAAGCATGAAATTATATTCATCATGCCTGACCCCGGCCTCCGTGCCTTGTTGAAGTGAGAGATTGCTTCCTCCGGACATCCATATAAAAATAATAATAAAAATTGACAATGCAATGCAATGAGAACCTCAACCGGGTGTCTGCTGTGATCATGAACTGTTGAGCCCCAAGGTGCTCGCCCATCTTTTCGATATAAATTCCCCCTCAGCCCTTCTTTTTGGTCATTACCTCTACTTCCAACCACCACCACTCCTACCATCAATTTGTTCTTCCACCAGAGAAACTCCAGCCGAAACCATCCAACTCGAATCCAAACTACAAGTCAAGAGTACCGTTCTCGTGATCCGAGCCAGAAATAGCAGCGGCGGCAGACCTTCATCAACACCTCGTGAGTAAAACGCATACTTCAAAATTCCCACCACTCCATGACATCGGACTCTGACCAATATTCCATACCATAGCAAGCAAGTACGCCAAGGTGCTCGTCGTCTACTGCCAATACAAGTCACGGTCAACCTCGACGCCCCAACGATGTCGGACAATTCGAACACCCACAGCCTTCCGCTGTATGCACTCGGAAGTTATGGGAGTTCCGGAGCCAGTCACCAAACGCCATTGCGGACGGGATTCATCTCGGTACGGCTTCATAGGCCGTATCGTGATACCAGAATCCTCAAAATTCCTAGACCTGAGAGCTTTGAAGAGCTTCAAGTAATGGCGTGCGAAAAATGTGGGGTTCTTGCCCGACCTCGTGAGTTGGTATTTTATGTAAAGCACCGTACTCAATTGGGGTCGGGCCAATTTGGATCTTTGAATTGGGTCCGGCTTAAGGCATGGAATTGGGGGCGATTCCGAGATTCTCTAAGCAATTCCGCGACTACCCCTACGCTCAAGATTTTCTGGCAGCCCAGCCAGGCAACTTTGCGCGATCTGCGTGACACTGCTGGGTATTCTGACGACGACGAGTACGAAAGCTCGGACTTCGATTCATACACATAAAAGGGCGAGGGTCTAGGAAATCTTTGCTGGGTGGTATTTCGAGTCAACGTCATGTAACTACCACACATGAACACGACTATCTGGGGTAGTAGGCTTCTGAGCCCAAACATGGTTAACACTTCTCTTGATACACAATTGAAAAAGGAACACATGGCTGCCGAATAATAGACCCCCGCCTGTGCTTGAATTTATTAGTTTTAGGCTGCATTTGTTTTGGTACGGTTGCAGTACAGAGGATGAGGCCGTATAGCTTTATACGACAAAGCTCGGGCCACCTTTTAGATGCGCCGTATAGCCATTTGCACCCCCTTTATACGGCCAGTATACTACCAGTTCCATTTAGTTGATTTTTTTCTTTCAGGCGGTGTATAGGGTAAAGGCGCCGCACGAGTGCGCTGAGATCCTTGGAGCTTACAGGGCATTGCAGGGTGCAGATTGCGAGTATACGGCATGTACGGCGTTTTGGGGCTGGTCTGCATTTTGGTGGTTTTGTACGGCGATGCTAAAATTGTACGGTTTTCTAGCTATATATAACCCTAACCCGATTAAGGGGGTCGCAAATTGGATTTCTGTACGGCAACCGACCAAATGATCACTATTTTGTACGGTTATCGTACAGAAATGGCCGTATGAGGCCATTTATACTGCAACCGTACCAAAACAAATGCAGCCTTACACCCGAACACGCCACGATCTAGGTCACCATCTAGAGCCTTGATTGTCGCTCCTCGTCGGGGTTCTTGACCTCGATTAATAATTTACCTGTATTTCGGACATTCCGCTGTCAGTGAAAAGGACATCCATATAGGTAACCAGAGCTTGAAGAGAGAAAGTGGCACTTACCGATGTTACCACCCTTATAAAGCTGAACCATGCCTTCATCCGCAACTCTGACGCCTCCTTTGAGGATGGTCTCCTTTCTCTTCAGCTTACCTTCAGCCAGCCACTGGGCCAGCTGACCGAGAGCGGTTGGGTACTCATCTTTGTAGTCGAAGACGATGAATCCTTCCATTCTGATTCTCATGGTGATGACGTTGTTGATGTTCTGGAACTTGTTAGTAGAGCACTCCATGGCGCTTATCGTCTCGAGAAAATGAAAGCCACCCACCTTTGGCCCTTGCTTGTGCTCGGCGTTGTACTGACTGATACCACCGCACATGACGAACCGAGCGCCTCTGTTGGCCCGAGCCAGCGCCATGTTAAGTTGCTCGCCGCCGACTGTTTTGATCATGTCGTGTTAGCCGTATTCACACATCGTCCCCATCGTGCCCATCTCGTCAAATCCATCCACTCCATGGCCATGTCCTCCACTCGCACCCAAATGGACCAACCCCTTTTCCCCACAAACACCAGACACTCCCGCATCACTCCAAGTGCAAAACTCACCATTGTCAAAATAAACATCCACAAAGTCCGGCGTCGCCTCCCTGAACTTTCTCCGAAACTCTGGATCTTTGTAATTAAGCGCCACATCCGCGCCTCCCTCCTCCACCAACCACCTACACTTCTCATCACTGCCCGCCGTGCCCACCACCCTCTTGGCGCCCTGAATCCTCGCAATCTGCACTGCCACCGACCCCGTCGCCCCGGCCGCCGCGCTCACCACCACTGTATCCCCCCGTTTCACATTCCCAATCTTCATCATGCCGAAATACGCCGTCAGCCCCGTCATGCCCAGCACACCCAAGAGATCCGTCGTCTTTCCACCGGGCGGCAAAAACGCCGGCTTCTCGATATGCTTGTCACTCAAGATCCCAATCTCGCGGACCCCGTTCATGGCCGTGACGATGTCCCCCGCCGCGGCCTTGGGACTGCGAGAGGCCAAGACGCGGCAGATGCAGAAGGCGCGCATCACTTCGCCGATTTGCACGGGGGGCACGTAGGAGCGCACGTCGTCGAGCCAGCCGCGCATGGCGGGGTCTAGCGAGATGTACAGAGTCTCGAGGAGGAGGTCGCCTTCGTTGAGGTCGGAAGGGACGGGGGCCGGGACGGCGCTCACGCGGAAGGTGTGGCCGGGAATGATGGGGCCCGTGGGGCGGTGGACAAGCTCCAGTTGGAGGGAGTGGGATTTGTAGCCGTGGGTGTGGTGGAACATTTTGGCGGTTTTTGGTGTGTCTGTTCCTGTTTGGTGAAGGAAATGAAAGGAGGTGTTGTATTGAAAGGGAAAAAGAGGTGAGGTTGAGATAAAGTTACCTAGGTAGTAGGTATATCTCAGGTGGCTGGTAAACGGCGTTTACTAGGTAGTTGTGTTTGGTGATTGGCGTATACACTAGGAATATGTCCAGTAATTGTTCAGCTTGGATCGGTTTCCCTAATTCCCTTTTGTTTCACAGAGGGCCTCGCTTAACTTGCCAAATACGGGCGCTGAAGGACAAGGGGTTCTGGAATTCCACGCAAATAAACCTTTTCTCTGTTGAATGTGAGATGAAGATATTCTCGATGATGGGTTGCGGAGTTCCAGAAAGCCAATCCCCCAGATTTAGGTGTTGTCGGAATTGAGCCGAGGTTGAATTATGTGGAGGAGGTGAGGTTGTAGTGTCGTTGCTTTGGGGGCGCAGTGACAGTGAACAACAGGGCAACAGCGACAGGGGCAAGGAGAACATCATCAGCTGTCCCGTCTTCGCGCACCCAGCGGTTCGCCCGTTCGTGCTACATACATAGTGTAGTGGCCCGCTAGGCCTCTTACGGGGCCCCACTCATTCTGCCGGACCACCCACGGGGAAGCTCCAGCTGCCGGGCCAAAGCCTGGACCGAGGCCCCCGGCAACAATTTCCATTTTCGGATGACAACCCCGGCGACCGTGACGTCGTCCGGATCATGATCCGAATGGTACATATAATTATTGCAGAAACATCAAGCCGATAACAAAGTAAACATTGTGCTGCAGTTGTCTGAGTCTAAATCTATCTCTACGAAGCAGGCAAATGTCTGAGAGCTACCTACTTTTACGGGCCTACCTTGATAACCCCGAGTCGGTCTTCGACTTTTCACATACTCATCTGGCACTTATTCATTCCTTCAACTCAAGGAACCTGTTCGTTGTTTGTGTACATGTACCTACGTCACAACATATGCAAGGGTACCTCGTGGATGCAGGTATCGTCCAGAGTCAGTCCTTCATTTTTTCCTCATCTCGACACAAACAGTTCAACCATTCCTCCGACACTCCCGTATACCCCCTCTCCTCCAACCAAGCCACTAAGCCCGTACCAGGGCAGCTCCAACTACTACTGTTAGACCGCGCCGCAGTCAGAGCCAGCAAGAAACCGACTCCCACCAGATGGCCACTGTTGTACCCAAAGCCCCCGTCCAACAACAATCCTTTCAAACTCAGTACTGTCGACAGCTGACTACCTCTACTTGACGTCTCCATGTCTACAAACCCCTCCGCTACTTCCACCAGGGGCATCTTTGTTTCCTATCCTTTCCTTGTTTTTCAAGAACCAGTCCAAGGAAGAAAACAGTCCTGAACTGTACTTCGCCGGTACAAGCTCTCCTGCCGCCTCGGTTGTAGGTTGGTTCATTGTACTATATGTAGCCCCAGCAGCAGTTGAAGTAGAAGGGATGCCATCTGTGTTGCTATTATCATGAGTTGTGACCATACGCCTCTCCATCATAATGGCTTTGATCTCTTCTTGAGCAGTCTGGTCTTTGTTCGGTGTGAGATGGATGCTCATGTCGGGTTTGGCTGGTATAAGGGACTTGGGCTGGGTCGTCGAACCAACTCTGGTCCAAGTCAAAATAGATGGAGTGGTGGTTGTTTCAGTCTTGGTACCTGGCTCGGCGGAAGTCGATGTGGAAGAAACTGTGTCCATAATGGCAATCTCTTGAGCGGTAGGGTCATGCCTTTCCATTGCCCATAATTCGTCTTGAACAGTTGGTTGCTCTTCCTCGTCAGCGCCGGGGTCGACTAAAATCTCCCGCTCTATGTCGGCATCATGTACCCACACAGTGTCCTCGTACAACCAGATAAAGCGATCCAGGTGTCTGCGACTGACCGCCGGGCAAACGCGCAGCTCTCTGCGAGTTCTGCGTTGATCGCGGGATCGACGACTATTACGATGCCAGCCATGTACGTGCGTTGGAGCATCCATATGGTCAATGGCTAGAGGGGATTTCTGGAGAGAACTGCATCAGCTATTGTCCCTTGCCAATGGTGTACGTAGATGTAGATATGTGCTGTAGGGAGTCTTTACCTGTCGGCTGTAATGATGGAGAAGAAATGAACACTCGTCAGCGTATTGACGTAAAGAGTGCCTGGTAGATGTGTGTAGAGATACCGTTGAAGGTGTTGAAGACTCTTGGGGTACGCAAGATGTCCGGTTGCAGATGTGTGTGCGAAATTTAGATAACCATGGATGTATATGATAGCAGTAGGAAAAAAAGAAAGCAAAAACGGTGCGAGAGGGCAACGGAGAACGATGGCCATTATACTATGAGGGACGGTGATCCCTTCACTGGGTTAGCTGTCAAGCCTGCAACCTTGGAAACGTGGAGAATCAAACCTCGATCCACCTTCGAGGGAATGAGTGTCCCTTCGAGGGGTGAATACTTCCATGGTCGTTGCTTTCTTCCCATCCAAAGAAGGTTGCGGTTCTGAAATATGTTGTTGAGGTCAGCATCTGGCTTCGAGACCGCGCATAGCTCCGCATTTTCATTGCCGGTGTTGATCCTGCCAGCGTACCTCGTGACTATCTATATATGTTAGATAAAAAGACCTGAAAGCATTCACCAATGATGTGGTAATCAAGCTGATGGGACTGTCCAAGCTCTTGATTCTGCTGATAAGGAACTGGTGTTGTGTGGACCATAGATGTGCGAGTCCCCTTTTCGTTGGCTCTGAACATCTTGTAGTGGCGATCCAGCGTCCAGCTTTATATCGGCATCTCAAGGTATAGAAGAGCTTCAATCACTAGATCTCCAGTGTGCTGTTCCCTAGTCCATGTCTCATTATCAGTGTCAGCGACCTGCTTCTCTTGGCCGGAGAGAGCACGAGCTGGGCGAAGTTGGCTTCCTAATAAGTTTTCGAAACCTCTGAAGGAAATAGTTAGAAGCTCCATCATTGCCTCATTCTAAAAAATAGCAGTAATGAAGTTGATCAAGATCCACGTCTTTTCAATCAGGGGCCGTAGCTAGGTACCACTTGTCACTTCGAATAGTGGCAAAGCTTGCAAGTATTTTTGCGTGCAACACTTGTGCACACGAACATTTTGTGACGGAAGGTTGTTGGCGGTAAGATTTAGTACTGAGAGACAGCCCAACGCAGCTACTCAATTCATCGGAATCCAAGCTCCTGTTATTCTCCACGAAAGTCCTTCCTATCGAGCTTTGATTCTCCTCCAGCTTCCGCTCCGGGCGTAACAGGTCGAGTTCTGCAACCTCAGCGATAAAATAGCGATGAGATTCTTCTGCTTATTTCCCGTACAAAAAGGCGGAGTCTGTGGCCTCCAGGGCCTTTCGGTAGCCCTCTTCCCGTGCGCTGAAGTTCTCTACAGAAGCTTCGTGGGCTTCCACTTGTCTTGCAATCAAAAGAGGGCGAGGGTAGCTTAAGGCAGGGAGTTCTCTCTATTGTCAATCCGAGTACGCAGCTACTTTCTCGTCCCGGTCATGATAAAGCCATGTATATACCTATTCGGTATTCTGAGAGCATCACTTGTGCACACATGAGGGATCGAACTAAGAAGCTAGGTTTGTAGTAGGCTGTAGGAACAAAAACGCATTTAGCAAATAAGTGGACATATCAGGAACAGGACATGAGAAGATCAACTTCACCAACAATTGAAGGAGTGTATCTCAAAAATTGAAGAAGAGTATTACTGTCACGCTTGAAATACTTGAGTGTTACCATAACTTCGCCAGCACCTAGAAACACCGACCCATAGTATAGTCCATGTCTCTGATGATCCTTGCGGAGAAGTGGCGTGGATATGGACTCATACTAGTAACTCCAATCAACAACATGCGATTCCAATACCAGGGAGTTAACGATTGAGATCGGGCCACGAGGACTTAGTAACCCTTGCGGAGGATAATGAACGCCATCCAGATGGTTTTGTGGGAAGCGGCTCAAACAAAAAGCGGTCCGATTTATTTCGAGCTAGAAGGGGTAGGTAATTGGTGGTAATCAAGTGCGCATAAGTGCGTATTTATATAGTCGTTGTAGAGTTTGACAGGAGGAGACGGCGGAGGCGACAGATGGTGCAAGGCAGGAATATTGATCAAGTCAGTCATATGGACAGGGGGGAAGGACACTTCCAAATATTCGTGATGTTACCACTTGCTCACGGCACATATGTTTGCTGTAACTACTGCCAATGTTGGTCGTAATCCTCCCGCTTGCGGTGGGAGTCATGGCTGACGCAATGGGCGTTGATTGATGGTGTTGATGGTACCAAGCTGATATCCTTCATTGCTCAAGTACTTCCAGTCGCTTGTTGCCAAGACTGATGCCTCTGATTTGGTTGGGGCTGCAGGCCAGAGGTGGTTGAGCAATCGGGGAAGCGCAAAGTCTGCGGTGACCATAGTGATGGAGAGGAGGAGAGAAGTATGGGAGGAAACCAGCGCTCACAACGTTTTCCCATCATCCAGTGACTGCTTTCTCCAGACCATTCAATGAATCCAGAGTTCGGAACTGCCGAAATTGCATCTGGGTTCCGGGTAGCCTAGAGATAGATGATGACGGGTCTCTCAAGCCCATGCTCGCCGGCTTTGTTGCAAGTCCTGTGAGAGCAGAACGAGCTGGACATTAGCTGGCCTTAAGCTGACCGAGCCAAAAGGAAGCACAAAGTAACACGTCCACTTACAAGCACACTAATTTCGACATACATATCGTTCTACCAGGTTACTCTTCTTAGTCGCTACACGCACAGCTCCTGGTGCCGGACTTTGTGACTATTCCCAGCAGCGGCCCATTCGCGAGGTCATCGACACCAGCAGCGACGACGAGGACGTGAAGCCGATTCTTAGCAACACTGCTCATCGCTTACAAAGGCGATGGAATTCTCGTCGTCAGATCCAGAAGCCACTACCCGTCCACCAGCGCCGATCTACCCTCGTCCTGTCACTAAGGTTCTTCTTGTCGCTGGGATTTGGAGGGCTTGGGATGACCGAGCCCCCCTTGATAGTGTGTTCTTGTTGCGTGGGATGGAACGACAAGGACAAACAGAAACAAGAGTGGAAAGAAAAAGGACAACAGCGCTGCTAGCAAGAGCACAGGGCAACGGCAATGACGCAATTTTTGACATTGAAGACGACTGTTTCGAGTCCTTCGACAACCTCGAGTGCGATATTGATGATGAGCAGCAGCAGAACCGTTTCACATATCAAACCAAAGATATCTCAAATGGCCCTTGTCCTTGCCACAGCCGTCACAGTTTCGACCCTTCTCTCCGTGACACCAACGACACGCCAAGAGGCTGGTTCGTCCGATGTCTGAAGTCCCACGTTTGAGTAGCATCAAGACACTAGTCCCTGTCCATTCCCGAAAGCCTCGCACGAGGAAGATGACGAAGTCAAGGTCGAAACGTGTTGAGCATCACGGACAAGCTTGACATGTCAGTTGCCCCAGAACGTCTTGCTTGAGGTGATGACAAGCTTTGGGCGCTCGCACTTGGTACATGTCAACCTGACAGCATCGTCATCACCACGGCTATTATCCAGCAACTTGCCGATACAGTGTCATTGAGGAAGCATACGAACAACAACAGCAGCAGCCGGTCTTTTTCTCTTTGAACCACAAAACGCGACAGACAAAGCATTGGGTCTAGGGGGCGAAGGAGGTGAAGAGAACATAACAGTCAGAAAAAGCTCTTGGCCGCTTGGTCCGACCTTCAACCCGGACTCGAGGTGATGCCTCCAACTTCGTATGTGCGTGCGTGTCAAATGCCAGCTCGACACATGGCATCCAGCATCTTCAGCAGCTCAGCTTCGCTTGTTCGGGAAAAGGCAAAAGGTCTTCTGACTACATAGAGTGTACAGCAGTGCACTGTACTTGTGGCCAGGTACCTTTGTAGCGTATAGTGATATGCAGGAACCACCAAAGATCGACAGTTATCCTCGAATGCCGTTATGTAACAGAAACACCCCGACTTTGCGGTCCTTTAAGCCTTTCATGGTCTGGATGTTTCGATTTCGGCATTGCTTCAGGGGAACAGCAATGGTCTCGGGTATTCCGTTGAGCGTTCACATCGGGCCGTCCGTTCGCTGGGTCGGTTCTTTGTCGGGGAGTTCTTTGCCTTCGTCATCGCCATCGCGAAGGAACCGAACGCATTGTCCATGCAGTCCTGTCTCTGTCAAAGCTGAGCACGGACAGCATGGCATGGTCGAAGCTTCTAAGGAAAGGAGCAGGAGACGGCGATCAAAGCTTAACTTGCCAAGTTTGCACCGAGGATGTCTCCTAGGCTTCTAGACCCTTTGGATTCTCACCGACGTGGTGATGGGTTCAGCTCGGTTCGGTTCGCGTTTGTTGTCCTGTTCATCGATCAATGTCATGAGTGAACAGTCGGTGGTGGGCTCTGTTTTGAGAACGGGAGACCAAATGAGCTGGAACAGAATCGTCGAGTCGGTCAAGCTCTTTTCGCCTAACTAACGGCGTACCCGAAGCCCGGCTTCTCGCGGGTCAAGCAAGCGTGATGCGTCTTTGGTGTTGGCGTGGTTTTGGGAGTCCGTCGGTCGAGGACAATGTGGATTGTGGGTGGCGGGGGGGGATCACTGGACTCGACCGGGTCTCGACAGGACATAATATCCACATTGAACCAAGTATGCAATAATTATATAAGAATTGGATATGTACAAGTTGCAGGTGCGCCCCTTGCGTTGGTTGTGTGTTTCGGCGTGAAGCTAAAGTCGCTCTTGCTGTGTACACTACAGCGATGCATGGTCCTGCTGCAGCTGCAGTTGCCGTTGCAGTCACCATTCAGGATCCATGCCGACATTCGAGCGACGCCGGCGGAAACCAAGACCATGAAGACATCTCCGAACAACGAAGAAGGAACATTGGTCTGGACGAATCAGAAAGCAGCGGGTGGGAAAGTGTTACTCGATATCTACTCGATTAGTACTCGATTGTTACTCGATCAAAACTCACTTTCTTATCCGCCAGAAGGTTCCGCTCTTTCCCTCTACACTAGATTTACACACAAGGACGGAGTCATGCGAGCCATGCAAGCCATGGTTGGGTCGGTCAGGTCACTGAATAACCTCGGGTTTGCCTCCTAAATCCGGAATCTCGTCGAGAGAGTATTTTTCTCACCGATACGAGCCCTGCATCAACATTCCTGCGACACTTTGTTTTTCGCTGAGATGGAGCTGGGTGTGATGTCTGGGAATTGTCGTATTAAGCAGCAGGGAGGCTCTACCGTTGTCGTCATGTTGATTTCCTTATCATCAGTGACGCAGTTGAAACAGAAACACTCAGATCCCGTCCTCACACTGCAATCAATTGACACTCAGCTGCTATCAAGTGATGAATTGTCGCGATCCACTGTGGCATTGAGTGGCAGGCGGTGACTTTCTCCATCTGGACCCTGGCCGGCAAAACCACTTCCTTCCTTACCATTGCCCTATTTTCTCAGTCGTTCTCATGATTGGACAATCTTCCTTTCCCAGTGGGGGGTGTGTCTGGAACCTTATCTGGTGGGGTGTGTTTGCATCGGACAACGGCTGCTTCCGACTAACAAAACCGGGCGGCAACCGCAATGGGAAAACTGCGGACTGTTGCAGCGCGCACCAATTAACGGCCGCCGATAACTGCAAGACAGAATTTCCGTCGATTGTCTCTCTCTCCTTCCACTTCTTCCATTCCATATTCGCCTTCCAATTCCATGTCCCTTCCCTTCCGATATGTTCCCTATCAGTCCGTCATCTACTGCGTACATACAACTGAAGCTCTTGGTAAGGAAAACCCGGCCAATTGAGTGTCCAGTGTCACGGTCTCATACGATTATTTGGGATTCTCCTGTTATCTTCCTCCGTCCCCTTAAATCTCAACCTGATCAGCAATCGGTACACCTCTACGGGATAGAATCTGCTAGCTCCCTACGGTAGCACTTCAAGAAACATAAGGCGGGCCGATGACGGACCGGCTTTTCCATGTGCCTTAGATCAAGGTTGCTTGCCACCTTAAAAAAAACAACGCTAACAAATTATATCCCAACAAAGGTGAATTTCTCCCAGAGCCAAGCTGCCCGGGATCTACCTCTCTGCCCTACGTGCCTCTCTCTCTCTCTTATCTCCATATTGGCACTACGCGCGGCACCCCTGACCGAAACCAAGCGGGAGAGCGTGTGACAGCTTCATCTCAACTTTCTGGGGAAAGAAGCGCCGCTCGATGATGTAGTAGTCTTATCGTCTTTTATGTGTGTGTGTGGGTGGGTATGATGGATGGAGATGGATGGATGGGGTAGAACGATCTACCTCTACCGGTACCGCCTTGTTATCACCACCACCAACACCATGCTAACGGCTCGCTTGTTGATAACTGTGATTTCTGGGGAAGACGTCTCAAGATCCTTTGGGCGAGGGATGGAGGCTCAAGTGCGCCTCCATACGGACCACCCGAACGGACCCTCGGGAAGCATGGGGCAGCATATGGGGGGAAAAAAAGGTCTCGAAACGCTAGCTGACTCGGTGGAGCTCGCTTTTTTTTCCCTCACGGCGCGGAACGGAGCCTCACGATCCTTGACCCCATACCCACACATTCACGATGCCTCGATCGGTCCAGCTCGGGAGGTCGACGCAGTCCCAGTAGGGCGGTGGAGTCTCCTCGCGGCAAACGGCACTTTACAAGGGCTTTCCATCATCATGGATATTACTATCGGACCCTTTATCTCGAGAACCCGTCCGTTCTCACCTCTTCTTCTTTTTCTTCCCATCTTTTGTTCTAGGTACACCTACTATCTTGTGCCTACTAGACACTACACAATACCCCCCTTTCTTTGTTTGAAATATAACACAAACCGCCGAATCTCTTATCAGCTTTACTCGATATTTTATTGTTCACCGTAACGGCGTCTTACATATCGTATCCCGCCTCTTATCAACCAACATCTTACACCGGCACGGCACACCCCCTTCCACACACACACAGCCACAGGATAAAGTCCGAACACAGATAAGCTCCCGCATCCTGGTGACCATACGTCTTATCCCTGGATCCCGGTGAATATTTGTGTTGTGAGCTCGCGAGCTTTTACCACAAGCCAAGCAAGAAGAGGAATACGAGAACACTCTCATTCTCCCTTTAGCTTTTGCTTCCTCTCCTTCTCTTAGAACTAGCGGCCTTGTCGGTTTTCACAGAGGGAGCGCCCAAGCCAAATTCAAACCACATCCACAACATATAACGCGCAACAATGACAGTATTAACCTTCCTCCCGGACGCGGCAGCTGAGCCGCTTGTCGTACTCGTCTCCAACAGGGCCGTTCTCACTCAGCCTGACGACTCGCTCCTCCTCACACCCGCTACCATCGCCATCTCCTCCACCACCGGCAAGATCGTCTTCGTAGCCCCAACCGTCCTGTCGAAAGAAGCGTTCCCCGCGTCGAGCACATATGTGGACTACGGCAACAAGCTCATACTCCCTGGCCTCGTAGACGCCCACGTCCATCTCAACGAGCCCGGCCGTACAGAATGGGAAGGCTTCGCGACTGGCACGAGGGCGGCTGCCTCGGGCGGCGTCACTACCGTCATCGACATGCCATTGAACGCCATTCCTCCCACCACCACACTCGAAGGCTTCAAGGTAAAACTTGCTGCTGCTCAGGGTCAATGCTGGGTCGATGTTGGCTTCTATGGCGGCGTCATCCCCGGCAACGCCGATCAGCTGCTCCCCCTCGTTGAGGCCGGTGTCCGTGGCTTCAAGGGATTCCTTATTGAGTCCGGAGTCGACGAGTTCCCCGCCGTTTCCTCAAGCGATATTGCCCTCGCCATGACCACTCTCAAGGACACCCCGACGACCCTCATGTTCCACGCCGAGATGCTCCCGCCCATCACTGACTCGGTCGGCGACGGCGTCACCCGTTCCGAGCCGCCCCTGGCCCCCAAGGGCGAGCTTACCAGCTACTCCACGTTCCTCGAGTCGCGCCCGCCCGCCTTCGAGACCTACGCCATCGAGGAGATCCTCTCCATGGCCGGCCTCGCGCCTCAGCTGCACCTGCACATCGTCCACCTGTCGGCGACCGAGGCAATCCCGATCCTGCGCAACGCCCGCGCCCGCGGCGTCAATATTACCGCCGAGACGTGCTTCCACTACCTCGGCCTGGCCTCGGACGACATCGAGGACGGCGACACCCGCCACAAGTGCTGCCCGCCCATCCGCGAGCAGTCCAACCAGGACAAGCTCTGGGCCGAGCTCACCGCCGGCGACGACAGCTGCATCCGCACCGTTGTGTCCGACCACAGCCCCTGCACCCCCGAGCTCAAGCTGCTTCCCGACCACCTGTCCGGCCAGCCCGAATTCGACGAGCAGAACGGCGCCCTGCTCCGTCGCCCCAGCCTCCGCTTCACCGACTCTGGCATCGACGTCACTCTCCCCGAGGACCTGGAGAAGCAGAACACCAATAAGACCGACTGCTGCGGTAGCCACGAGCACGCCGCCGAGCTGTCCTACGTCCAGCAAGACGCCGCTGCTGGACCCCAGGGCCAGGGTGACTTCTTCGCCGCCTGGGGCGGCATTTCCTCCGTCGGTCTCGGCCTGCCTATCCTCCACACCACCGCCACCAAGCGGGGTGCTCCGTTGTCGATTGTGGACGTCGTCCGGTTGTGCTGCCAGGCCACGGCCAAGCAGGTTGGCTTGTCGCACCGCAAGGGCGGGCTCAAGGTCGGCATGGACGGCGACATTTGTGTTTTCGACGATGAGGAGGAGTGGGTGTTGCGGGCGGGAGATATGAAGTGGAAGAACAAGTGCAGTCCGTGGGAGGGACACCAGTTCAAGGGCCGCGTGAGGGAGACCTGGTTGAGGGGTACAAAGGTCTATCAGCTTGGTGGGGGCAACGGGGGTTTCGTGAGTGGGGTGCCGGTTGGTGAGGCTATCACGGAGAGGAGGGTGGTTTAAGGGACTGGTTTGGGTTAGTTGTGGGAATGGTTGATGGATGGATGACGTGAGGATGAGGATACGAAGATTTCAGCGTCGCATTCTGTTAGCATCTCTTTTTCGGGTCTGGTCTTGTATCATGTCTGTCTGCAGCATATTATATAAGGGGTATCTGGCGGGTCATGGCTTCCTGGGGGTTTTTTATTCATAGCGAGTTTCGCGGTAATACCATCAAATTCAACGAGGCGTTTTGTAAAGCGCTTTTTAGGTATCTCAGATCCCTCTTCTTTTCCTTGGTTCTGATGCGCCGTGATGGGACTGATAAATGACTGTGATAATATGCGATGCTTCGGCATTTGGGGTAATTATCAGTTGCTTCGAACGAAGACGACGGCAGAAGTTCGATCGAGACGCGGTCGGTGGATGGGCAAATATAAAAGTGTCATGATGATTTTTGTCATCAATTCACGAAGAAGGCAATTCAGAAGAAGAAAAGAAGCGATTAGACCATCCCGAGAGTGATTGTCGTGATCAAAAGTTCCGATTGTGCTTGCCAAGCATGCAGACATCGATTGACGACGTTTCGTTCTTTCCCCAATTTTGATACTATGTACAACTTCCACTACACTAGTAGTAAAGCTACTTTACGTACCCGCTCAACTAAACCTTGTAATCCCCGCCAATCACTCCTCTCTTTCGTGATGGATTGATTACTTGACGACCGAGGAGAAGGAGGAGGAGGAGGAGGATGAGGGGCTCTCGGTATCACATGATCTGAACCTGTTGAATGCGTGGTTCTCGTCACGGTCCTACACTACACAGTAAACTAGTGTACTTACACTTAACAGTCAATGGGGCCACCTTAAAATTGATTGACTTCACCGAAACTATGTACAGTGTGAGGCGATCGGTTTGAGAAGTTCACTAATCTGCATGGTCTCCATCTTGTCCAACTCGACAATTGTTTCAGGATCCTTCCATCTTAATGATGATGATCAGGAAGATTTAGAAAGCGGGGGTTCTCGTTGGTTGATTTGTTTCTTGTGTGTCTCTGGCTTTCTCGCCGGTCAAGTGAAATTGCCCCCGGTTCAAATCTGGTAAACCGACTGCTATGATTATATGGAGTTCGAGTTACGTTTCCTTGCTTTGGTCGTGTCACTGTTTGATTGATCGTTTGTGGGAGTAATCAATTCCATAGAGGGTAGTTTAGTGTGATGGTCGTCCAGATGGGCCGTGATGAGCTGGCTGACTGGCGACTGATAGCCACAAGTGGAAGAGGAGGAGGATGGAATGTAAAACGACATCATACTACCCTTTATCTTATCAACGATCATCAAACTCAGGCATGTACCTACTGTGTAGTGTAGGTATGTAAGCGAGAGGCCGCCGCTTGAGAAATTGTCATTCTCGTCACATCTTCCCCGGAAGATTGTTACACCCAAACTTGACCTTGTCAGCATGGTGGCATGACACAAGAGCTCCCCTCGTCGTGGGCACGTTGATGAAGGAATGAAAATGGATGGAATAAAAGAGAGGTCCCCAAAACTCCCGCCCAACCCCGGTCCCCGTCCAGCCCGTCTCCGCCCGCTCAGCGCTTTAAATGAGATGTGGGGGCAGCGGGTGGGAACGTGGCTTTGCACTGGCACTTTGTAACCTGTGACTTGGGATGATGTCTGTGACGACTCGGCGTGTCTGGGACTGCAAGGGAACAACAACAAATGGTGCCCGCAAAGCGACGGGATTGAAGATCATTTCATCCCCCAATCGGTCACGGGGATTTTACGAAACCACCAGGAGGGAGAAAGAAATTTGGCATCTAGTTGAAATCTCGCGTTCGAAGTCATGGTGGGTTGTTGGGGACGACAGCAACTGAGTTCAAGGTATCGAGATACGGGGTCCGATGGCAAATTCTTTGTCGGCACGGGGAAATAAGAAATGGGATCTTCGGTCGAAGGCTTTTTTTTCCTTCCCTTTCGCCCTTGGTGCTGTTTGAGATGAGCACGTAGCCGAGGTGGGTTTTGTAGTCTCGTGTGCGTGTGTGATTGTGTGTTCGAAACTTTCTCTGTGACAACTGAACAGCTTCAAATGTTCTGATGTTCTACGGCCTTTGCCGTGCGGCGGGGGTTGTGATGAATGGAGATGGATCGCCGTGGAGGGGGAGCATGAGAGCTGAAAACAAAGGCTTAGCCGGAGAAAGTTTCAACATCAAACCTCCCGTCGAAATCCTTATGCTAAAAAGTAATGCAAAGACAAACAAAACTCGTATGAGTTGTGCAAACTCTAAAAATATCGGAATTGCTTGTTGGAGAGTTTTTAGCTGCCACTGCCCTGTGGAGGATATCTAGCGTAGTGTATCCCCCAGGAAGAGCGCCAAGCCATATTTCCGCTTGGCGTGTTCGGCTGTCGGCAATCATTTGTTACAAGATTTTCCATGCTGCCCGCCCTGACCTGCCCACAATGAGTTACTGTGTAGTGAAGCCCTTTCTCGCTTTTTGTTTCTATGTTCACTTCATGCTCGCTCGCGGCCTTCGGTGACAGACGGTGGCTTGGAGTTTTCCTGGGATGTCTTGGCCTCGTCTCCCCTGGGCGAAGCTGGAGGCTGTCACTGGCTGCAGGAGGCTACTAGCCATGCCCATGTTGTCGTGGATCCTGCAGGTCCACTCTGGAGTGCAGCCTCACAGTGCAGTGTCTCCGCCTCTAGGTCTCGCTGGTGCTGAGTGAGGTGTGAGGTGTGTCGCCCCCCTTCGCTGTTGCAGTTACTTCAGCTGTGTTTTTTTTTTTTTTTTTTTTTTTTTTTTTTTTTGGTGTGACACCGTTTCGCTGTGTTCCCTGTGTACTCCAATTCCGCATCACCACCATCATCTTTCCTGTTTTTCTGGCAACAGCAGCAACAACGGCGACATCAACACCGGGGAATCCCTCCATCGATTTTGTTCCCACTCATCACTATCTTGCCGAAATCAAGGGTCTTTAATCTGTTGGAAACGTTCATTTTCTCTGCGTCTTTTTATTTTTTTTTATTCTTCATCTTGCTTTCTCTCGCGCGAGCCACTTATCTCATTCCTTGCAGGCCCACATTGCTCTTACTCCGTCTCTGACCGGTGCCTCGTCCGCCTTTTTTTGTCACTGCCGCCTGCGCGACATTCCACTTTGGTTTGGTCTGGTCCTCTCTTCCCGGTTTCTGCTCTGGTCGCACTCACGGCCGCTGTACGCCAACCTGAAGCACACACCTGGAACTCACCTCCCACTCTCCCACAGCACTCACCACCTACACTACACGACACGCCATTGAATGAAACGACCCAACGACCTAGACTAATGATACTACAATAACACGAGTTTGATCTCATCCGTCCTCATCTTTAAGCCGCCCCATCACCTTTTACGTGTACAGTAATCGGGCCAAGCCAACCCTTGTCGCTTCTTTCTCGCTTTCCGTTGACAGTCCGGCCTGGGTAGTGCCAAGGCTGCCCGCCACTGGTTGTCCGGCTTCCCCTAGGTACCTGGCTGGGATCCAAACTGCCCTGTCCGATCGTCCCTCCCCAACAGGTGGCCGTCGCTGCTGGGCCCGTCGTCACTGTCAGTCAGTCAGCAAGCAGCACGCACCCAGCCCCAGACAGTCCGCCAGCTTCATTCACTCCCAACCTCCAATCCTGTTACCACCACCCACCACTCCAACTCGTTTCAACGTCGGGGCAGCTGAGCTGCACACTACACACACCACCTCTCAACACCAACACTCAATCAACACCACCACCACTCGATATCAACGCGACGCAATTGTCTCGTCTCCGCGGTTTCTCGTCATTTCCTGTCTCGCTTCCTTCCCTATCTGCCATATCCATCATCTTAATTCGACCCCCTTTCTCGATCCCGAACGGGGCCGACCGCGGACCAGCGCCAATCTCGGAACCCCCTTAACCGACTTGGTCAACAATCCACAATCAATCAGCCATCCGTCCCTGGGCTGGTACGCAGTTGGCAGTTGCCGTCCTTGGCCTCTCTCTCGCCGTCGAAGCATGTGTGCCGCTACCGCCAGCCGACAATAATACCGAAACATTGCTCACCGAGTAGCCATTAGCTGCCCAGTTTCCGGGTGCCATTATCCACCCGAGATGCCCTCCTTCGCACCCGACCAGAACTCGCCAATCTACCAGCATTCCCCCGCCGTCGTACACCTCAACCCTGCCGGTCAATACGGGCAACCTAACGGCAAGGTCGATGAACACCCACTTCCTCGTCACTCTCATTCTCACACGTCAATCGAGAGCTTCGACGACGAGGGTTCCAGCCAATCGACACACACCTCTACCGACGATTTGGACATCAGCACACGATTGAATGGGGACAGTCTGCGACGACATCCCAACATGACCTCTTCGCCAAATGGAGGTGTCGATGGCGATGTGGACGGGATTAGTGGGAAACTACATGGGATGAACCTGAACGGGGCAAACAGGGCCGACGGGGGCGCCAGGCTGGGCGGCCATCAAGTCACGAAAAGCGGGAAGCCGCACCCAAACGGCAGGTTTCCCATTGCAATTCCGGACCGGACAGTCCGTCCAACTCCGGACGCTCAAGCGACACACGACCAAAAGGGTGTTTCCCTGGGCTCTGCCAACACTGTTTCAATTCATCCACCCCCGGCCAACACGGGAGACGTTCGCACCACCGAGAACGGGACGCCCACGCCCTCCGCCCACCAGACTTCCAACGGATACTTTCCATCATCACCACCAGCTCAGCGGCGTGATTCGGCACCTAGCAGCCCTTCTTCACCGCATCGTTACTCGTCGCCGCCCTTGTACAACCCTGCAGCACCCATCTCAGCCTCCACCAGTGCCCTCGCACCGCCACCCGGTCCCGGTATTAAACATCGCCATACCCTCGAAGTCCCTAGACCTTCGGGTCCTCGTGGATCCAAGGACGGCTCCGATGCTACGTATGCAACCGGTCGCTTCTCACCAACTGGCGTTGCTGGCGTACGTAGGGCGTCGCTGAATCTTGCTAGAAGGAACACACGATCTCTCCACTCGGAAATGCCTCGCGACGAAGTTGTGCCAGATGACGACGCATTGCGATGGGCCGAAGTCTACAGGGAGAAACGGGCCAGCAAGAGGAGGAAGAGAGATGCCGAAGACGACGACCGGGTTGTGGTTGGCACCAAGGTCGACGAGACACATGCCAACTGGGTCACAGCCTACAACATGCTGACCGGCATTCGCGTCTCGGTATCGCGAACGAATGCCAAGCTTGACCGCCCGCTGACGGACGCTGACTTCGAGGCCAAGCAAAAATCCACCTTTGACATGTAAGCATTTCTTGATACTTCCTTCCTCTTACACAATCTGGTATCTAACCCCTCAGAAGTGCCGGAAACGAGCTGGTTCCATCCGCCAAGTATGACTTCAAGTTCAAGGACTATGCGCCTTGGGTTTTCCGACATCTCCGCGCACGCTTCGGCCTGGATCCAGCAGACTATCTCATGTCACTGACAGGCAAGTATATACTTTCCGAGCTAGGTTCTCCTGGCAAGAGCGGCAGTTTCTTTTACTTTTCTCGCGATTACAAGTACATCATCAAGACCATTCACCATGCCGAGCATAAGTTTCTTCGCAAAATCCTCAAGGATTACTTCAAGCATGTTACCGAAAACCCCAACACCCTTCTCTCGCAATTTTACGGCCTACACCGGGTCAAGATGCCCTATGGCAAAAAGATTCACTTTGTCGTCATGAACAATCTCTTCCCTCCGCACCGTGACATCCACCAGACCTTCGACTTGAAGGGTTCAACAATTGGTCGCGACTACAGGGAGGAAGATCTCGACAAGAACCCAAGGGCAACACTAAAGGACCTAAACTGGCTTCGACGACACCGACATCTCGAACTTGGACTTCAGAAGAAGAAGATGTTTTTGGAGCAGCTCCAGAAGGATGTTCGGTTACTTCAGAAGCTACAGATAATGGATTATTCTCTGCTTGTCGGCATCCATGATCTTCAGAGAGGAAACGAGGAAAATCTGCGGGACAAGACCCTACGTGTGTTCAACCCTGGCGGTGAGCATTCACGCGAGGACCCTTCCTCCGTCTTGCTGCGGACTCCATCTAAGTTGGAGAATGCGCGGAAGGCTAGGGAATTGAGGCAGATGGTCAAATCCGAGAGGCCAGTTCCTATGGGAGAGACGAGCAGCCGGATGCCCGACGAACTTGAGCACAATCAGAGCCGCGTGGGCTTTGTTTTCAACCAGGATGACGGAGGGTTCCGCGCAACCCATGAGGACAACACCCCGGCGGATGAGATCTATTACCTCGGAGTGATTGACTGCTTGACACATGTAGGTTCATGTTCTATCTGGTCTGTATGCTGATGACGAGTGCTAACGTGATTTCCAGTACGGCATCATCAAGAAACTGGAAAACTTCTGGAAGGGCTTGTCGGGCGATCGTACTCAGATTTCTGCCCTCCCCCCTCACGAATATGGCGAGCGGTTCATCAACTTCATTGAGGGTATCACCATGTCATGCGAGGAGGCGATTCGCGAAGCCCAGGAGAGAGACGCACAGATGCAAGCAGAAGCAGCCTTGGCCGATCAGGAGCAGCAGCGGGCTGGCGCACGCAACGGTCGCTCTTCAACGACAGTACCACCCCTACCCTCTGGTGTTCAGTCACCAGAAGCCGAGGCAACGATGCAGAGGGCGGAGCGCGAGGCGTACAAGACTGGCGTATCAGAGGAGGACGTACCGACCAAGACGCTCCGGACGACGCTCTCCCCTGGCAGCATCGAGCGCAGGGACAACATAGCTAGCCAAACCAGCATCTTACCGGTGGTTGAAGAGGCTGCAGAGGGTCGGTCATCCACCGAGCAACAGGTCCACAATAGCCGAGTTAGCAACTTGGCTGGTGAAAGCGAGTACCGCCCTCTTACTCCTGCCAAGGACGGTGAGGAAAGACAGGCCGGGTTTGGTAACCCGCTCCTGAGGGGTCATGCTCGCGACTACCGAGACCCTGGGCCACCACCACCAACACCGCCCAAGACAGGGTATGGATACGGATCACCTCAGTCCCTGAAGGACGGCGCTGATAGCGGGTATAGCATTGGCCTCATGAACGGTAATAGCAATGGCAAGTCCGTCGACCTGAAGAGCTCCAGTGGCTCGCTCAGATCCAACAAGGGCGGTCACCAAATTCTTGGTCGGGAAAGCCTGGATAAGGCCCTGCCCCCGCTCCCCTTCGGCGATGCACAGACTCGGCCCCAAGGCGTGTCATAGAACGACCACACTATGACGGAGGCTAAGGGCATGACGACGGCGCTGGAGCTGAAGATGGAGATGGATAGTTCGCCGGGTTCATAGGAGTCACCGACGAAATGTGCGCGACGGAAATGGGAGGCGGTGAGGGAGAGGTTCCTGCGGGACGTTGTAGACGGAGGAGAAAGAGCCTCAGTGCTTGGTTACTAGAGTTGACGGACGGGCGAGAGAGCGGCATGATGGGGAAGAGAAGGAAGGAGAAGGACAAGGGGTTAATGCGGACGGAGCCGAGGATGAAAGGAAGATGATACGGAAGACGACGAAGACCTAATCCACAATTTCCTCTTGAACTTCGCAACGAATTTCTCTTCATCAAATCTCGCTCGGTTTCCCTCCCTCCCTGTTCTATGTATCCTTTCTTCCCGCTCCCCGGTTGACTGCTTGAGTGCACTTCATTGGTTGGCAGCGGCAGAACAAAAAGGGTAAAGGGGGGAGGCAAAGCCACAACGACAAGAACGAACAAGTCAGCAATTCAACATCACCACACCGGAAACCACAACAAACAACTATAAGCCATGATACCATACCATATTTACTGTTTGGCGTTGTCTTTTTTATATTATTTTTCTCTTTCTTTTCCTTTTGGGGGTGGGGGGAAGGATCGATCGGAGCGAGAGCAACGAGAGGAAGGAAGGATGGAAGGAGGGAAAGCATTGAATATTCTTTTAGACCTGTTTGTCAACTTTTTTTTTCTTCTACTTGACCCCTTTTTTGTTTATATTTCTTTCCCTTTGGCTTTTCATCCTACTTGTTTCTTTTGTTGATCGAATCAGTCAGCGGATCAGTGTCTTGGGAGGAAAGGAGGGAGAGACTTGTGTGTGAGTGAAGTGAGTTGAGCTTAGCCAATTAGAGCATGGGGGAGTTGAGGCGGAGGATCTTTATCTAGTGTTCTCCCAAAACCAAAATCAGATCAGACAGATATCAAGATTATAAAATGTCAATAGGTACCTAGGTTATATTCACTGTCGTCCATGGGGAATCAAGTTGTAATTGCATTGAGTACTTGTGCGGCTATGCTATGCCTGCGTCTTACGCCAGCGTCTATTAGCCATTCCTCCAGTATTTTCTACTTCGCTCGTCGTCAGACCTGACCTTTTCGCTCATCTCATGCCCGGATGTTCATCCATCCATCCATCTATCTATACGTATATATCCATGTATCCATCCGATCAAACCACCGCTCTCCCCGTATCAATAACTCTATAGCCCGAGAACCTTGAAACCAAATGCCGGAACACCTAAACTCCAGACCCAAAACCCGATGCTACTAGGTCCCAAAAGAGATCTAGACATACCAAGAGAAAACTGTATAGCACGGCCAAGAGCACCACCAACCAGCCAACATCAGCATATCCTACTACTCCTTCTTCACACTCATTATAATAATTCCCCCACTTCTCCTCTTCCTCGTTCCAAGTCCAAGTCCAACAACGCTTGCTGTCGTCGCCGTCTTCTTCGTCGAAGATAACAAAAGACAAGGACCGTGGTGCTGATGATAGCGAGGGCGATGGTAACAAGGCAGAGGAAGAAGACCGTCGTCTCGATGTAAACCCAACCAACCCAAACAGCCACTCGTTCCCTCCCCACGTACCAAAACTCCACCATTGCAAAAGCAAGTGCTATTTTGGGGGAATGATACCAAACGGCGCGGGGTAGTGATCGTAGTGCATTTTTGGTTAATACCCGTAACCGGGACTTCTAGTCGGCTTTCTCTAATGGGCCCCCTAGCCCAGCTTGGGAAACGGTGCTTTGTGATCTCCCATGGCCTTTACCGCTGCCGCTGCCGCTGGCGCCAGACATGGTGACCATTTCGTAATCTCCTCCCAAATCGCCCCTCGATCCCCGCTTGGTCCTCCCTCCTCCTCCTCTTAATCCTGTGATAAAGCCCTGTTCTTCGTCTCCTTGTCCTGTCCCCTCCCCGTCTGTGATGCTGTTGTTGGCGTTGTTCGTGGTGTTTCCGCCACCGCCATGTCCACCAAAAGCAATAGGCTGCAGCTCCCTGTATCGACACCCCCATGAGCCGAGCAAGAAGGAAGCCAGGGACGAAATGGCCATGGTCAGCCACCAGGCTGTGTGGCGGGGTAAGGTGTGGTCGGGCGTGGTGTAGAGAGTGACGATGACGAGGTGGATGAAGTGCGTGGTGAGGGCAAAGTCGAGAATGAGCTTGGAGCGTTGGACGATGGCTGTCAGGGAGAGGGGTCTGTTTTTTTTTGGGGTTTTGGTTCCGTGTTAGAGTTGGCAAATCAAGGACGAAAAAGGCAGGAAGGCAGAGAGAGAAGAGAGAGAGTACTTACAGCACCAACCCGCCCACTAAACACCAAATAAACCCGTTCAACCACCCCTGTGTGTTATCCCCCCTTACCGCGTCCCACCCGAACACCAAGTCCAGCGTGAAAGGATTTCCAGCTACGGCCGCCGTGAAGAACATGAGCACCAGGGCGGCAGTGTAGTAGATTGCTTGTAGCGCGGCGATCTGGCTGAGGATCTTGAGGGGCGGAAGCTCGGTTAGGGCGCCGGAGCGCGGGGGACGGCGGCGGCGGGGCATTGTGGTTGATGATGCTTCAAGCTGTGTGTGATGCCGGATTCGGCAGAATGGTAACTATGATTGTTCGCGATGGACTTTTTATTCGGCGCAGTAATCGGTCATCGACTTTGGAACTTGGTGGTTGTCTAGCTCGTGGGTGGTGATTGAAGGGAGCTAGGTCGGAGGGGACGCTCGTTCGGTGTGAGGAGGTGTCGGTTCGTTTAATGATGACTCGAGCTTGTCGTTAAGCCGCAACTGTTTGTTGCTACTGTATCCTCTCTTGGTTCCTCGTAGTGATTCTCCGCTAGAAACCATGAATGGAAAAGACTGTGGAAAGATGGTATGTTAAAGTTCAGGTTTGCGATCAACGGACGAAAGCCATCATGGTCACAGCACTGACAGCACTCACTCACCACATTGCAGTTGACAGCCCCAACAGTGTCGCATCCATTCGTTCCACGCACGGGCAGGGGCCGACCCTGGTCCCTGCGTCCGCCCCGTCCGCTGCAAGATTACAGGGCACGTGCAGGGTTATCAATGGGGTGGAATCCAAAATTACCAAAAGTCCGGGGTTAGTGGTGGGAGGGAAGAAAGGTACATACCTGTACCTCTGTACCTTTTTGACCGCCCAACTTGGATGGAAGCTCAGCTCAGTCAAGGAGCCCAACACAAACCTAAGCTCCAACTGAGGTACCTACCCGGTACTAAACTACTGATAGCGGGCCAAGAGCTCGATAAGCTTCCATCCCAGAAGCTTGGCTCGGGAATCATTCGCGAATTCAATCCAAAGTTCAAGTTGCCCAAGTTTCCGGTTTGCCAAACCTACGTGAACAACCACTGCATCGCAATCATCAACGTCTACTCTTGCCGCCCCGACCGGCTCCCTAAGAACACACCAAATCCCGACTCCAACCCGAAACGACCGCAGCACAGCATTCACAATGGTCCTAGGCCTCTTTGAACAATCCGAAGCCGACAAGCGCGCGGCCGAGGTACGCGCGGGCACCGTTGCGCCCACACGCTCCGAGCGCCAAAAGTGCTGGATGGCGCGCGACGGCTACTTTGCCTGCTTGGACCGGAACAACATCATTGACGCCCTCAAGGACGAGAAGGCGGCCGCGAAAGCGTGCAAGGCCGAGAGCGCCGAGTTTGAGAAGGATTGCGCTGCTCAGTGGGTGAGTAGTAACTTTTGACTTACTCTTTTTGTTTATTTTATGCTTTCGGGGAAGCACTTTTGGAATGGAGGATGTGATAGGATGTGGTGGGACTGGGGGTTTGGGGAGGAATAGGAAGAGGAGGATGAGAGAGAGGTATCTGGGACAAGCAGTCGACAAGGAACAACAATCAGAGAATTCCCAACTCCCAGAAGGAGGGAAGGAAGGGGCTCCAGAAAACAATATCAAGCCTCCTAAAGGAGAGCAAAACGAAAACAGCCAACAGCCTGCCTGCCTGCCAGCCAGCCAGGTCAGGCAACGGAAGGATAGGCATTTCAAACAAGACAGCAGCGCATTCTATACACACACACACACACACACACGCTAGCTAACCTCTCATTCTCTCCCCTACAACAGGTTACATACTTCAAGAAGTGGCGCGTCCAAGACATCCAAAAGAAGGCTCGTCTAAAGGAGCTCGAGGCCCAGGGCGCCGTCAAGATGGACGTCAACACCGACTTCAAGGCCCGCGAGTAAATCGATTCCGTCCTGATTCGACTCGGTTCGGTTGTCATCGTTCCGGAAAGCGACTGATCAGGAAAGTTGGGGTGGGAGAAAGAGAAAAGAGGAGGGACGTTGTAAAGATAGTGTGTACTTGGTGTATGTACCGTATATATGCATGGGATAAGGCGTTTAAATTTGAGTTGATTGGGTATCTAAGGGGGGAATTCCGGTTTCCAACATTGGTCAAGTCGGGTTGTTTCACTGGTATGGCCTGCTGATTGAACGACGTCATGGTGAATATGTTGATGATGGATGGTTTTGACCTAGTGAGTGTTGATTGTGGGAATGTCTAAAAGGGCTATCAAGGTGCGTCTCTCCGATATCCAGACACCAACCTACAATCTGCTTTCCGAGAGACAGCCACACCAAGAGTTCACTAACCAACAGTCAAGTCCTCAGCCGGTCAGGCGCCCATCAGTCTCCTGCCTCCTGGCTCGAATGCCTCGTAGGTGTATGGATAATAGTCTGAGTCGACCCCGAACGCTGCATCACTCCACCAACTTCATCCTTGTCCAACTGCACCTCATGCTCACCATGATCTACAGCGTCATCAGTAACCTTGACATAATACCCAGCATGTTCGCAATGCGTGCATTCACAGGTAGACGGTGACGTGTCCGAAGGGTACTCATCACTCGGGTCCCCATCATTTCGGAGAGTGAGATTGCTACCTCTTCTCTCCTCCGTCTCTGTCCACTCCGGACTTTCCCCGTCGTCCTGTGTACTCATATCCTCCCCATTTCGACCTCGACCAAAATATCCTCCCTGTTCCCTGAGACATTGATTCACGCGGTTCAGATTCGGCGGCCATGAAAGCCGGGGGGTTTCCGCATTGGCGCCGCCCCCGGGACTCACGTCATCTTCGCGAGCCCCGGTCAACCTTGGGGATTCCAAATCGTAAAGACCGGGAGAACTCGACCGCTTTTCCAAAGGACTTTCATCACCCTCATCATCCTCTTGGTTGTCGTTATCCCAGGAAGCGTTCCATATTTCTGACAAGCGGCGAGACGCCGGTCTCTTCGCGCGAAACGATGATGACCCAAACGGTCCTTGAGCCGTAGGCGTCCCTGTGCCAGGTCGGTTAGTACCTACACCTACGCCTGTTTGTTGTAGGGCGGGAGAGTTCACGGGCGGAAGGGGTGCTTCTCGGTGTCCAGCCCAGAGCTGGTTCCCCGTCGAAGACCTCCTTGTCGGCGTGGGCGAGAGCCCGCTTTTTCCTGCCTGCATGACAAAACTGAAAGGCGTGCTTGAGAGGGGTCCCACCATGGACATGGCGCGCCTCTTCCGTCTACCAACAGCAGTTTTGATCGGTGGCAGGGGAGGAATCTCTTCTTCTTCTTCGTCCGCGTCTGTCGAGCTGCTGACACTGATCTGTGAAGCTTGAGATAGAGAATGACGACGACTATGACCGCTACTTCCCAGTGAAAGCCGGTCCAGCTCTCCGGTTGCGATCATCACGCCGGCAATGGCAAGCAGCTTAGGGGAGTATTCTTGCGCTGGAGCGTTGCTGAGTGGCCCGGCCGCGCCCGTTCCCAAGTCCGAGAATACCCCGACGTCTTCGCGATTTAAGCGGCGGCGATTTCTGGGATCCCGGACCCTATGGATGTCCAGCTGGGGTTCACATGGGCAAACGGATTGAGAGCGTTGGTATACGTCTTTGAAATGATGGTGCGGACAGTGAACCTTGGGGCCGTCTGTTCGCCTGCGTGGTAGACCTGGACGTTCGGCTTCCTCGTCCTCATCTCTTCCCAGATCTGGGCAAGAACACGTGTCGAGTGATTGTTTGCGACTGCCGCCGTTTTGGGTCTGGCCGGGTGAGGATCGTCTCCCGAGGTCGTCATCAGGGGACTCGTCATCGGGGGACCTTGAGCTTTTGGATCTGTCGAGGCCAGGGGCACCCTCGTTCCACTTGACGAGGCCATCTTGCGTCTGCCATCCACTATTGAAGGCAAATGTTGCTGTCCTTCCTGTGCCATGGCTACGAGAAGCGTCAGAAGGCGTGCACCTTTGAGACCTGGAGGAGTTGGGCGTTGAACCACGATGCAATATTGAGCTGATATCGGGTGTTACTATGCGACGGATGGATGGTCGTTCCTCCTGCTTCTCGGTGCTTTCAGGACGGCTGCTGAAAGCCCCGTCCGTTCCTGTGCTCTTTGTGCCCCAGATCGTAATGCCCGTTGTATCTGTCTGCAGCTGGGTGGTACTGGACGTCCATACGCAGGTTTCCAATCGTGCGGACATGTCGGACTGTGCGGCTTCGTGTTTTCGGAGGAGGTAGAGGTTGATGTCTGGATTATTGAGGCTTGTGGGTGTTTGAGATTTGTGGAACTCGGGCGTGTTTCTCAGACAGGATCGCAGAAGTTGAACCGCTGCCACGCTTGCTAAACCGCCCACCACGTATGGCACGTCAGCGGGAGAATCGTTCTCGGACACTGTGCCGCGCCGGGACAGAGTTGAGGGTAAAGGAGGCAACTGCCTGAGATACGGGTGAGGAAGTAACGGCCTGGGGAGCTCCCAATCATCGAGCTCAGTTTTGCGAAGGTCGTCGTACATGGTATCGGTGTTGCGATCTAGGTTTCGTCGGATCCTGATGACCTCCGCGTACGTCAAGCTCCCGGGGGAGCATGAAGCGGATACAACAGGGGAGGAAAGATCATCCATCTTGAGGCATCGAATGGTGGAGTACTGGCGCAAGGGATGAGAAGGACAGGCTGCAGATGCTCAATCTGAATGCTTTTATAAGGATGCACAGGAAATGAAACGAGGTAAACCCGGGACGTGGTGCTGGCTTAGGGGACAGTTTCTCTCGCGGGCGGGAATTGCAGAGGTTGGATTAGAAAGTGAGTCGGACATGGAGTGGCAGATCTCTGACTGACGAGACGTAGGCTTTGCTGCTGTTGCCTTTTGATACACGGAACCTTCCAAGTTATCAATACGGCAAGAGCCGCTCCTGTCATTTTCTCGCGAGACGTCTACTCTTCAATCTCCCACCCACGCCGACCGGACCATTCACAGGTAGATTTCCTGTCATATTCAATCTATCGGCATACAATGCCTAGTCCGACAGCGCAATCCATGCCTTGAAAGCTTACGGAAACAATAGAGCAATAAAAGGGTAAAAAAAAATTAGTGACAAGCCAGTTACCCATCCTGGATATGCGATCTCTATTCTTCCCCCCAGTTCGGTCGTGTGCCTCCTACACTTCCCTTAGACGTTGCTTTGTTTCCCGGACTGGAAGAACTGCAGTGTTCCTCCAGGAGCGCCCTTCTATTTCCCCGTATCCCCTCGAGCTGCTACTAAGCGTTGTGGCCTGCTCTAGTCACAGTCACGAGGGCCGAAGAATATCGCATTTCCTTAGGGAATGGGCCCTCAGAACGCGGGTGGGTTTCTCGCTAAACAAGTGCTCGTTGTGAGGTTCGAACTCCCTGCCTCGCGAGTCCCCAGTCCCTCGACGAGTTCGGCAGTAGCGGTCTAATATTAGACCGCTACGCCACCTGAACACTTTGGTGGACGGGTAACTTGGCTTGTCGTGTGATGGAAGGAGGGGACGGAAGCTAAGGTTATGAACGGCGGTACAGTGAAGGGCGGGAAGGTGGTCGGTTAGATCTTTGGGCCCTTGGGGAAGGAGCGAGGCTGGGAGGGCGGTTGTCATCGGTTGGAGCATTTGTCATCTTACCTCGAGGCCCTCGGTTTCATTCTCTGAAGAAATGCAATCAAGTAATAGAAGGAAAGCACGATAAACTGATACCGCACCTTCCTGCGCTACTGCTCCTATCCTCCTCGAGGCACGGCAGAGTGATTCAGGTCCCCTCCTTTGCCCTCATTAGGCGCTCGGATATCATGGATCCGTTTCTTTGTAAAACTGCCATCACAAAGTTGGCCAAGTCCAAAATGGTACTTGGCTTCGTTACCTGTTCAACCCGCAGTTATATGTAACTTGCTTTTGCGCAGGTTTGAATTATTTGACTTGTTCGGAGCACAGAGAGTTTGGACCATGACCACCAAAGCAAAACGGCTTCTCATGTGAAACACCTCGCTTAATGTCACAGCAAGAATTGCTAACAACAAGATAAAATGAGTTGGCAACTTAAGCTGTGAACTCGACCCAGGTTGGACCAGGTTTGGACGATATTTGCTTTGTTCGAATATGCGCCAGTTTTGCTTGCTTGCGTCCAGTTTGATCATGAGTGAAGCACTGTAGTATCTTCATCCTCTTTAGATAACGCAGTATATTTCACATGGATGCAGTAACCGATAGTGCCTGTCTTTGCACACTGGAACTCGTCTTCATGGGGACAGCGCGGAGTGATGCGGGTATCCTTCTTTGTCTTATTCAGCCTTCGAATATTCTAGGTTTGTTTGTAACCTACCTTGAGTTCTTATTCTCCAACCTGAAATGCATTGAGATCCATCGAAGCTGCGCGGACATATTTACAAACGTGTATATGATATCAGTCACATCCCTATCACCTCTTGGCTCAACGTTTGTTCCAACTCGGGTTTGTTTTGTTACCCCTTTTCCAGTGGCACACGTATAACCCTAACCCAATCCGAACGGTGATGGATTGCCTCGGGAAGTAGGTACCCTGGGAATCGGAATGCTCGGCAAACGGCGGTCCATGGCCGTAAAATGACGGGGTTCCAGCTCCGAGGTCAGTGGCTGACAGCTCCTCACAACGGGGGGAAACAGCGGGAACAGCAGCCTTTGATTGCTACAACAACAGTGGAAAACATTAGCCTCATGGGCGGAGATGCACCGAAGCCGGACTTTAGCTGTATTTGGATTGTGACTTTTATAAATAAAAACTGACGTAACAGAACTTGGGATTGATCTCGAAAGGTTACAATTAAGTGTTTTTCTAGTCACTGTTTGATACCCGCTGTTCTCATCAATTATCAGACATGTCTCGGATTCTCGCCAGGAGATGCCCTCAAGGGCTTCTGCGTCAGGCCTTCTCGGCGCCGCGCACCAACGTCACCACCACTCCTGTCCGTGCCTTTGCCTCTGCCACCTCCAACGCTCCCTCTTTCAACTGGGAAGACCCTCTCAACCACAAGGCTCTCTTGACCGAGGATGAGATTGCCATCGGTGAGACCGCCGAGCGTTACTGCCAGGAACAGCTTTTCCCCCGCGTGCTACAGGCCTACCGCGATGAGCACTACGACCCCAAGATCCTCGAGGAGATGGGCGATTTGGGCCTGCTGGGCGCTACCATTGAGGGCTACGGCTGCGCCGGCGTCTCCTCCGTGGCCAGCGGTCTGATCACCCGCGCCGTCGAGCGCGTCGACAGCGGTTACCGCAGCGGCATGTCCGTCCAGTCCTCGCTCGTCATGGGGCCTATCAACGACTTTGGCACCGCGGAGCAAAAAGAGCGTTTCCTGCCCGGCATGGCCAAGGGCAAGATCATCGGGGCCTTTGGCCTGACTGAGCCCAACCACGGCTCTGATCCGGGCTCCATGGAGACCGTCGCCCGTCCCCACCCTACCAAGGAGGGCGTCTACCTACTCAGCGGCGCCAAGACCTGGATCACCAACTCGCCCATCGCCGACGTCCTGGTCGTCTGGGCCAAGCTGCAGGAGACAGGCAAGATCCGTGGCTTCCTGGTTGAGCGGTCTGCCTGTCCGCCGGGTACGCTCGAGACTCCCCAGATCAAGAACAAGACGGGTCTGCGGGCCTCCATCACGGGCATGATCCAGCTAGACAACTGCCCGGTGCCCAAGGAGAACATGTTCCCCGAAATCGAAGGGCTCAAGGGCCCTTTCACGTGCCTCAACAGCGCCCGCTTCGGTATCGCCTTCGGCATGATGGGCGCGCTCGAGGACTGCCTGGCGCGGGCCCGCACCTACGCCCTCGAGCGCAAGCAGTTCAAGGGCAACCCGCTGGCCAAGTACCAGCTCGTGCAGAAGAAGCTGGCCGAGGCGGCCACCGACGTCGCCTACGGTACCCTGGCTGCCATCCAGGTCGGCCGCCTCAAGGACGAAGGCAAGGCCACGCCCGAGATGATCAGCATGATCAAGCGCCAGAACTGCGACCGCACCCTGTACCACGCCCGTACGCTGCAGGAGATCTTTGGTGGTAATGCTGTGTCAGATGAGTACCATATTGGCCGTGTTGTTGCCAACTTGTATGTAACGCAGACGTATGAGGGCCAGAGTGATATTCACAGTAAGTTTGACCATCCGACTGGGAGAGGTCGGTGAAGTGAAGATGCTGACTATTTGATTTAGGTCTCATTCTGGGACGGGCTATCACTGGTGTTCAGGCTTTCGTGTAAGACGGTGTAAAAACAGCTTCTTCATTTCAGCGAGGTTTGTTGTTTGGGATTGAACAGGAGCGTATTGTCATATTTTATGTCCAGTACAGTAACAAATTTCGGTGTTTGAATGGATACCACAAATAGTTTAACCGCGCGGTCACGAATGCTTCCACATGCACACTTGGTTTGCTCTTTTTACCTATTTCAGACAGAAGCCAGAGCATTCCTTCCCTTCGGTTATTCCCCTGGTTTGATTCACGAAGGGGTCCAGAAGCCAGTTTCCCCAAAATGACGACACTTGCCTCACCAGGCAGAAGTGGCCCGCCCATACAGGCTAGGTAGCCACCCATGGGATGATAAGTAATGCTCCTCCAAGGCACATCATTAGCAGAAAGCCCATTCCAATGATACCTCGTCCAATCTGGAAAGTTGCTCAGCAAGCTTGACAACCTGGAAGATTCCCTAAGGGGCATTCATTTTCTCAAAGCAAGAACCGCTTCAGTGGCATTGCAACTGTCGCGTTCTCAACACAACAGAATCGCACCGCTCTTCTCACCATCCGCCCGCGCTTGCTAAAGACAAGAACAATGTCATTGCTCAAGGGTGTGAATTGCTCTCCATGCAGTCCAATTGCACATCAGAATGAGCGTAGTTCCATGTGTGAAGCCCGGCCTTCGTAGTTGCCATCCAGCTGTGGTGGTTTGATGTCGTCTCGTGTTTAGGATCTTGACTTTTGGATGGGGCTACCACCCAGATCACGAGTCCAAGTTCGCAAGCATGTTCCGTTTGATGCGTCATTTGGCACCACACCTCGGCAGTCCGACCTCGTTCTAGAAAACAACTTGTCACGGTCTAGACGGCCATGTTACCTTACGCATACTGCCCATCGTGCTCAAATGTGATCAGCTTCTCGTTGCGAATTCAAGACCTACATAAGGTTTCAAGATTTCCACCTATTCAGGAGTGTTATATCTTCTCCAGCATCATCACCACACGCAATAGCGCTCCAACCGATCCAAACTCAACAAATACAACAACCCAATTTCAGTATTCCCACCGGGATCGATTCAAGAAAGAGAAAGTCAAAATGTGCGGCCAGATAAAAACCAGCTACAAATGTCCCGACTGCTCCGACGTAGTCTCCACCAGCAGCGAACGCCTGACGTGCGCAAAGGCAAAATACTGGGGCTCCTGCGGTGATATCCGCTCCGACAACAAGGAGGTCAGCAAGCAGGCTGACAAGTCATGCTCGAGCTGCAAGAGAAAGAAGGAGGCCGAGGAAAAAAAGAAGAAGAAAGAGAGGGAGGAAGCAGCAAGAAAATAGGGAGGATGCCGTAGGTACCCACCTTAGTGAGGGCAGCCGCCCAGCTGAGATTACCCTGAGTTATGGTCAGTGGGAATTAGCACTTTGAGTACGTACCTAGAGGTAGGGTCGAGGGAGGCTGAAGGAATTGAGTGATGGGAAAGAAGGAATCGAGAAAAGAAGGATCTTTCCATTTCACAACGACTGGAACCACACTGTACTCTTCCCACCATCCGCCCGCGGTTGCCGTGACAAGGACGATGCCTATTGCCCGGTGGTGTGACTTTCCTTGTAGCCCAACCGCACATCAGAATAAGGTGGTTCCATGTGTATGTGTGATGCCCTCGCAGTTGCTGTTATGTTAATGCTCGGCTTGCCGGTTATTGATGCCTTCAGTTCTTGTGCTTTCTGTTCCGCACCTTGGACAGGTAGTCGACGGCCGAGTGTATTCATAGATGAGTTGTCTTGTTGGCATATTGTTGGTTGATTGGGTTCGCTATCCCGGTTCTTATATGGCTTTGTCTTGTGAACATGAGATACGGGTGTCGCGCTGTTTTTGGCTTGCGATGGTTTGGATACATGATCTCGTATTGGATCGACGGTCGTCCTTTGTTCTCGATGATCCTGCACCGTAAAGCGCTTGCCTTGTCGTCGATCTGCACCGCTCTTGAAGTTCCGATTCAAACGGCGCCCTCGGGAACATGTAATCCGCCCTCCAAAACTTGTCGAAGAACGGTGTTAGGGGGACCTGCTGGTTAGATTTCTAGTCATGTCATCGTTGGGTCTTTTGGTCTCTGGCAGGAACGTTCTGTTGTCGATAGAGGTAAGAACCTGCGGCTGCTGGTCAGCTGTTGCGTTGTGGTGTACCTCGCTGTATTGCGTCGTGCATCCCGGACTCAAATGGTCGTTGTTTCCTCAGTTCTCAGAAAAGCCGAATTGGTGATGCCATGTTGACTGGATCGAACGTATCTGTGTTGCTTGTCGCGGAAGGCGCATTACCGTTCGTGAAGATGGGGTCATGTGTGTCAGGTCAGCTCCCACCAGTATATATATCTCTCTGCTCCCCGACCTCTGAACTCTTTTTCTTTCCTTTCCTTCCCCAACATAGCTTACGCCGGTTCTGTCATGCGCTCAAGAATCCATGGCAGGCATCTCACTTTGGTGGGATGGGCCCGTAGTTTAGCTACCGCACAATTTTTGGTGTCACACTCTCGTCTTTGACGAAACAAACACAAACTTTTTTTCGTTGCTCTCGTTGGGATGTGTTTCACCGTCCTGGCGAAGTGAAGAAGAAGATCTCCTGACTCAGTCGGTGTTCGTATTGTTGGAAGTGGTTGGCATGGGTGGTGGGGGCCGTGATCCTGAATTGAAGTCTCTTGCCGGTCAGCTGGTGATTTCTCGGTTTGAGTCGTTCCTTAACAAAGAATTGCCATGTTCCTATTGTGCCTTGTACGTCTGCTTTCCGAGTATTGATAACTGTCTCCAAACGTCGTGGTGTCGTTAATGTCGGTACATCGGTGAAAGTGATCGGTTGAGCGGCCGCCTGTTGTACCTGTGGTATGCCGTGAACCTCGACATGTCGTCGTAACAGATTTCAGTTTGTTAGTAATCTCGATATGGCCCTTTTAGTGAACTGATAAATCGAGGAGGAGGTATAATTCTAATGGGATTTGTTTGTCGGTTCCCAAAGTATGCTGGCATCATCTTTGAGGGGAGTGTTAATTTGTCGATGTGAAAAACACAAAAGTCGGGACCGTTGAATGAAGGAAAGGAACAAGAAGAGGACACCCTGAGAACATGAAGGGGAGAACGAGTATTTATTCTTTAACTGGACAAGAGAAATGTGGTCATGCAACACCATCTGCGGAGGCATGAATTCTGGACAATTTCCAAGTCCGAGGATGCATGATAGAAGTTAAGCCCTTAAGCATCATGCACCCAACTGTGAGATACCTGCAGCCGAATATTCACGAGCACAATGAAATGACCCTTTCATGTACATTGTTAGTCTAATTACCTAGGTATTGGTTTTTGAGCATAATGTCACATTTTTTGATGACTTTCTCGTGGAGTGCATTGCGACGGAGGTCCGACTTGCGCCTGAGAATATGCAACATGATGGATGAGCCGGACTTGATGCATAATCACCTTATACAAAGCCGCTGCATTCGCCTACCTCTTCCACTTGATTTAATGCCCGGATCATCATATATTCACTGTCTGTTTGTACTCTTGTGGTTGGATGTCTCCGGGGCCGAGAGGTGCACCGCTGCTTGCATATTTGGCACGCCCAAGACCTGAACCCCAAACTCGGAGCTGACCCGGAGAACAGTTTCAACAACCATCGTGTGAATATCTGGAGCATGCCCTTTGGTTTTAGCAGAGCCTCGGTTTTGAGAGACACGTATAACCGGTTCCCTCTTCCTTAGTTCCAGATCAGCCTAGCTAAGTACTGTACTTGTCGGCCCCCAAACACATTTCATCCATGGTCAATACCTTTTCCACCCAAGTCTTCGACTTGGAAAAGAGTGACTCCCCGATTCAGTAGTTTGGACAGGTTTTGAGCGAAAGTGGCGTCTCGAATAGGTAGTGGAAGGCTTCATTCAGTTGCATTGATGTTTATTCATCGCACTCAACGTTCCAGTCTGGCCGTCGTCGCCGTCGGTCGTCGTTGGTCGTCGGTTGTCAGCTTTCCAGCTGCACCGGCCGGCAAGTGGTGCCGGCGGGAGTCTTTAGTCTCGGAATGAGCTCGGCCATTGCGGTGGCGGTGCACTGACGATGACGAGGTAAACCAGTGGCGCTGTCCTTTTTGGGCTCAATGATTGGTCAGCTCTGGGGCGTCAAACCACCCCTGCCGGCATCCGATCTGAATTGCCAGCCGCCCATGCTGCCCAGGCCAACAGACATCGGCAGGCGGTCATGCAGCAAGAGTCTTGAGTGGTCGGCCACGGACAGCGCCATCGGCGGGCAGTGGGCAGAGCGCGCCGTAGTTACAAGAGCCAGAGAGAGACTGCCCCTGCCGTGGGACTGGTCGGGTGGGTGGGACAACCTCACTGGGCCGGGGGGACTGGCTTCCTCAGGCTCCCGTCCCGCCCGCTGGCACCTGAACGGGAACCCACCTTTGTTCGCCTGATCCTGATCCATTTCCCCCCCTCCGCCATTCCATCCTACTCTCCTGCAACCGACTTCGACATCAACTAGTTTGCATCCCGTCACCATCTTCTCGCCTGTTGACGAAACCCACCCCAATACCCGTGGTGTGACTCAGCGATATAGTGCTTTTTGCTTTCCATCTTGTAAGTCGAACCGACCGCCGTGCTCTCGTCCGCTGCCCATTCGTGATCGACTTTTTTTTCTCCCGTTTGCACGACCGACGTGCCCAGAGTATTATCGCAGCAGCAGCCGCCAGCCCAGCCTTGATTCACTCACTGCCCACTGCCCATTCATTCCGCTTCTTTGCTCTTCCACCGCCCGCGAACGCTGACCCTGACCCTTTAAAACTTGCAGCCACACTCCGTGTCGTCAACGCAACAGCGATTACGACAACCACAACCACCCACCTTTACACAACTAATATCACACAATGGCGTTGAAGCGCATTAACAAGGAGCTCGCTGATCTCGGCCGGTACGTAAACACGAATCCCGCTAGCCCTTTGCCGTCTCGCGCGATGCCGCAAAAGCGTCATTCCGGCGCAAGGTTCAGTGGTGGGGCCGCGCTGGCGGGGTTTACGCCGCTGCCGTCGCCGCCGCCGACCCTCGCGCCGTCTCGAACCGCTTCCGCAGACGCCAGAGATGCATTCCGTTTCTGCTGTCGGATAAGATGCTGACGTGTTGTTGTCTGTAGCGATCCGCCCTCCTCTTGCTCTGCTGGCCCTCAGGGTGAAGATCTTGTATGGATAAGCCACCCCGCTTTTTCGATAAGCACGGCTCGACCCCCGGCATCGCGTCATGACCTTTGCCGTGGATCGAACCGTGGCATCTTGCTCGTGAACGGACATACTGACATGCTCGATTGAATAGTTCCACTGGCAAGCGACCATTATGGGCCCTGCCGACTCCCCCTACACCGGCGGCGTTTTCTTCCTCAACATTCAGTTCCCTACCGATTATCCTTTTAAGCCTCCCAAAGTCAGCTTCACCACCAGAATCTACCACCCCAACATCAACTCGAACGGCAGCATCTGCCTCGACATCTTGAGGGATCAGTGGAGTCCGGCGTTGACGATCTCCAAGGGTATGTTTCTCTGTGTCCATGCTCTTCTAGCGCCCATATGGTCCTTCGGCTGCTGACAACTGTGCAGTTCTGCTCTCCATCTGCTCGATGTTGACGGATCCCAACCCTGACGACCCGCTTGTGCCCGAGATTGCGCACGTGTACAAGACAGACCGCGCCAGGTACGAGGCGACGGCTCGCGAGTGGACCCGGAAGTATGCTATCTAGAGTAGATAATGGGATGGATTTATGGCCGACAAGCAGCGCTGGATCGTTTCTTCAACGTTTTGGCCCCTCTTTTGAAGGGGCACCCACATATTCACCATGGGAGCACGAGTGTATTGTGGTTCCGGTTCGCGTCCTACATTCCTCCAGGCCCAGAGGGAATTCCCAGCTCTCTCCAGTGCGAAAGTTGCAAATGCCATTCGAGCGGCTCGAAACGGTGGAGGATGTGGGTGTGGCACAGCAAGCGGTGTCTTTCGATGTCACGACAAGGGGCGGGGCGGAATCAGCAGGTGCAAGATGCAACCATTCAGTACCGGCACTCAAGTTTCTTTGCTCGCATCACGTTATTTACAAAGGTCTGCAATACCAAGGGGTTCCAGTACAATAGCATTCTGTCTTTCCCTCTATCGTTTCTGATGTTTGGCCTGTGCTCTACCCGTGAATGACGTCCTCCATGTGCGAGTGTTTGCAACTAATGAGCCCCCTACTGACCTTGATAGCTATTTAAAGTAGCTGAAGTTTGGTCGGATGACGTGCGCGAAACTTGTCATGTCCTCGACATGTGGTTCACAGGCCCAACAGGCTGTCCAGAAAACGGGTAGGTGACTGAGTAGCTGTCATATCTTTCATGTGGATTGCGAGACAATGCCTTTTATCACAGGCCATGATAATGAACTTGTAGGTTCCCAGGCTCACTGAAGGGCAGTCAGAGAGAATGTGGACGGACATATCTACAAGAAGTCGATGGTACCGGACGGCAACGACTTGCCGGCGTTGGGACCTTGTGTGCCCGGCTCATCGGGCTGACCCTCCCCGCGGTTACGCTAGTTGCGGTCATGCTGAACAGTGACCCAGGGCATGCATGCTTCCAAGTCCTCAAACTGAACTGAGGCGATAACGGGCTGGTTTGAGGGTTCGGCGCTTAGAAGTTTGGGTTGAGGTTGCACGGGGTCGGGCCCGCACAATGAACAGTAACCCGATGGCAACAAGGCCTCACTCAAGGTTATTGCGCTTTGAAATCGAACACCAAACCAGACATTTAAAGTACGAACCAGTTCTTGATTCCGGTGTCCGCATCATAGAACAATCGATCCAAATCTAAATGGTGAAGGGTTGTGAAGACCTCTCTTTCTGGGCATTCGATGCTTTCAGTTGAGACTCGCTGCTCGGGCCTTGAGAGAGCCCCTAAAGTAGAATGCCAAGACTCCCCTATCAAATGTGTCATGATCCTGGCCGAAACGGGGAATGCAACACGGGCTGAACCGAATGAGCAGCCTTTGACCAATCACAGAACAGTAGCATGATTTTTATGGGGCCTCTGAGCAATGTGGCCATGTCTCCAAGTCCCCAGAGACTTTGCAGTCTTCAAGTTCAGTTGTCTGTGTGTCTCCGTCTCCGAACAACGTAACGTCCTTGATCCCATCCGCCTCGACTGGGCAGTCTAACTAGACTCTAAAGAGTCTGAAGCACATTGGTTCAGACAGGAGGTTTATGTATCCAGAATGGCGCCATTTATCACCTGCCACTTCACGCCAGGCACTTCTCTTGTAGGTTGCTGCCGCGATGCCCTGTTCAAAACACACTGGTCTTCTCGGGCGCCACACGAGGCACAGAAACAGATCTCGGCGTTTAAAGCGACTTGACTGGAGAGACACGGAAAACGGCCGTCCGGTCGCAGTCACTTGTGTGTTTTCATTCGCTGTGGCGGCGACCAAAGCACACTGGGAGTGCCTGGTGCTCCCATAGCACCCATTGCTTCCTAACAACGCCAGTGACACGTTCGGCAGGGTCGCTCGTTTCAACACTGATGAACCTGGGTCTGAAGTTGCATAGGATCCCATGCTTTCCATCATTCGATTTTCTCGGTTTCTTTTTCTCATTTCTCTTTGATGGTCCCCTGAAAAGCCCCTGGGAGGTTCCAGACTTGGGAAAGCCTCAGTCCCTGGTCCATACAACTCTACGTCACTTCAGTCTGTGCCCCAAACACTCTGTCGAGTCATTTCTTCTGCTTGTACACTTTGTTGCCTTCTTTCCTCTTCTCACCTACTGAATCAACACACTTCGGGTCGTTTTTGCCATTGAGGCTTCAGTGCTCCGGTAGGTGAAAGAGAAACAGCCGCCAGGTGCAGGCATTCGTAGTACAGGTATGATGTACCAGAAATCGCCTCATGTTTTATGATTCTCCGACTCTGGTCCGCTTGGCGTCACTGTCTTAACCACACCTATTCTTCCTCCTAGCCTCTTTGCTCCTCCCCTCCTCTTTTTCGTTGCTGCAGAGCTTTATTCACATAGAGCTTGTAATTGCTGACCGACACCACTTTAACGTGGCAGTTACAGGCTCATACCATTACATTCTTTCACAGACAATCTTGTTATCATTCTCGTCTCTCACTCACTTAATACTCGTGTCTCTCGATCAGTTCAGCAGGCTCTGACTCCCGAGGACCAATCCATCAGAATTCAACATCTATTTTGCAACTTGCTTGAGTGGAACGGAAAGAGGAAACCTCCTACCAGGGTCTACGACATACATCTGAAGGGCTGAAAAGGGAGTGAAATTCAAGTTCGACGGAGACAACGGTTGGAATACGAATATCACACGCGAATATTGCGACGACAACGAAAGATGAGTTACGGGGGGTACGACCTGTACAGGTCGAACACGGATTCGTCGATCGAAAAGCCGTCAGAGAGGTCAAGATGGACGCCACTTACTCGCATGCTACTGTCGGGTGAAATGACCCAGGAAAGGCAAAAGGAGCTGAGTCCAAGGGAAAAGTTCGACCGATGGATGGTCAACGAGGGCTATCGACGAATGTAAGCACGAATCTTTACTGTCCCTTGGACTGCCGGTGGCTTGTTGGGACGAGGGAAGAGAATGGAATGCTGACTGTGACAGCTTCGTCTTTGTTTTTATGGTGCTCCACGCCATCGTCTTTGCCTTTGGCTTCGTTAACTACGCCGTCAAAGACAACCTACAAATAGCGCGGGATACGTTTGGACCGACATACATGATTGCAAGATCGGCAGCGCTGGTTCTGCACGTCGATGTTGCCCTGGTCCTTTTCCCCGTCTGCCGAACGCTCATCTCTCTCGCAAGACAGACTCCTCTGAACGGCATCATCCAATTCGACAAGAACATTACCTTCCACATCACGACAGCATGGTCCATCTTCTTCTGGTCGTGGGTGCACACCATTGCCCACTGGAACAACTTTGCCCAGATTGCAGCCAAGAACAACCTCGGTATCTACGGCTGGCTGTTGGCCAACTTTGTCTCGGGCCCCGGTTGGACTGGCTATATCATGTTGATCGCGCTGACAGGTATGGTGATCACTTCGGTCGAAAAGACAAGGCGGGCGAACTACGAGCGGTTCTGGTACACACACCACATGTTCATCATCTTCTTCTTTTTCTGGTCCATCCACGGTGCCTTCTGCATGATCCAGCCCGACTTCGCGCCTTTCTGCATTTCCGTCGGTACCACGGCCATCGGTGTGTTCTGGCAGTACTGGATGTACGGAGGATTTGCCTATCTCGCTGAGCGCATTGCCCGTGAGGTCCGTGGCAAGCATAAGACGTACATCTCCAAGGTTGTCCAGCACCCCAGCAACGTTTGCGAGATCCAGATCAAGAAGGAGAACACCAAGACCCGCGCCGGCCAGTACATCTTCTTCTGCTGCCCGGCTGTTTCCCTGTGGCAGTATCATCCCTTCACCCTCACGAGCGCACCAGAGGAGGACTACATTTCGATCCACGTGCGTGTCGTCGGTGATTTTACCAGGCAACTTGCCGAGACTTTGGGGTGCGAATTCGACAACAAGAAGAAGGGAGACACGTCCAAGGTCGTTGGCGTCAGCCAAGAGAACGACGAAGTTGATCCCGCTCTCCGCCGTGTTCTTCCCCGTGTGTACGTCGATGGACCGTTCGGCTCCGCCTCCGAAGACGTGTTCAAGTACGAGGTGTCCGTCCTGGTCGGCGCCGGTATCGGCGTGACCCCTTTCGCCTCCATCCTCAAGTCGATCTGGTATCGCATGAACTACCCGCAACAAAAGACGCGGCTGAGCAAGGTGTACTTCTTCTGGGTCTGCAGAGATTTCGGCTCGTTCGAGTGGTTCCGCTCTCTTTTGTTGGCTATCGAGGCCCAGGATGTCGACCACCGCATCGAGATCCACACGTACCTGACGGCCAAGATCAAGATTGACGATGCGACCAACATCATGATCAATGATGCCAACGCCGATAAGGATACCATTACTGGCTTGAGGTCGCCGACAAACTTTGGCCGTCCGAACTGGGATATGATCTTTAGGGGTATCAGGAAATTACATGCTCCGGGCGAGGCGGGTGTGTTCTTCTGCGGTCCCAAGGGACTGGGCAGCTCGCTGCACATCTTTTGCAACAAGTATAGTGAGCCTGGGTAAGTTCATGGTCCTTTTGTGGTGGAAATGCAGTAGAAAGACCGCTAACATCTTGCATTAGTTTCCACTTTGTTTGGGGCAAGGAGAACTTTTAAAACTTCACCCTTGTTTTGTCCCTCTCACCCTGTTTACTCAACAATCTCACTATTGAGGCACGATTTACGAAATCATTCCTGCCTTTTATGCCATAGTATATGAGCATGTTTGGACGGGGATGACTGCGGAATCTGCTAGTTACCTGTTTTACCTCTTTATGTGCCAGTTATACCAATTATTGTTTCCAGGTAATGGAGAAGCTCGAGGTATTTAGGGAATTTGATTAAGAGAGTTTGTGTTGTCAATATTCCATAAAAATAGGACTATTTCTTTGCAATCATAAAATGACCTTAAAAAGGGTCCGGTTTGGGAGAGACACAAGTACGAAGAAGAAGACACAACTTGATTTATCAACCCCTTGGCTTCGAGTAGACGTCCAACCCTAACCCGTGATCGCTCAAGCATCACTTCCGAGCACACCATGCAGGGATTCTAAGTGCCCCACATTTACCATCGCGAAAGAGGTGCGTCTCCAGGCAGGCAATC